GTTTATGGTCAATTGCACAGCGTATATACGACGAGTATGCGATGATCACACTTGGGAAACGTACATACATGTTCGTCGATTACGAGAAACGAAAATTTGACATCTTTTCAGCGCAAAAGTAATTTATTTATGTTTACACTGGACATTGTCGCATTCGCATATGTTCTACTAAACACGAACCCTGTCGACCCTTGCAAAATTGGTAACATTGTTGGACGACGTCTCGGTGTGGGTTAACCCTGTATAAACCGGTGAAAGTCAATCAATGGACGCTTCAATTCGTTAGGAAGAAGGCACAGACAACAAAGGGTTAACGTAAGACCTGCTTTCACTTAACATTTGATTTAAACGTAATACAGTAAGTGTATTACCGAGATTTAAGTCAAATCTCTCTGAGACCCGGCGCTCGAGAGAATCACGCAACACGCTCTAGTTCACAGATCGCTTTCCCGCTGTCTGGGGAGAGTATGACGCCATTCTCAGATGTTGGAAAAAAACTTTGTTGTAAAAAGAAGCACAAACACTGTTATTCTTCAATCATGAGCCATTGATGACGATTGCACTGTCTGTCTTTTTTTTAGTGTTGCCTGCCATTTTGTCTGATAAATAGGTGATTATTTAAAAATAAACTTCACTTAAACAAATAACCTTCACTTTTCGGGTGTCGTTGCTCGATAACTAGCTTTGGTTCCCCGCGATTTTCTTTTCCTAGTAAAACTGTAGTTTTAATTTTTTTTCGTATTTCCTGTGTTCTATTGTTTTTTTTTATTTACTGGTTGGAAAAAATACTTGACTGCGACTATGGAATATCTATTTAAAATACTCCTGATGTAACTAGCTCAGCCATACTATGAGAAGAGTTGACTGACACCGAATAGTCTACTTTTCTGAGAAAATATTTTCAAAATAATATACTAAAATGAATTCAAACAGGTAAATTCCCATAAATTGAGGGAAAAATTAAAGCAACTAAATTTTAAAATGAAAAATATTCTCTACATATTTAATTTTAGTACATTTTCTGTGCAGAAGTTGAATAACTATGAGATGCAGTTTGCCTCCTAGAATAACGAATTCTCAAATAGAAGATGGACATTGCACAAAGTTTCATTAATTTCAAAACTGGAAGGTCGCACTCAATTTTCAAATTTCTCTAGTTTTATTCTGCAAATTTTTGTCTGACCATAATCAGACTTCCTTTGATAAACAGTTTACAACAATGAATTTTTGAATCACTATGATGGGGCACGCCCCACAAGGGGGCGCAGAGAATTTTTCGAGGGCACGTGAAACTAATTAAAAATAAAAATATCTGCTAGATTTGATTTTGCCTGTTTATACTGGATATTTATATTTCTTTATTGTTTAGAGATTGCAATTCCATCCACAAATTTTCAATGTGTTTTTTGAATAAAAAGAAAGAGAAACTTGACAAATTCTAAAAAGGGGGCATAGCTTAAAAAGTCTGAGAACCAATGTGCTAAAGTATCCTAGCTAGGCAGTCAGTGCATGAGGAACCTTCAACGTAAAGCAAACATGTAACTCTAAACCATATTTGCCTCTTATTACAACAAATTAGAGTTTCAACAACAAAAGTGCAGAATAAATGGCACTGCTTATAAGAAACACAATTTCAACTTTTCTAGGTAACTTTTTCCTCCTTTCATGCAATATACTTCATATTATTATTGCTCTGAAATTTTAAACTGTCGTTTCTATTTATGATTTCACTATTCCCATTAATAGCTGATTTATAATCTTATTTTATTCCTCAATTTGGGTGCATGAGTGATAACTTTCGATGATCAAAACGCTGTGTTGCCGCCACACAATCAATACAAAAAATTCGAAATTTCAATCATGTTTCATTGCCTAATTGATTTACTCTCAAGCTAAATGTAAACAGCAGACCCTTTTGATCCTGTATTTGAACTTGTCATTTTTGAGGCTAACTTCAAACTTGTTTATGGTTGCTGAGCAAACATGTAAATGTAATGTTCAAAATTAAACACTTTCATCAATAATAAATAACTCTATATCAGTGATATAGTTATATCAAAATTTGAAGCCACACCCGAAAAGTAAATCAGTCAATATATGATTAGTGTTAATATTTACTGCTCATTAAGCATCAATGCAAAAGCAATTAGGCAGAAACCGCAATCTCTATCTTTGTCAACTATTCAAACCCCTTTCTAAAACTCATCAAAAACAATCTATAATCAAATTGCAATTATGAAAAAGAGTTACGCAATGCATAACCAAAAAGACATAACATTTACTCACTCATACATTGCAACTAGAACAATAATCAAGTGAAAAATAGGTTTAAACATCAGTCACCAGTCACCACCTCGCTGTTTCGGTATCATCTTGTTTTTGAAAAACATAATAGATCAACTCTAAACAGCTTTGATGCACCCTCAGTCTGACCAAATAATACCGTATCACCCTAATGTGAAAACAAGATAGTGTAACTTGGAGGTTTTGTTACTGCTTGGCTGTAAAATTATTCAAAACAGTAATTCATCACCTTTACTGCCTTTAGGTAGAAGATGAGCCAGAATGGCTCCATCGATATCATATATTTTGATATTTTGAAAAAATTTTTAAATATCAAAATGCAGAAATATACAATTACAGTGACAGTACTCAAGCATATTATAATTCATTGACAAATATCAAGAACCTTTAACAAATAAACTGCGAAACAATTTAGACATGACATGAATAATTTTATCAGAACTAAACTTGCAAGGCTCTGCAGACCTTACTGTATGATAAATTAGAACTTGGCCTTGAAAAAATATCAAATCAAAAACACTTTTTGACTTTTTAAAACAAATAGAAATATGAATTAATGGACAGATTTCAAAGACTGACTCTGATCAGGATTATACTAATAATCAGCTTTTCGGTTATCTTACACCAACATTACATACAGACATAGGCCTATGTAGAAATTGTACCAGTCAGCCAGTCCGTCTGTAGGTGCTTTTTCATGTTACCCTGATTTTCAGAATAACTTATGCTACTGTGTTAACTGTTTTCATTTAATGTGTTGCTACAGGCCGTGTATAGCTCCCAGTACTGCAGTAACAAAAACAAAATTGTTCCCAAATGTATTCAAAATGGCCATTTTACTGTTTTATAGGTTTCATATGGAATTTTTCTTGGCCATTGACCAGTTGATAACAGTTTCCAGGTTTCAGGCAACGCCCCAATTTATTTTCACTCACATGTTTAACATCTACATAATATAGTGAGGGAAATCCTGCATCGGGTTGGTATTTCCACTTATTTGAATAGAATAAATAGGACTGATTTGACTATAAACTAATAGGGAAAAAGGTTACCGCTTGCTTATACATGTGACTCATCATTGTATTGTGCAACAGAAACAGGTGAGTGAACATGTACGGTACTACTTCTTCTTGGCAAAACCTTCAAGCTTATTCTGTACGTTTTGAACTTTATCTAAGGTTTTGTTTGTTCTCCTGATTTCACAGTTTTTATTTATTTATTTATACCAATCATTTTTTTTGTTATGCTGATTATGGAGTCGAAACAAACTTATACTTATACTAACACAATAAACACATGCAGACCGTCAATCAAAACATAGGCTACTTACTTCAAGTCTCGTTTGAGGATATCTTGCCGCAAATCACGCTGATTTTGGGCAGAGTTAAATATTTTCCTGTTCGCAGACTTTTTTTGCCAAATTTAAATCCATCGACCACGAATGAGCCCTCGAAGAAATCTCAACACGAACAAAAATTTTCCAGGTATCCCCTTGTAAACAACTCCTTGAACATGACGCTATATCGCACTCTATCGGACGCTATATTATAGTTGGAAATGTCAGAAAAAGTCCGTTTCCACCGCCAACACACAAAAATAGTCGCAATTACATTTCGGAGCTACATTTGGAATTTGGGGATCGGGTATTTAATCCTTCCGTGAGAAAGATTCGGCCTGCGTCAATAAGCGAGCTCTCCGTCTTGACATATTTGAATTTTTTTTCCAATGTATGTTTTCTTGAAAAGCGATTCTGCGGCAATTGTAGTGAGACACAAACTCATAAATTTCTCTTTATTCATTGGTAGCTACGTTTTTTAGCTTATGCTTGCTACATACGGACTGGCCATGACAGATGAAATTGCGCGCTTTTCCAATTTCGACAGCGAAGTAAGTCTATTGAGAGCTTATTTAAGATATCGTTAGGTACCAGCAGTATGTTAGTCGTTGGGTATCAGTGGCCGTCTAAACTTATTCGGATCGAGGAACGCGAGTGAGCGTTGTTTAAAAAAAATGGTCCCATTACACCACCAATGTTGGGATGCCTACGCCCTTGTTCAGGCGTTCGTGGAATATCGTGATAATCATCGAACCCGATCTTGTAATTTAGAGCAGGGGTGTGTAACCTTTAATACAGGAGGAATAAATACAAATAACAGGGCGAAACCGTAGGCCGCACTTATATTTGACATAGGCTATCAAGTAGTTGCAGGCACAAACATTTGGGAGTTTGTCTTATGACGTGGGTTTCCGCTTCGCTCAAGCTCGCTGTTAGGGCATTGTAACGCCATTGGTATAGACAAAAAAAATTGAATCAGGTTTAGGTTTGGAAAAATTGGCACGTTCGGCATAGTTTTCTGAAATTAGGGAGCCTGTTGCTCGAGCATTAGAGAGTTGGATGCGAAATAAATCCTGTTCTTACAACTTCGAATCCCATCGCTGGTTATATATATATATATTATATATATATACCATTGATCATATGCAGTGGATATGAGCGTCTTGGACCCAACACATAATATTACACAAACTGTATTCAAAAGAGCAAATAAAACGACAGTAATAAGAATAATTACCACTTTGGTGAGCGTAAAGTAAGAGATGCAAATTTTAGTTTTTTGACAAAAAGAAAATAAAAGGGTATTCCCGAAGTATGTGAACCAAGATGGTTGCCACCGGAACGTAGTATGTGTACCAGGTTAGATTTATTTTAGTTCTATTACGAGTTCGGGGACTCGTAATTATGGCCTGACCCTAACCTTGTACACATACTACGTTCCGGTGTGCGCCATCTTGGTTCACATACTTCTGGAGTACCAGTAAAAGAGCAAAACGTTGTACCAGTATGTTTTCAATACAATCTGGTACGCAATTATATCGTCAAGAATTCATGTCTATGGCCATTCAATACGCACTACTGCAAGTTGAATAATATTCACATGGTCTTAATATCATTAGTACAGCTAACATAGAATGATCTATAGCAGCATTCGTGTAAATCTTCATGAAATGGAATAGGTCTTTTTCTGCTTTTGAAATTTCTTTCGTTTTCTAAAAGGACTTGGAACCGAGACAACGTATCCGTTAGACTTTCGACTTCCATTGCGATTCTCACAACTTGTCTGATTTTCTACTTTCTCTTGCAAATCTGTGAACAAAAGAATTTTCGAATATAATTCCTAAGGATTTTCCCCCAAAAAATCGCTGTTACTACATATTAAATAGTCATAAAATCATCTTAATCATATGAGCTCTCACTCTGTTGCAAGGATAGGCTAGAGAACGATAATGGTCGCTCTAATCTCTTCTGTCACTGTTTATTTCACCTTTAGTTTCGGGCTCGTTATCTACTTTTTTGTATTAAAAATGTTAATATTGATCTTGATTATGTAAAACAGACAACAAATTGTGTTGAAATATGTCACGTGACTCAATTGACATTTTAGTGCCCACCCATAACTTTGCTCAGAAATATTGTCACGTTGATTTCTGAGTGAGCGTGACCTTGTATTGAGCCAATTTGCCTAAAACAATTGAGAATTCGGCGCAATCATTGGATCACAAACCACTAACCAATTATGAGCTTCGTTGAAGGACAACGATGGCCTTACAATGTTAAATAGTTGTAAAACAGTGTACAACGTTGCCCGTGGATTAAAACGTAGGCATAACGTAGTTGTGCTATCTGGTTACTGAGGACTGAAGGTAAATTTTGATATGAATAAGAATGAATGAAACTGAAATACCTTCAACAGTCTTCGTCTCGTTGCAATTCGTTAAGTGGTTGGAGTTTCGAATACTTGTCGAATATTTGCTGAAAATCAAAAATATATAAAAATAAATAAGGTGAATTGCACATTTTGACGTATTCGTCGTAGGTACTTCATGATAAGTTTGAAATTTGAAGCTCCCAAACTTTTAACTTTTTATAATACAAATCATTATGCGAGCCTACCTCTTATCTTGCGTCCCGTTTATAACGATTCTTATAGAATTGTCCTTCGTTCTTTCAAATGTTACGTTAGGATGAAAAGAAGTCCGCTGAAGTAGTGGATCGGTATCTGTAGTTCCATTTTCAGAATCCTGTTGGAAAATGATTCGATTTACATGATTATAAGCTACATTGCAGGCTTAACTCTATCTATCTACGATTTTTGATTATGTAAGCATTTATAATCTCATGCATATATCTATTTATGACGCACGAATTTTTCACGCCATCTTTATTGTGACATTCTGTTTAAAGAGCTGACTTTTTCAGCTGATATTTGATAAGCAGAATAATAAAAAATATATACATTTGATTTCCGCCAGTGAAGTCAAATATGCTGATAAAGTTTAGTTTTGGTGCCCATTCACCCTATACAAGGAGATCAAACTTGGTCGAGTGTGCCCAATAAGCTTCAGCTTAAGGTGTCCTACTAGTCTTCTACTGTATACCAATGGTTCCCAAACTTTTTTCAAGCGATTCAAATTTTGTGAAAAATTAATTTTGTAAAATTTCAACATGAGGATAAATAAGTTCAAATGGGCTACTAAAATGACATGTAGTGCTTAGGTGACTGCAAAATCGAATTAGTAATAACAAAAAAACATTTATTTTTACATAATATTTTTTTCCTCAATATTTATTACATTTTTTTAATATTATTATTTGTTTATCATCCGCGACTGTTTGAAATCATGGCAAAGTTTTTTACGTTATGATACTTCTCACATATATAATTACTGTTGAGCAACACTTCAACACTAAATACAGAATAAACAATAACATTTACTAGAAAATAAAATCAACTTTTCGTTCGAGAAACACGCGACCGAAAAGAATTTTTAGGCAACCCAGTGTTTGGTAGCGACCAGGTTGAGAAACACTATTCTACAACATAATAAACACAATCCACAAGTGTTAATTTTTTAAAAAGGAAATACCTTTATTGTGTAGGCAGCCTTGGATGTTGCGCGTTTATCTCGCCTTGCATTGATGCAGATTTCACAAATTGCGACTAAACTGGCAATCACCATACCGCCACCGAGAATGCAAAATAGACCAGAAAATCGATGAAGACTGATTGATCTGAATAGCACAACGAAGTTATATAGTCAGAATTGAACAAAGGTAATTCTAGCGTTCAGTACAACCTACTCACTGAGTTGGCAAAAATACAAATTTATATATTGAGAATTGAACTATAAGTTATCATTGCTAATGTTTGATATTACTCTACTCGCCGAGAAAACAAAGTTATACAGGGTGTCCATTAAGTCCCTTCACAATTTCAATCTTGTTACGAAATCAGTTCTCTATATCTCTTAACCAGGTTTGTTGTTTTTTAATCAGTAATTGTTTTCAGTAAGTAATTCTTCAAGTATTTTTCACTTCGTTTAATACATCTGTGATGGCCAAAATAATAAATGGTATCGATAAATTCACGTTGCAATATGAAAAAATAAATTAATAAGGCTTTGTGGACACCCTATAGATATAAATATATATATACCCTAGATATTGGGATTTAAATTGTAATGTTCGATATTACTCACTCAGTTGGTGAGAGGGGGTTCGGTCGAGTGAAACATCCTGAACCCTTCCACCAGCGTGACTTTAAAGTGTTGATCACACCTTCGTCTTGTAGTTCAAGAATTCTGAATGCAATATACACGCAATTATGCACAGAACAGTAGTATATATTACAGGCTTATTATAGCCGATGGGGACGGGAAGAGCAGGGATTTCAGGATTTCAATCGGAGAAAAGATTGAGCAATCACAATGTTTAAAATCTTTCAGGGTCTGGCTATGTGCTCTAGGATTCGGTTTTTGTCCTCGACTGGACAGTTAGCTCGCTTACAACTCAACACAATAAAATAATATATTATGTTCCAGCGGCGAAGCCTATACTCCTATTCCAACGTAATGAAATATTATCATATTATGTAGGTCTGATACACGTCACACTATCGATGTCCCAGCAAAAAGGAAATGTTATTATATTGCGAGTCTTGATAACAAATTTTTCAGCTTTCAATTTACTTACGCAAGTGATAGCGGATCTTTTATAGGATCATCTTTCTGGACTCCTATTCCATAACCTTTCTCAAAGATGAATTCTTGAATGGATGAAAACGAACACGAGGGATCAGAGTTAATAACGTATTCGATCACAGCTATGTCCCACAAAAATGCGTAACTTCCTTGAAACATTAAAAAAAAATAGATTAAATAACTGATTAAAAATAAATCTCCGCGCATCAGTTTGGTCAGGGTGTTCCAAGGTTGCGAGGTTGGAGAGCCGCAAAAACTTTTGAGGATGTCTCGCGGGCCGCAGTCTAAGAAAACCCAAAAGTGATCCAAACATCGCGAGTTCACACACTTTTAATATATATTTTTTCAAGAATGAGTGATTCGCGTTCTAGTCAGTTTTTAATGAAGATATATAAAGCCTTTAATTATTTTGAAATTGCTTCCCGAGAAATACCGTGGTATTTTCGGTATCTTTTCTCGGATTTGATTTTGTAATGTCGCTTAAAATTATATTCTTTCGTGACAGATATTACTTGAAAACACACCAGACACTGAGGTTAAACGTTGTTGTGGTAGATTAAATAAGTGTGATTGGTTAGGCAATTAAGACTTCACTAATTTTTTTAAAAAATTTTTTGCGCAATCCGGAGTATAATTCTGGACCTTGTTTTATTTGGCCTAACTCGGCAAATACATCAGGAGTCATTAAATAAAGTAATTTAAGTTTACTCAGGAACATTAATCGGTAAGTAACACGTGCTCCTTAACACCAAAAGTTTAAAAAAACCTGGTAACACATACACTTTCATGTGACGGTATTTTACAATCAGAAAATGACAACGCATATTTGAGGGGAAATCTTGCGCGTTCTTTGTAAGGCACATAGATGTGCTACTAAAATAGATGTGCTGTACAACAAATGTTGCTTTTTAAATTCAATATTACAAACCTTTACTTTCCTTCACGCGACGAATTCCATCTTCTACAGCAAAAACTGAGTTAGTTTCATTGACTACGTCCCGTACCCTTTGCCATATCGGATTGTCGTCTATACCTGTTAATTCAGAATGAAGAGCAGAAATGGAACAATTAGTGCGCATTGTCTAAATTTTTCAATAAATATACTTTAAATTAGAGGTCGAGAAGCTGTGGGCAACGGCCTAATCGTGGACCACGGAGCATTTTCTAGGGGAACTTCAATAAATTTCAATCATGGTAGTGATACACAAAAAGGATCCAACATTACATATAATATAAATTTTTTACCGAATGGTTTTAGTTCATATATCAAACGATCATTCAACTAAACAAATTAAATGCCAACAAGTTTATTACGTGGTTAAATTTAAAATATCCAACAAAATTGTTGGGTCTTGAAACCTTTTCCGTTTCACTATTTGGGCCGATCACTACTTTAGATGTTACGTACTTCTGGACACTAAAGAATCGTATATGGAAGAGTCTCGCACTGTTCCGAAATTCATGTCTGTCTGACTGACCAGTTCTAGAAACGATCGAACGTCTGATCCCATCCTAAAAACAAGAGAGCAACATACGAACAAAAAAATAAAAAGTCATAAGAAAGTATTCTCGTGAATTAAAAAAGGAACAAAAATTCGCTGCGTTAAATGAAAGCCGGGTAATAGCCTTCTACAGCGGCTTCTTTCTTCTTGAAGTATTGGAAATTTGTAATCGATTTCTCTAATTACTAATAGTTTCGGAGAAAAGCTATTCTTTCGAAACAACAACAAGTTAGCAAAACGATCCATTTGGGCACCTTCTGTCCAACAGGACGTTTCGTTATTACACAAATTTTTGACATAAAGCAGTAAAAAATGATTGGTTACACCTTCGAAGCAAAACAAGTATGTAAGATATATGCTACCAAACCTTACCTTGTTAATGTAAGGTTAGACGTCAGAGTAGCGAGATAAGATGAAAAAATTATTAAAACGAAAAACCACCAAATTCCTGTCACAATTTGAGATGAAACTGACATATAGTTCATTCCTGGACCTAATAGAATAAAGACGAGATTGTAAATATTTATCCACATCGACATTAAAACCGTCTAAATATAAGGCGAACTGTCACGTTTACACGTTGGATGTAAAGTTTTGAATAGGGACTTGATATCTTCATTTGAATTCAAAAATCTGCCTAATTATTGTATTGTGATAATTTTATACTTCTGCTACATAGTACTTTCACTGAGCTGTTTTACGATTGCATTTACTTAAAATACACAGTGAATCTCGTCGCGGCCGGCACATACTTATATATTTTTTGCCTGTAAAAAATTAGGCAGCAGTCCATCAAATACAGGAAAGATTCTAGTTCAGGGGTGTGCTACATTTTTGTCGTTGGGCCATATAAACAACTTCATACATCCAGCTGGGCCACACAAAATTAGTTTTTTCATCTACACAACAAATTAAAAAATTAGCGACAACCAGAGCACCGCGGAAAAGGCAAGAGAATAGTATGCGGCCATCGCTTGGCTATACAGTATAATAAGGGCATTGGGCGAAACGGCGGAAGATTTAACGCATCGACAAGAGCAAAATACATTATGTATTTTACCCATGTGAGCACCTTTTTAAACATAAACTGTCGGATTCGGATTTTATGCTCGATGGAAAAAATCTGGGAACTGACAAGGGCCTAGTTGGCTTAGCGGGGCGGGTTGTGGCCCGCAGGTCGCAGGCCCCTGTTCTAGTTGTTTTGATTTGCAACTTCTTGCTCTGAGCGATACTGCTGGTTCAAAGCATTTTATAACAAGACCACGGGAACACTTCATAAAAGGGATATACTTGCACTTTATAGTTAACATGAACATAAGTGACATACCTCACACAAAAAAAGCTAAATATTTCAATATCATTTTCTATACATTTCGTGTAGTGAATAATACAGTATTTATTTACCTTGCTGAAGTAGTGTGCTGTACACAGACCAGAAAGTATCTCGTAAAGACACTTGATGAAGACTTCCTTTTCGGTGCTGGCGCGGTTCTGACGATACTCGATTTAAAACAAAAAGCAATACAGACACACTAAACCAAGCACCTAGAATGCAGTACCATACCAGGCTGTGGAAAGGTCGGAGAAAAGTAAACAGGGATATTTCATTTGTGTCCTGTAAAAATAATTGAAGAAATATTTACACGAATGCGCAATAAGAGTAAATAGGTCACCTTCATAAAATAGGATGCCATAATGACGGACTTTGCGATCGATGTAATGTTTCAGAGACAGTAGAAGAATTTTCTAATGGATTGCTTCGAATATATAAATGAAAGACACATATTTAAGATGAAATGCCGCGATTATGACATTGATTTTCAACTCAGAGCTATCTAAAGCAACCCTAGCATTTTCTCCTCTTTTCTTGATTTTACGAAGTCCTCCAAGAGATTACTATAATTATAGGCATATAAAAAGTTTGGTTTAATTGTCTGGCGCAAAAGACTTAAATTGTTAAAAGAGCCATATATATACTTTCATACTACACACACACATGGCGAGTATGAATGCTTATAAAACTGAGTTCGACTGAATTGTGTATATTTTCGAAGATTAAGTAATCAACATTTATTGAGCAAGAACAATTAACCGTAGTCTTGGAGGAAGTTAATGTTGTATTTGAAGATTACCCGTTAAAATATTAGACCAGAGAAGATAATTTGTATATTTATCTGTCGTATTCTCAAATGTGAACGCTATCGCAGCCTAAGTTAGAAACTGTATGGAATTATATTGCTCAAAATTCACGTAGAATACTCGTGAAAACGCCCCTTCGCGTGACTTATCTGGTATAGTGAATTGCATTAAGTGATTTTGTAAAACATATTTATATATAGATATAGTAAGATACTATGCAAATACCTGCCGTTTCGTCATTAAAACACCCAAGCCAAAGTCCATATAACGAGCCGTAAAATCGATGTACTGCTCCATGCGAGGTGTCATCGTCATAGCCGAAATAGCAAGGTCGGCTTTCTAAAATTAAAAATGAAGGCTGAATAAATGTTCTATGCCAGGACCAATAGCCAAAACGGCAAAATCAATAGGAATTTGGAAGGCACAAATCGTTGATTCCGGTCGCCAATGGCATCAGCTTAGCCGATTCCGTTTCAAATTCGTTGAGTCGCATTGGATCAATTCCTGAAACCCCGCATAAACTAATTAGACTGATCAATGACCCAGCGTTAAACTATTGTAGTTAAAAGTCTGTTTAAGGAAAAGGTATATACATTTTTGCGTACTCTGCTGATATAAGTCATGTCAAGAATATTTTTTTGAAACAAGAAAAAATATCACTCCAGCACAAAATACTAGAAAATGATAATTAGACAGTTTTACTGGACAAGGGTAGTCGCGGGGAGCCAAAGCTGTTTATCGATCAGCGACACCCAGGGTTCAATATCTAATTCAAAAGTTTCGAATTCTAGAGTTTTGAAACTACTGGTATTGACTGTGAGTGCCGTATGAATTATCTAACTAACACCACCGACGATTAACTTAAGCTAACTTACGAATAAATCTACGCTTATACTGTACCTTTGAAACTAATTCACCAACTAATCCATTCCACGAATTGTTCACAATTGAGCCGTACTTTCTATCAGGAACTTCGTACATTTTATATTTGAATCCGATTTTGTTTGCGAGGGCATCCAACACACTGACGGAAAATCCATAAAACTCAACAGATTTTTGACCGCGTTTTGCCATAACAAACGGTGGGTCCTGTAAAAATGAAATATCGTCCTGAAATTCAACGGGTTTAGAAATGCAAATGGCCGAATTCGGTGTGATAACACTGGGCGAAATGAAAAGCGAAATAAATACCGGAAAGTCATGCGCTGTCACAAAGTGCCTAGAACTTTTCATCTCAGATAGAATTGTGTTAGCCATCTATAGCATTATTCTTAGAGTTAGAAAATACAGACTACAGCCGCTACAGTATTTTTGTTTTGTCAGATTGTTTTAGAAATCATATATATATACGGTATATGCTTTGTTCCATGAACAAAACAAAATGATATTCCTGAAATATGATCTAAATTTAACACAGCCTTTTTTATTTAGTTTAGCCAAAAATTATATATTTATCGAAACAATGAACAGTGCGTTAAACTTGTAAATTTCTCAACATTTCCGGTGTGCCATGGGAGCAGTGGGAGATCTCATCGGCGAAAATATGGGAAAACACGTGAAAGCATAATGCAAAATCTAACCTCGATTGTAGCCACACGAAGCGTCCTTCCAGAAAGGATTTGATATGGGTCATATTGCAGTGTTGCGGTCATGTTTATACTTTGTAATGACGGTTGAAATTCCGATTCGTCTTCCCAAACTTTAGCATTCTCAGCTATTGCATCGATCAAACTTTTGACTTCAAACTATTCAGTGAACAAAGAGTTATTACCATTGTCAGTTGAAGTAAACTGACGTTGACCGGATGGAAAATTATATATAACTTTACTATATCATATATATATATATATATATATCATAAACAATGGTTTGCACAAACCCTTTTTCGGAATATTGTGATATTCACCGAAACATATTTTGTTTTAGACGTCAGACGACGGGGCAAACGCGTAACGTGCACCTCAGCTTACGACTGGCGCTATATTTGGCTTTTCGAATGTTAGATATTAGATTTATGCAAAACGGGTCATGTTAACGTAGTGGGGTAAATCCAATTTCTGAAATGAGGTAACATGTTGTTAGCGAGTTCGATACAAATAAGAACCGGTCCCAAATATTTTGAATCACATCACTTACAAATTACTTGTATTACAAATTGAATGCTAATTAAATTACATTACAAATGCTTACAAATTAGTGTATTTGACACAGAACAATTACTTCTCATATAAATAATCGGAAACTGTAATAATCTGTAACTCACTTTGATATATGACCCTACTGCTCCTAATAAAAGACACGTACTCTTGTGATACGCCGAGATGATTATAAATAAATGGGATGCAAAATTATCGCGCCAGGAAAGACTAAGTTGGCGAGGAAAAGAATTTTAAGTCGGGTGATTTGTTTTTTCTGAAATGAGATATCCAACCAAATGCTAGCGCATGTGACTGGCCTACAAACCTGCCCTCTTGAAGATAATCCACGTAGTTCCAATTCACTTTCTTTATCTTGAAATATTTCATTCTTTGATATTTTTGACGAACGTAACACGTCTGTGTTCAGGTACGTCACGTCGCCATCTTCACTGGAGTCATAACTACGGTTGCCAGATATCACAGTGCGATTATCGAGTTTATTGATCACTTGAAAAAAGAAAGAAGTGTTTAATTATTTTTTTACAGTGATTTGAATGCTCGGTTATATAGACCTGTACAAACCAATACTGCCTCATGAATGTGAAAATGCAAAACTCCGAAACTTCTTATTTCTATTTATGTAATAATAATAAACTTGAATGTATTAAAATATTCGATTCATGTCAGGCAATTCTCGTTTCAGTAATAATGTTATGACAGTTTGATTCACACTATTTCAACAAACCTCATTATCGCCGTTCCACTAGAGCTAGAAATACATTTACACTATTTAATACCATTGAAAACACTATTAATTCATATCAACATAACATTATGAATGCAGAAAGTACTTCGAGGTATTTGCATAATTAGGAATTTACTATACATAAATAGGACCTCCAGAAGTATGCGCACCAAGATGGCGCACAACCTGGACATAGTATGTGTGTACCGGTTAGGATTCAGGTTGTGCGACATCTTGGTGCGCATACTTCTGGAGCACCCATAAATATATAATAAATTTAATTACAGTCAAAAATTCGAATCATGGCAGGCCACCCTCGTCTCAATAGAATATCTATCGTTACTGACTAAAAGTTGGATTATTTCGACGACGAGCCTCGTCATCACATCGTCACAAAATCTGGAAATTCATTTGAAATATAGTATAATTGGCTTTGAGAACACTCTCACAAACCTCCAAGCTCTTTACGAATAGCATCCACGAATTCATTCGCTTGCATTTCAGGGTAAAACTGTCCTTCTGAGCAAGTCATGTTGGCGTCTGTCATGAGAACTGGTGGTACAATGTTGAGAATAACTTTCGATACAGCACTCAATGTATATTTGAACTGATCTTTCAAATACTGAATACAAAAAACGTTGCAAAAAATTAGTGTATAGTTTATATTATGTGGCCATGTGATTACTTTTTCCGGATGGTTAGGAATATTCTCAAACCATAAGCTGGACTTTGTCACCTCTTCGTACTTGAAATACAAAACACAACCGGGTTCAGCATTGGAAATACAGAAACATTGCTAAATATGCTTTTGGCAAAATAAAAAGCCTCGCAGGTTTTGTGGAATATCTAAGGATCTTTATTACCCTATATGCGCCCAATCGATAGTAAAAGGCGCTCTAAATCACACGGATCTGAATCATGATTTGCTATTATTGGGTGATATCGCCCTGGGGGAATCAGTATGCATATATATATGTATGTTGTTATGGCACTAAGTGTCCAAACATGATTACCAATTCCAAAGAATTTGAAACTAGTGTACATATGTCAGTGAAAAATTAGGTTTATAGGCTTTATTATCACAAAATTGATATATTGAAAGAGAGTTAATTGAGTGAAAATGACAAGCTCAAAATTATACCGAAGCCAATTGTCGATATGTAACCCTAAATATTTGATGAACCGATCAGTTTTTTTTTATCAATTCTAAAGAAATTTAGGTAATCCCGTAGTGTGTGTACCAGATTAGGGTTCTCCCATAATTTTATTGCGATTTTCCCTATTTTAGTTCTATTACGAGTTCGGGGACTGTCTGTGTTATCCAAGTGAATATACTCCCTGTCCATAGCCTTCCGTCCCTTTACACAACTTGATCTACAGCAGTCGAAAAAAATTAGTTAGTTATCTTCATATTGGTACATACACTTCTAGAGCGCCGAATTTGAAACCTATTCTCGCCAGGGAAACATGAAATTATTATCAAACGAGAGTTAATTGAGAGCAAATGACGAATCTAAGATCACTTTCACATACTATAGAGTCGATATAACACGCGACAAAGCTCTAAAAAAGTTTTTTTCAGATCTGCAGGTATTAAACATTACCTTCAGGTTTTCATTGTAAGTCAATGATTGTCGAGATGATTGTTTTTCTTTTTTAGTTATAATCGTGAATTCTCTGCTGTACAAGACTCCATTCAAGAAGTTCTTTTTCCAGCCCTAAATGAAAGAAAGTCAGACAATAAGACTAATTGTGGAAGCTCACAGGCCTGTACACGCCCTTTCGAAAATATCTATATAATATAATTTGAATATAAATAATTTAACTGTGTAAACCGACTTACTGTTGAAGGAGGAATTGTGTGAGAATTTCATTTTAACAAATTTTGAAACGCACAATAAAAAATAAATCACTATAAATATATATAGTAGTATGAAAATATAATTACTTACTAGCCTCACAAAAATTATTCATGTATTTTATTAAAATTATTCATACAGTCGTCATATGATGTTTCTTCGAAGCAATTTAGAAATTCCCCCCTCAAATTGGGCAAACATCGAACCAATTAGTTTACTGAATATTTGGTACTCCCGTATAGTGTGTGTATCAGGGTAGGGTTAGGCCATAATTTTATTCCGATTTTCCTTATTTTAGTTCTATTACGAGTTCGGGGACTGTCTGTGTTAGTCAAGTGAATAAACCCCCTGCCCATAGGCTTCAGTCTTATTACACAACTTAATATAAAGTAGGCGAACAAAATTAGTTACCTCCATATTGGTACACACACTTCTGGGGAGCCGAATATTCATTCATTATCAATGAAAGCCAATAGATTTGAATTATAAGAAAATAATAAATCAGGTTTATACTTACAACGTCTACAATGTAGAAATGAACACGTTTGTTGTGAAAGAAAGGAAGCTGTTTAGTAGAAAAAAAATATGAAAAAAGTCAAAGAAGGAGGTCATGGAAATATAAGAAATATTAAAATGTCATATTGAAATTTCCAAGAAAAATTACACTTTAGTCTAGATTTTATAACTAAAAACTTCACAACTTCAATTTAAGAAAAATTCCAAACATTAAACTTTTCTGATATGAACATAATTTACACGTCAGAAAATTTCAACAATTGAAGTGACTCAAATTTTTATCGTAAAAATTGTTAACGTCAGTCACTAGGCAGTGTCTTTTTGGCCTGATTTCTATATCGACGTGAATCTAACTCGATAAGGGTCGTAGAATACATTAAATTTCAATTTTTCCCTTCGATAATAAGATTTTAAACTGAACTGATGAACCCTTCATAAAATCGAAATCAAACATTTAACCACACGTTGGTTTTAGAAAAGCATTAAGAAACCTAAATGGCTGATGACGTTATAGAATAATTCGATATGCAAATTTTGTTAACGTTTTTGAGTTTATAAAATGAACTCAGCCCCCAGGCCGATGTGACAAATCGTTGCTAAACTTGAATTGAGTAAAATAATTTATACATGGTTCTAATATAAAGAATAAGTTTCAGAGGTTGAATGAGATTATTGCAATCCATTATTTTCGCAAGCTGTGTGTAGTATTACAGTGTATGGCGTTTTTAACAATTTTTTTGTTTTTGTTTTTGCGCCAGACAAATTTAAAAACAACTTTCAACATGCATATATATAGTATTCTCCTATATCAGACTTCACAAAATCATGTAGTAAATGGGAGATGCTTAAAATAGCTTTGAAATAAAAAAAAAAAAAACTAAATGAATAATCTATAATCATAATGTATTTGAAGAGGCAAAATATTCCGAAATCATGGGTTCTGCTTAGTCCTTTACGTGTTTCTACGTAGATTTATTTTATATTGAAATTAATGAATATGTATGAATTGCAGCCTTATCTTTCATTCCGCATATATATTTGACATTCTTACCAGGTCGATGATAATTCTTTTTGTGGTTCGTTCACTGCAGAATATGGCAAATACCACTTTGTTGTTGCAGTTTTGAGAGTCAGGACACTAAAAATATAAATATCCAACTGTAAAAATAAAGCACTGGATGTAAGAAATTGAGTAGTAAAAGTGTGCGTTCAAGTCTTTTTAATGACACGTTAAATTGTTTGGATTGGTGAATTTATTTTCAACTTTAGACATTCGGAGGTTCTCTTAGTCTTAGGTAAACCTGTTAAATTACATATAGACTTACGTTCACTTGCCGTAGAATATCATTTATTAAATTCTTTGATAACTTTACAAAAAATTGACCATTTAGTGGATTCATTGGAAGTTTCTGTACAATCACACTTTTCATTCTGCTTCCGAGATGTTCCAGGACATTTTGTAAACTGGAGAAATCTGTTAGAATAACAACATAAATTGTATTTGGTTGTTGTATACTCAAATTTAACTAATCACATTATAATACATGATCACAACTTTAGTCTTTCTCGCCCAGCACAGCACCTATCATGAAACTGTCCACGTATTTCAGATTATACGAACAGATAATCTAACATCGTCAACGACATGAAAAAAATCTCATTTTCCACAATTACAATGCTTATATGATATGCACAGTAAACTTTTATTTTAATGCGAGGAAATATAAAATGCTAAAATGCTCTTGCTATATTGTACTCACCAAAACTGTAGTCATACAGACATATCAACCGAGTCCATTGAAAACTCGCAAAAAATTTACCAACTACCAATTGATCTTCTGTTTCCCAAAATATTTTTTGTTCTGTATAAGAATCTGTACTAGCGTCCGAATTCGTGATGAAACTGAACGATAATAGAAACCAATAATATTGTTGTGTTATGCTTTCAAAAAATTGCTTTCAAAATATGCTTTCAAAATTAATTGCAGTAATTAAAATTAATGCAGCTTAAATCAACCAAAAATGAATATTGTATTCACCAATATAAACGGGAACTCATATATATAGGTCATTGTTACCATAATCCACAATATTTTAGGCAAATTATTTCAGCAGAACAGCTGTAAATATGAACTATTTAGAGCAGTGGCTCTCTAACTTTTAAGCCGCGCTCCCGTTTTAGAATTTGTCAATTCTCGCGTCCCACCTTAAAAATGACTAGCTTACAATAGGCTACAAATAAAGATAGTAAGGCGGAAGTAGTTTTTATTCAAAAAACACGTTGAAAATACGTGGATGGAACATTTTTGTTTGAATAAAACTTAAAAGAAGTAAATTAAACTAGTTTTCTACCCCGGTATCCGTCTCTTCTTTCTTGGCATCGCAAAGGGTTGTATCGGTGCTTCAATAAAATATGGGTTGTCAATGGTATCGGAATACTTCATTTGGTTCTGGTTCCTGCAATAACATGCATTCAATTAAAATAGCTATGGATGTTGTAATACTTAGGCACAAAAATTAATGTTAGTTATAGGTAAGTTTATTTTTTCAGTCAGCAAAATAAACAAGGTTAAACCAGTGAAGTATTCTTATCACTGTTGAAACAAATTTACTCGTCCTCACGATGGCGAGAACATCTGTGAATCTTAAAAACTAGGCAAGTATTTTAAGGTTGAATCTGTGTGCGGAAAACCCGAGTTTTTCAAAATGAATTCAAACAGTATTTCGATATAATGGTCATACGTTCATTTTCTTACTTGTTTCTACATTGACGTCCCGGTACTGTTGCAATCCATAGAACTGGCAGCCGTAATGCGCTTGCCAGAAAAGAAACGCCAGATCCGTCGACATTGCAATTCGTCAGATATAACACAAAGGCTGGTGATGACGTCAACATTCCACAAACTAAACAAATTTTAAGTTGAAGGAAATGATAGAAATAAGAAATAAATAAGAGCAGTGATGGGACGTTTTTGAAACAGGTTCCCTTTCTCAAACTACTCGCAATTCTCCCTACACATTGGAATGATGGTTCTCAAACGGTAGGGAGCGCCCCACGATGGTAGCGTAGACAATTTTTGAGGGAGCGTTAAGACAACTTAACGCATTAATACTGAGTTTCAAGCTCGACGACGAGGCAGCGAGATTATGCGTTTCACTACCTATTTTAAAGTTATAAAGCAAACTGTGTAAAGTGGATTGAGCCTTGCCGAGCAGGATAGTCCTGGTGACTGAAATGTCGTGTAGGATATTGAAGTGCAGGGAACTTTGAAAACGTAACCAGCCTGCTCTCAGAATTATGCAAACATTCTAACTTTGAAAGAAATAAAAAGCAGCACTACTCTAGCGACACAAATTAATGGCTCAAGAGCTCTCGTCATATCAAATATTTGGGAATTTTTATAAATTGTAAATCGATATAATGAACATATCAAAAATAAATTATATCATGCACAATACTCTTTCTTCATATTTTGGAAATTCCCAGGAGTCCGAAAAAAAAACTTTTTGTTTTAAATATTCCTGGTATACGTCGATAATGCGTCGTCTGTGCATATTTTTAACCGCAGAAATGGGAAATTTCAAGTTTATAATTGCAATTAATAATTGTTCTTGTATATGTATATAAATATCACTCCATGGGAATGTGGACAGGAAATATCGACTGTCATCTCTAGACGTAACACAACGGAATGACGCACATACAACAGGGCTTTGTCTCAAGAATTATGTTAAAGAAAACGGTACAAGATAAGGCAATCAAGAATAAGCGAGCGAACCCTTTTAACCTGCATGACCTAACCGGAGTTTTTCACTAATCCGGAGCAGATGAGGAGAGAAGGCTAAACGTGGATAAAACTGACTTTTGTATTCAAATATACAGAGGCGGTGGTCTTATTAGGTATTGCGGGTTCAACACTCGAATTGAATTGCGTGATGCCTACTCTGACTATAGGGTTAAAAATAAGGACTCAAAATTAAGATAAGTCTTCCAATTTTATTTAAGTACAAAATCACGATTGAGGTGATTTTTTTGTGGCGAGCGCGTGGCGAATTCATACAGTAGCCTATATATATCGTCAAAATTATTACAAGGCTATAATTTAGATTGGGCTAATTAAATAATCTACTGCTAAAACTGGCGTGGGATCTAATGCGGCCGGAAAAATTGCGGTGGTCTGTAGTCTGCCCTGCTGATATGCGTATGCGAAAAATATAGATTTAAAACAGAATTGTACGAGTTAGCGTTCGATGTCATGTGCATAAAATTCGAATCGCAATTGCGCAATCATTACAAAATCTAAAAAATAAACAGCGTATAGTATAATAGGGTGACGGCAATATCAAAACCCAAGTAGTATATGGTACGTATTCTAATAAGAACATAACTTTTGTGCAAAGCGTCATAGATTACTATAGAACTTCAGTGTCAAATCATACACAAACAGTAATTTAGGTGTTAAATACCTTTTCTGCAATTTCGTTTGAGTAATTAATAAATTTATGGGTTTTATTTTTGGGTCAGCACGTAAAAATAGACAGATCATAAGCGATATACATATATATACCTGCATATAGCTATTAAAATAAAGACAAGTGGAAAGCGCCATGAAAGTTTTTTGAATTTTTAAAACTACGTCGCAACAATAAACGACAAAATTCGTTTTCATTTTGCGTTTTCGTTGCAGCTTACTCTCATTCTTACTCTTTCACTGAAGCATAAAAAATCAATAAAAAGTCTGAGCAGATCCAATTAGATGGCAATTTGACAGAAGCGGTTTAAGTCGGGTATCGAGCTTTTAGCCATTAAGATTTTTTGTGTCTGAATCCCAGTCCTTGTTATCAGATCCTGCGAATGATAAATGCCTCTAAAAACATGTTGATCTTTGGGAAACATTCTTTTTCAATCGTGATTCGACCGCGCTAATTAGGAATTCAGTCGTAATCTCCAATGCTTACAATCATTTTCGTTTTAAAACCCGCTGAGGAGAAAGTTACCTTTCTATTATTGGCATGCTGCTAAAGTTTCCCAGAAGATAAAATTGTAAACATTTCAAAATAGAAAAAAAAAACAGTGACAAAAAATCGAAACTACCCTAAATTTGAACGAAATTTACTGTGCTTGGTTTAATTATAGAAAAAATGGGCGCTCGTTTTTATGCCGCGCCTAAAAAGTAATTGTTTGTGACATATAAATAGTTTAGTTTACAATTAGATTAAACTCGAATTATTTTTCATTTCAATAATTTATAAGAATCTGGCATTTACTTTATGAATGAAATTCTAAAATTGACCAATTTTTTCTGCATACGGTAAACGGGTACGGTAAACGAAGTATGTGTACCAGGTTAGGGTTAGGCCATAATTTTACACAAAAACAAGGGAGCAATGCCGAAATATTTGTACACAAAGTCCAAACCAATCAATATCCAATCTTTAACAGTAGGCTGAAGTGCGATCGCGGAACCCCTACAGGCTACACACTGAGAAATTGTTAATTGTGATAACGAACGTTATCACACAACACTCCAAAGAGTAAAACAATTTTATATAGAACCCACAGAAGTTATTGAAATGAATAAAATAGATTTCTAGCGACAACAACAATCTTTAACCACTAAAAATTTCAAAGCAATCGGTCCAATAATTAGGGGGAAGAGCCATTTTTCACAATAACAACAAGAAAAATGCCACGAGTACTAACAACAACATAAATTTGATTCATTGGGCACACATGGTCATCAACGATTAGCCATACGTGAATTACAAAAATTCTTGAATAAAATTAAAACGACAATACCTTTCATCAAGACATCGGACGGATCAGTCGGATCTATGACGCTAAAGCCACCATCAACGACTCGCAAAACTGACGGGAAGTTGGTGACATTATCGTTTGGAAAAATACTTTGATTTTCTTGCCAGACTTCGCTCAATGCAACTTTCACAAATTCTGGTGACACACGGTTGTCTGATAAAATGCCTAAAAATCAAAGAAAACAAAAACATATTCAGGGTTTGTATTAAGAGTTTTAACTAGAGAAATACATTATTTATGAAAGCGGAATATCCGTCAATGTGGCAAAATAATTATGTTTCAAAAGTTAACATGGTTCTTCAATAAAAACTCATTGAAACAACACATGCTAATATGATTGTGAGATGAGCTATCAACGTGTGGAGTAGTCGTGTAAACATTTTAGGTCACATATCTCGGATTCAACTCCATTTTGTTACGATAACATCAACCACCGCACTCATGATATATCAATTAAACTGGCTCGTTTAAGTCCAGGGTTTTCCAAACTTTCTGCTCATCGATATTCTTGGACAATTTAACATTCGCCCATGTAACACCAAAATTGTACTGCGTTCTGTGATTGGACAAAATAAGTTACGTGATTTGCGAAAGTAGACTTGGTAGTTGTAGTTAGCTTCTACTTTGGTGAAAATGTGACGAGGAGTTCTTTTAACTAAGGTTTTAAATTATAAACAGCAGGAGAAGAAAAATATTTTGAAGCAAATTAGAAGTTAAGGAATAAATACTCTTATACTACATCTAATGTACCCCTTCAAAAGTCGAAATGTACCCTCGCGGGTACATGCGCCCCAGTTCGGGAACAAATCGAACCGAAACGCGTAAGCTATTAATAATCGCGCTTCCATACATCATATTTTTGGGTCCTTGCGCTCAGCATTTTTAGAAGTTCAAAATCAGGTTTCATTCATGTTTTCTTAATAGATATATAATGTTCAATTCCCTATTGGGCAAAACTATAGTTCGCATTTTGTGGGCAATGCTTTAATGGAAAAGACATTTTTTATGTCGTGGTAATTGAGGTGTTCGTGTATCATGTCATTCATAAAAACTCCCCTGGGAAGGTGGTGCCAGATTTTTAAATGTTATGTATGACAAGGCAACTTACCAAACGATGCATATCGATCATCCTCTTGACCTTTACCGATTCTGATCAAAACATTCAGACAGCAAAATAACACAGCATAAAAGAGTGAACGCGACATCGAGTAGGCTTCCAAAAATACCTATTAATTCTATGAATAAAATGCAGTTGTTTAGTCAACAATTCAGTTCAATTCGTTTATTACTTCAGGCGATTAAGGCCCATATCAAAATAAATGAATAAATACGAATATAACTGGGCACAGTAAAAATGAATCTTGCTAGCACGCTACAATGGAAGAGTGTTTCCAAAAAATAAACAAAAAACAGCAAAATTTTGGATTAAATATATATCGGCCATGTGGGAATTGAAAAAAAAAACTATCCTCAAACATAAATAGAAAATAAAATCAATCACAGTGTTCCAAACATTCTAGTAAACTTGGAAGCGAATTGTTCATTATTTTCGTCTTTTCTAAAAATAATATATTATATACAAACTGAAGTCCTAAATTAGTGTTTGTCACTTCCGATCTCAAACATTTTGCGGCCAATTTTCTCCCGATACGAACAAGCAACATCTGGTGGGCGATGGCTTAAATGATCGGCCAACGTGAGCAAAAATTGGGATGAACGTCGACTTCTTTTTTGGCTGTAAACTCGCTTGAAATGGGGAAACACATAAGAGAGATAAGGTTTTTGCGTCTTCTTGGCGATGCTACCGGGGACAAAGAACCCAATCTGATAAACGCATTCACAGAGACTAATCAAACACACAGAAGAGAAATTAAAAACTTTGAGGCTATAAACTTTCATTTTATCAGTCCCACACGGTTATGGTTTGGCGATAAGAGAAATTTTACTTGATACAGGACTGATTTACAAGCTGATTTATAAGTAATCTGTTAGTTTGCACTAGAATGAGCTAGTCGAGATATAGTTCTGGTTATTGTGCATTTTGTTATTGAAATTAATTGACCGAATAAAAGATTAAAATTTGAGTTGAGCGACATATTCGAGAAACAAAAAATTGTTCGCAGGAAGGAAGGAACCCTATGAACTAACGTGGACATCCATGTAGTATACATTATGTTGTAATTGAATCCAACAATGAATTATTCTCCTCATAAAAACGAGGTTTTCTTACCAATCGTTATTCAGGATGAACTACAGTGACTACACGAATTTCATGGTATGATTGAAAGCCTGTCCCATAAACTCATAAAGGACCTTCGGGGCTCCCGAGATATGCGAACCAAGATGGCGGACATCGGAATGTAATATGTTTACTAGGTTAGGATTAGGCCATAATTTTAGGTATAAATACTACGGGAGGCTCTTGGCTAGTCTTCGAACTGATAATAGGACTAAAATAAGGAAAATTGGAAAAAAATTATCGCCTAACCCTAACCTGTTACCCATGTTACGTTCCGATGTCCGCCATCTTGGTTCGCATACTTCGGGAGCACCGGACCTTCTGTATGGAAAACATCCTATGTCTACTGTCACATTTCGCTTAAACAAATTTGCCTTTGTTATATGCGCCATGCTCCTAAATTCTACCATTGTGCTACTCACTTTCATGCCCCTGAGTTGCGTAGCCACCCGGATACCATACGTAGGCCTATTCTCATACTATTATATCTTGTGGATACATTTATCAGATTCTTGGCTGTCATTTGTTTTCAGAACAATATGAGGCGCTCCAGAAGTATGTTTACCAATACGGAGTCAACTATTTTTGTTCGCCTATTTTACATCAAGTTGCATAAAAGGACTGAAACCTATGGACAGGGGGTATATTCACTTGGCTAACACAGACAGTCCCCGAACTCGTAATAGAACTAAAATAAGGATAATCGGAATAAAATTATGGCCTGACCCTAACCTGGTAGGCTACACATACTACCAATATATAGATAGTATATATAGATAGCAACTTCCCAATTCGGCTCGCATGTGCTACCAGCCATTACCTCAATATAGTTAATTACTAAACCCTACTATCCTTGCGACTAATCGGCTTAAATCCACAGCTCTCAGTGACGTGGGCTTCGATTCAAATGACGGCATAGCGGAAGATCTTCCACATTTCGATGTTCTGGTATATTATAATGTCAGGCTGCGATGTATACATGACTGTTCCACGATTACATCACAAAATTTTCGACGGACATATCGCAACAAAGGTTATCCATCTGCTTGATATAACAAGAAAACAGGCAAACGTCAAACTTCGATCAGAATGAGATTGGCTAATTGCGCGGAAACGTTGTGAGCTATCGGCAATATCGATTTGAGTGTCAGAGAGAGGTTGTATTGCCCAAACGTTGATGCGAAATAGTAAAATTATACACTCGAAAAATATCTCGTTTTATGAAACGAGATGAAGCCTTGCGCAGCCAACGAAGTGATGGAAGCCTCGGTAATAGTTTTTATTTTCTTGCTTTCACGATACAATTCTGAAGCTTGAAGTTGAATAGTTACGAGAAAGCACCAACGATAATTTCCGAATGTGAACTCTTTGCTTTGAATTATAAAATGCTTAGAATGATATTTAATATAAGCCAGGGATGGCCGAATATTTCACTATTCCGAACTAAGAAACTGCTTTGAATATAGAATACATTCTAAATTTGTGGCAAGTTCACGTGGAAAATTACATAGAATGCAATATGCTGATCCCATCTATGATGACACAAACATAAAGATCATTGGTTTTGTCTGTTAACAATTGATATATTGTATGTTTTGATCTGCTTGTCCGACGGCTTGAAATTCTGAATCATTCCTGAATTCAAAAATTTACTATATCGAATATGAAAAATTTTGAATGTACTCGAATTGGAAATTCCTGAATATAACGTGGTCGCGTTATCCAAAAAATTGTTCTCGTGTCTAGCTATTAACCTTTATAACGCTTCGACCAAAAACTATTTTCAGACAGACAGATAAGGCATTTAAAATATGGTAACCTTCAAACACATACCCTAATTTAATCAACCCGTTCAAAGACTCACTTCAGCATGGAGCTATGTGCTAAATAGCTGAAATCCACGGACAATGACGGGAATTATTCAAACGAAATACAACATCGTCTGCCTGACTCGTGAAGTTTTCCTCTTTTAATTCTTGTTCTTTTTCGTGTACAAGAAACTTGGAATCGTTTAAGTGTGTTGGATTTTCAGTAATTATACCAATTTACACAAAATATCGGAGAAAGTACCAGGAACAAAAATCGATTTCGTAATTAAATTTTCGTGAGCCAAGATTTCAATCTCGATAAAATGACGTCATGAAAAGTATGTAAAAACAATATTTGGCAAGGAATGTTGAAATTATAACAAATATATATTCGTTTTGGCCAAATGCCAGAAATTTTCTTACAAGTAGTAATCAGTATGGTTTATTTTTCTTCGTACTTAAAATACATTTTGTAAGAACTATCCGTAAATTGGCCTTTCAGGGTGCAGGGAGGCGGGTAAACCAATGCTTGTTAACGAGCAGCGACATCTGTGGTTAAGTCTGACAGTAACTAATAAAGAAGAAAGACAACGTTATATCATAAAAATTTTGAAACGAAAAAAAACTTAACCCGTTACAAACAAAAATACGACTCCAAGGTACTCGCCATACGACATTGCAGAGACAGAGCTGCTTTACATAAAACATGGCTCGGCGGTGTGACGTATCGTACTAAGCGTTAGGAATACGATCGCCATCGCACCTCTGATTACCCTGTGTGGGTTAGCAGGTTCCAATCCCATGCGGGGATAGTTATGTGCAACAGGATTGCTAGACTCCTGTAGGGTGGTTCACGTAACCGCTGGTCAGTTTTGGCTTCCTCCACCATTAAGTCCATGCATCTGAGAACAAATAACTGGCTAACCAATCCTATACCCGACATGAACTGGTACCCGGATGAGAGGCCGTGGTTCGCCATATGGTTGAGCCGTCTTATCGGCTTTCCTCTTCCCGGGGATAAATATGTAAATCGTATCCTATCCTAATTTACAATTCTAGGCACTTGGTGCTTTTTCATTTGTATTGAGCCTTATCAGATATAAATTTCAGAATCCTGTTACTTTTTTTGGTTTGTAGGTTCATTTTTATATCCCATCACGCCTTTTTCATCTATTTCTATAATATATGGGCGAGGGTAGATGGAGACAGAGGCTTCATAGTGGCAAATGAGTATGAGAGTGTGAACGGCTGAAATTATTTTGAGTACGAATTTAGGAAATAAATCGCGTTCATATTGACCAACCATGCGTTGATCGCTGGTCGATCATGAGACAGACGAAATAACAAGGCATATATATATTTCATGCTTAATACATGTCCTACTCGAGATAAATACAGATACTGATTTGGTTTTAAAAACACCTTTTCTACCGTATGAAGAGTGAAATATTTAATTTTCATTAAAACACTCCAGATCCAGACTGTGACAGAGCAAGAGGCAGCAGCCTCCCAAATGTGGCAACGGTATGATACAAAACGAAGAGTGAGTGGGATAATTGTAACCATTTATTTATCTCCCTAATACTGAAACAAATCCAATATTGATTTTGACACATTCCTCAATATACTGTTTCTATCAGTGGCGGCGCGTGGTCATTTTGACAACCGGGGCAAGCTACTGCGGGAACAAGTCACCCTCATCTACGGGGACAGGATGAGCGCTGTAAGTTCTCCCATCATTTTATGAGTATAAAAACCATTCCATCGGTAACAACCAATCGGCAAAAGCGACAATTTTTAACGATAAGAAAGTGTCTTTAAAACCGGTCCAAGTCAAGGGATTAATAAATATAGACATAGTTCATTTTGAAACCTCTTTCAAAAGGAAAGGCAATATTTACCCAGATAAATACAATGACATATTAACACAAACTTCGGGAAATGAGACAAAACCTAAAATAAGGTTTAAAACGTTACTATGAAGAAAGGAAAGTTAATGCAAAGATAAGGACATGCGCCGCTCACTCATAGATATATATGCTGCTAGACTTCTACTGCTTGAACATATATGCAACACGCCGCGGTTTCTTGGAAGCAAAATGCTCAATAACGCGCTGATTAAAGTCATGCATCCCAGAAATAACGTCTCTGTGAATGGATAAAACAGCCAAGGAATTTAATCTATCTTGCTTCATTGTGTTTCTGAGATACGTTTTAATACGCTTCAGCGTGCTGAATGTTCGCTCTGCGTCGGCGGAAGAAATAGGCGTGGTCAAAATGATGTCCAGAAATTTTGCAGACGCCGCAAAGGTAGTTACTAGAAGGTTATCTATGAGGAACCCATAGAGCGCGCAAGTTGATGTGATGTTCAAAAAAGTTTGATTGGTGTATATACATCGCAATTCATTTTCCAATTTACCCACGTTTATCATGGGGTAAAATTTGGAGACAGTAGCCAACAAATGGATGGGAAATTGACGTGCAAATTTTGAATTTTTGAGGTTCATCAAAGAGAACGCGGCAAGGTGTTCAGTGCGCAGACGATCGCCTATTCGATTCACCAGAATGTCACAGCATTCCTTTGCAGACAAAATCAAACGCTGCGTTGTTTGCCCGCGGCGTAAAGAAGCACTCCATGTGTCGTCGTATTTTATTGTTTAAGTCTGAAATACACGACTGCACAGACGCTCCATCCATTAGCCTTGACTGCAATGCGCCGTATAATACATCCACGTGGTAGAATATTGTGGAGAAAAAATGAAATCTCACCATCTTCTAGCAGACGCTTTAGACCTGCCGCCTCTCTCACAGAGCGTTCGTCCCAAACCGGAGAGCTCTGAATGCCATTGAAACACTCAATGAGCTCAGACCTAATTTCGGACACGCCCTGTACCACGCGTGATTGGAAGTTCCAACGTGTTGGTGCACAAGCTGGGAGACGGCGGCTACATATCTGGCGAAGGAGGTCACAGCGCTTCGACGAAATGGAAAAAAATGAAGAAAACCCCGAAAAAGTTGCAAAAAATATACGGACAAGAGGGGTATCATGACACATATTTTTAATAACGAGGTTAAATTGGTGTGCATAACAATGTAAAAAAATGCGCATGAGGAAAATCTTTTTTTTTATAAACTTGAACACCATGTTTCGACCCACTCATGACTGCCGCGCCGTCATAAGTTTGAGCTATCAATTTTGACTTCGCGTTGTAAGGCTGTAACCCTTCTTTCAGTACAGCCGATATCCCGCAAGCCGTGCGATCAACGATTGGTACAAAGCTGTGAAATCTCTCGGTAGGTTTACCATCTTTCACAAACCGAAAAATCACAGCCAGTTGGGAAACGCACGTGATGTCAGTTGTCTCGTCAGACTGAATCGAAAGGAACTGGCAATTCTCAATTTCCAGAGCCAAATGTTGTAAATAAATTTTATACATTGAGTCGAGCAAATCATTTTGGATATCCTTAGATGTCCCTTTCGAAACAGTTGCGGCATCAAGATGATCTCTCAATACTGTATCTAGGGATGCGGTGTATTCCACCATATCCAAAAATACCCCTCTATTAGAAGAGCCAGCCCGTTCATCGTGCCCACGGAGGGACAGCTCGTGACAACCAATGAACTTCAAAACATCTATCAATCGACCGAGAACATGGCGGTTTTTCTCGACGTTTTGGTTTTGCCGACGAATAGAAACCGCGCGTCCTTCATCCAACTGTGCTGCAATATTAACATTTCCGAATGTTCCGTATTTTACTGCATTGTCCAGATGCTCCATAGAAGATTGATGATCCCTGGCACGCTCGGAAATATGTTTAAGAACTCTAAAACCAAATTTACACCAACGTGGGTCACGGGCGGTAGCAAAAAGTAGGCAATAAAAACAAAAAAGTCCATTTTTGTCCTCGCTGTAACACAACCATTCGTGTTTTTTATACCAAGTTTCTGCGCAGAATGCACGCCGACGTTTTCCTCCGTCATGGGATTGTTCCAGTGAACAATTTTTTGGTTGATAAGGCCCAAGACGTTGTACCTCTAATTTTTGTTCCAGCGGCAGCTGCGAAAACGGAGTGCGAAGTAGTGCATCAACCTCATTCATTATGAGGTCTAAGGCTAAGAAATGCAAAGCCGGAAAGAAGTGAGGAGCTCAAAAGGAATGTGGAAAATCGAGAGCAAATAGAATAAAGGTCTCTAACTGATTCAAATAAAGAAACAAGCGACAAAAACGAAGGCGAGGAAACTATCAACTCTTCAAGCAACCAACGAACGAGAAGGAATGCGTGAATATGTCAACACGTTGTTGTAAGAAACGTCGGCATTGTGTCAACATAATTTCGCGGCTAGCCCCGATGATTTAGTAAAAGAAACAGAAAACAAACGAGACAAACCCGGCGAGTGGAAGATAAAAGAGAGAATACGATATACAATGAGCAACCGGGGCAAAATCGGCGTCGCCCCGCCGACGTTCGGCGAAGGCTTTGCGAGCGAAAAATGAACCATGTCGGGAGAATATGGCTAGTGTAGACAGTCTGTGCAACCGATATGGAGGTATTTTTCGAATATTTTTTATTATACCAAAAAAACAACCGGGGCATTGCCCCGGTTGGCCCTATTGACGCGCCGCCACTGGTTTCTATATACTTTATCTGATGACACAAGCGGAAATGCCCGAATGCTTATAATATATTGCTGACTTCGTTTCACAGGTCAAAGTTACCGAAACAGAAGAAGTCGCATGTTGGCAGATTTTGGCTCAAAAGACTTCACTGATGACTTCCCCGATGAACTTGGAAATATATATGATTATTTTGATACCCTTGTCAGGGAGAAATGTACGTTGTGGTTTTACCAATTTAAAAAAGTTAGATAAACACCAACAAGTTAGTTATAATTAAATAACAATAATATATAAATTATACGGAATTTCAGAAAGTTTCAACTAATACTTCTATTATGAAGGTCTCTTTGAAAATATAACGAACACATTCCAACTGACACGCAATTGAATGTCTTCGTCTTTGGAAGTTTCCATGCCAAGTAATTGTTTCAAGTTATCAAGGTATTGACGAAGGATATCGGGATCATCGGCCTTCTTTTCTCTGAGATATGTTTGATATCCGGACCATGTCGAAAGAAAATTTTTGAGGTCATTCATATTCCAATGGCGGGTTATAAATATGCTATCGTCTCTGGATTTCTCGTTGCTTGGTATCATGTCGAATATTTCTACGTAACGGTTGTTTACATGGTCAATCCGTTCATGGAACTTGCACTGATAGTGGAGCTTTAGCAATAACTCAGTAGCTTTCTCATTCATTGTCGTTTCATCAAAACCAACAGGCATTTGTTCTGGAATAAGTTGAAGTAGACCGTATCCATAAAATACCATGCTACCGTCGGGTTTCAAAACTCGCCGACTTTCAGCCCAAAATTTCGGAAAATCGATCCAATGAATTGCTTGACCAGAACATATCAAATCGACTGAGTTCTCTTCCACGGGTAAACATTCACCTGTTGCAACTAAGTACGTAATATTGCTCTTTTCATTTTTCTTTGCTACCGCTATTTGGCTTTCACTTGTGTCAATGGCAGTTATCCTTCCAACATAGTCTTTATATATTTCTGTTGATTGGCCATTCCCACAGCCAACATCTACCATGTGTTCTAACTGACCATTAGACTTATTTTTCTTCGCATAATCAATCACCATCCGTGTCACCTCGTATGGATAAGTAATGCGATACTTTGCATACAGTTCTGCATGTTTCAAACCTTCAAAACCCTTCAGCATTGTGATCGTAGATTATTTATCAACCTGATTTTCACCTTAATAAACTGTGTATGCTGAGCAAATCGTTGAATAACGAACATTCCAGCGAATGGGTCGATAGTTAAATAAGTGACAAGTCAAACAAATGAGTACATAGAATATAGCAGTGCCACGCTATTCCTATTGCGCTTCAGTAACAATTCTTGCCATCTTTGAGCTACGTTGTAATACATGCTATTTTATAGCATTTACTTCTCTTTTTCTTCCACGTATAAATAATATAGAAATCTTTTGTTTTTACAAATAACATGTGAAAGTAATTTTCCATCGAATTTGAACCCTGCATTTTTAGCTACGGTAGAGTGAACAACGAAGATCAAAGTTTCACTGCGAGCGAGAGTATTTATTTTTAAAATAGTTTGTCCTACTAACTCTGTGATTCATGACGCGTCATTGCAGAAGGTCATATTGCGCCATATTTCAGAAACATATATTCTTCTGGGTTACATAAGATTGACTTTGATGGAACCCGATAAAAGAATTTGGGGCGCTCTAGAAGTATGTGTACCAAATACCAATATGGAGGTAACTAATTTTGTTCGCCTACTTTACATCAAGTTGTGTAAACTGTAAAGGGACTAAAACCTATGGGCAGGGGTATATCCACTTGGCTAACACAGACAGTCTCCGACTCGTAATAGTACTGAAATAGGGAATATCGGAATAAAACTATCGCCCAACTAAAACCTGGTACACATACTACGAGAGTACCGAATTTGGAGGCGGAAGCATATTTACCGGACTTGATAATAATATATGGAACGTTGTGAAACTCTCGGGTCGCTTGCGCACCACCGGCACATTATTTTGGGCTAACTTTGTATGAACTCAACAATTCGACATTTAGTGATGTTAGCAAAAAAAATAATGACTTCGATGAACCAGGTTTGGAAATACACTCATCGGGTCATTGATAATAAATTAATTATAATTAACAGACCGATAAAAGTTCCCCAGTCATAGCTAAACTATTAAATCACGAAAACTAAAATATCAGTGAATGAATGCAATTGATGTATATACTATGAACCCAGTAGTCCATATAAACCAGAGATTCCAAATTTTTTTTAGTTATTTATTCTTACCTTCCTACGAGTAGAAAGTACTTTTTTTTATTTAATCTTCAAATGGATCCCTAACCCTTTATATCAAATGACATTGGAATTTTATTGGACTGCATTCCTTTCACCGAAAAAGTTAAAATTTCACCCAGGTTTTTGATGGTTAAAAAAAATGGCCTAAAATGTAGAAATTTTGGTATAATTGACATATTTTGTGATGATTCGTGACACAAAGTGTTTGATTGTGTGATACAATTATTTCATATGAAATGGACTCACTGAATTTAAGTTAATAAAGTTTAAATGTTTGCAGTGCTGTAGGACATTTCTCCACCCATTTAACGGTTTATTACCAGAATTTTGAAAGATGATAGAGGCCGCTGTTCCGAAGTGGAAAAGGTCTTGTGGTGTCACGTCCTGTAGTGTCACATACAATATGCACATTATTGGCATGGATTTACACTGTTACATTAGGTGAATTGAGCAACACGTGAAAGGGCCTTCAGCTACTGCACCAAAAAATATTATGGGCTCCTGCTGTACCATCGCAAAAATTTACAGCACAACATAATGTACTGTTAATGCATGGTGGATTTACCGTCCTGTAGTGTCACACTATATTTTTTATATCCACCAAGTATATCTTGGGTGTAACTTTTGTGCAATTTTTTCCATATTAAATAAGGCAACTGATTGGACAATGAAACAAAACATGTAGCTGAAAATGTAAAAATTTATTGCATCCAACAACATGAAAATTTTCTGGAATTGTCCTGTAGTGCCACTTGGAATAGCCCTTTATAATACGTGCGCCATATTTCAGAAACATATGTTATGTCATATATTCTTCTGGGTTACATAAGATTGACTTTGATGGAACCCGATAAAAGAATTTGGGGCGCTCTAGAAGTATGTGTACCAAATACCAATGTGGAGGTAACTAATTTTGTTCGCCTACTTTACATCAAGTTGTGTAAACTGTAAAGTGACTAAAACCTATGGGCAGGGGTATATCCACTTGGCTAACACAGACAGTCTCCGACTCGTAATAGTACTGAAATATGGAATATCGGAATAAAATTAGCGCCCAACTAAAATCTGGTACACATACTACGAGAGTACCGAATTTGGAGGCGGAAGCATATTTACCGGACTTGATAATAATATATGGAACGTTGTGAAACTCTCGGGTCGCTTGCGCACCACCGGCACATTATTTTGGGCTAACTTTGTATGAACTCAACAATTGTACATTTAGTGATGTTAGCAAAAAAAATAATGACCTCGATGAACCAGGTTTGGAAATACACTCATCGGGTCATTGATTATAAATTAATTATAATTAACAGACCGATAAAAATGTCCCAGTCATAGCTAAACTATTAAATCACGAAAACTAAAATATCAGTGAATGAATGCAATTGATGTATATACTATGAACCCAGTAGTCCATATAAACCAGAAATTCCCAATTTTTTTTAGTTATTTATTCTTACCTTCCTACGAGTAGAAAGAATTTTTTTTTATTTAATCTTTAAATGGATCCCTAACCCTTTATATCAAATGACATTGGAATTTTATTGGACTGCATTCCTTTCACCGAAAAAAGTTAAAATTTCACCCAGGTTTTTGATGGTTAAAAAAATGGCCTAAAATGTAGAAATTTTGGTATAATTGACATATTTTGTGATGATTCGTGACACAAAGTGTTTGATTGTGTGATACAGTTATTTCATATGAAATGGACTCACTGAATTTAAGTTAATAAAGTTTAAATGTTTGCAGTGCTGTGGGACATTTCTCCACCCATTTAACGGTTTATTACCAGAATTTTGAAAGATGATAGAGGCCGCTGTTCTGAAGTGGAAAAGGTCTTGTGGTGTCACGTCCTGTAGTGTCACATACAATATGCACATTATTGGCATGGATTTGCACTGTTACATTAGGTGAATTGAGCAACACGTGAAAGGGCCTTCAGCTACTGCACCAAAAAATATTATGGGCTCCTGCTGTACCATCGCAAAAATTTACAGCACAACATAATGTACTGTTAATGCATGGTGGATTTACCGTCCTGTAGTGTCACACTATATTTTTTATATCCACTAAGTATATCTTGGGTGTAACTTTTGTGCAATTTTTTCTATATTCAATAAAGCAACTGATTGGACAATGAAACAAAACTGAAGCTGAATGTAGCTGAAAATGAAAAAATATATTGCATCTAACAACATGAAAAATTTCTGGAATTGTCCTGTAGTGTCACTTGGAATAGCCCTTTATAATACGTGCCCAAATAAGTAAGTATTAATAATAATAATAAAAATATCGATAATACTACAGCAAATACAAATCAAAATTTCTCACCAAGGACAACAAAACTCCTACTTGGTAGGAAATATTCTCGGGTTGACAAACGCGGTAAAACAAGTTGCCATATTGCACTTTTTTTTTATCAAACAAATAATTTCATGTCTATGTGATGAGTGGGATCTGGCAACCCTTATGTGAACTCATGCAACGTGAACAGAAAAAAGCTTACTATTGACTACTTTACACTGTATACGTAAGCTACATTAACATGACACGCTTCACACATAAATCTAATACTCAAGAAACGCCAAATATGCGCTTGTCGGTAGCTGCGATGCATGTTACCCATTCGCTGCGGTATTCTATTTTCTAAAACATAAAACAATAACGAGTTCGATAATATCACGACATTCTAAGAACGGCTTCGCGCGAACCGCCTGAAACACCGCAGGTGATTACTTCTTTAGCGTTTGATATCGTATGCTTCATATTGCATATATAACAGTGATCGAAACACGGCCCAGGTAGACCAGTACCATCTCAAAATTAGGAGTCAGTCTATTATCTTTACATCCGCTTTAATGTCTGCGAACATCAAAAATCTTGTAACTCATTCACCTGGTACATTCATACTGTATTTCTCTTATTAGTGGGTATTAAATTGGGTGCCGAACTGTAAAGACTTTCAAATAATAGTGACTTCTCACATATGACCTTGCTTCGAGCGGGAACGAGTCCTATAAAAAAGAAGTTCAAATGCTTGCCAGCTGCCGGATCATGCTTCGTCCCAGAAATCATGCGTCACACCTCAACCAGTCCCGTGCAATGTTAGTCATTTGTAAAAAAAAGTCAAAGTCATGTTCGAAGAGAAATTAAATCAAAAGTTAGACTCTAAGATAATGTCACAAGCGAAAAACGTCTCGGAGTCGACAGTGTCGATTCTGGTCTTAATTTCAATTCGGTTCTGCCACCAAACTATATCTGAATAGCAAATTCATATCGAGCAGAACTAACACTAGGGATTATGTCGGGCTGACTGCATTTTCTTGCCTTGTCCTTTCGCACAAGAAGATGCGTATGCATTAATATAAAAATTATGACGTGTAATTGTTTAATTTACTTCGCAAATATTACTCACTGAACTGTGGGATATTCATTGCTATTTCAACCTGACTTCTTGGGATGTCCACATTTTTATTTCTCTCTATTGAAAACAATCTCCATTGATAAACATTATTTATGTGTATGCTATTTTTTTTTATCATAGTTTGAATATGCGTGTTTGGCGGAACGTCACAAAAATATGCATTTGTGAAATACAGAAAGATACATTTGTGTTAGTGTTAAGCAAGGTTCTTCAATCAAATATAGCAGATGCCAGCATGAATAAAATTTCCCCCTGAAACTGAATGTTATAACGTTCGATGCAGTTTATAAAATTGTGGTTACTTGCAAATAAAAAACGGAAACCATCTGAGCAAGGTGAATTGTACTGTGTTGCATGTTTTCTGGCCAGTTTTGCTATTCATCATGGTACGATGTAAAGCTTGTTTCATTCGTCCATATTAGCGATCGATACTATACAAAACAGGACGTAACATCTCCGCTCCCGCCGGATACATTTACGACATGGCGTGATATTCTAGTCAATGGAAATACCCATATTACGATTAGAGGCTTTTTATGATATTTAGTCGGCATTTATTCAGATAAGAGCATGATGGGGCGATGCATGGGACATAAGGTGCATAGTAACCATTTTAAGCGGGACATAGTGGGCATCATCGTTTTAGTGTAGGCATGATTATTTTCGTGGGGTAGTGCTTTTTAGTAGGTGTGACACATTTTACTAGGTACATCGCCATATTTTGGGGAAAACCTTTGAATATTTTCGACTGCATTCACTAAAGTTTTGTTTGACAATGATTCGTAACATCGGGCATTATTGTGGCGTTTTTATCAGAAATTATCATGCCAATCTTCATCGAAAACATGGCCATCATTGGCTAATAACTTGACAGAAAAATCCGCCGATACCTCTGAACTAATTATTCGTGACACAATTTTTGCAAAATGTGAACTGATCTTTGATACTTTTTGCAGGTCTTATGATACCGCATGATGCATTTAATTATGGTTTACTCTCACAAGTCAATAACTAAATGCGTCATCACAAATTAGACACGCGCGCTGTCGGTTTGAATACGTGTATCGCAAGTCTGGCTATAACGAGTTACTGATATTTCTATTTAACCAAAACGTTTGCTTAGTATGCTAAATGCTAAGATATGCTTATAATTAAAATACCTAACTTTCAAACCGGCTCTTCCAAGTTCTAACTTCAAATCCATATAATTTGAACGCATCTGTTATGATGTCAAGCTACGTGTGGAATATCGAAAGTGACATTATGTTGTTGCCACACAATATTTTTAAAAAATTTTCGAATTTGGTTGATTTTAGAATGCAGTTGAAAGGTTATCAATATCAGTTGTTTTGAATTTATATAATAACTGTCAAATTAGTTTCCAATTATATCAATTTTACACATTTCAAGAGTTCCACGATCAAGGATTAATGATAAATTTCCGCAGGTTAAAAAATGAATTTCCCGGATTCGAATCGATTTATAAAAACGTGATTTAATTTTCGACTGAATTATCCCAATTTAAGTTTGAACCGGCCTCAAAACAACACAGCAAAGTCGAACCGCGTAGTGATAACCAGAGTGATTCGAAATTAGCTTACAGAACACTGGGAACAAATTGTACTTAACACTATTTTGTCGTAGATAAAATGATTCCACAGTTAAGATTTATAAAGGCGCGTCTTTGGAAATTTGTTTGTCTCAAAAAAAAAATTCGAATTAAAATTGGTTAATACATACTACTGATAAAGTTAAGTTGATTTACCGAATTTTTTTAACGTTTTATAGACGAAAATTTCCAAGATTTGCACCGACGTTTGAGACTTCTGCAAATTTCAATCAATATAAGCAGTACGGTGCAGTATACAGATAATTACCGTGTTAAGTTGAGCAATAATTTGCAACCTTTCATAGAAATTAATATTTAATAAGTTTGCTTTTCGGAAAAGATGTTTATATTAGGATAGAACTATAAATGACGAGAACGGAAGGAGGTGTAATTTTGGCAAAGATTCAAATGTGCGTGAAATTGCCATCACTTCATTCTTTAGTTGTTTTCAGGTTATGTACTTGAGTCGGTTTCAAATGAAGTGTGTGAGATGCTGCCTCATGCAGAGAAAATATTTTTTGTAGTCGCAACAAAATGAATCAAGGTAGCATCTGAATTGTTTTGTTCGCCTACTTTACATCAAGTTATGTAAAGGGACGGAACTAAGAGCAGGGGGGAATATTCACTTGGCTAACACTGACAATCCGGAACTCGTAATAGAATTAAAATAAGGAAAATATGAATAAAATTATGTCCTAACCTGGTACACACACTACGGGAGTGCCGTATTTTTGAATAAAATATATGAAGTTTTCGATATATGTGGTCAATCTGTAAACATTTTCAATCCTAACAAATTACGCATACGTTAATCAATTCGTTGTAATTAATGTGGCCTCTTGTTTGTGGATTTGAAATGGATTTAATTATTGTGCACTAAAGTTTTAATTCTTCCACAAAACTTCAAGAGAACCTTTATTGATTGTTTGAAAGTAAATAGATATATCAGATATTTGAACTTTAAACAGGAATTACTGAATTTTTGTGAACAATTTTGAAATACTATCGTAAAACTTGTGTAAGTTTACCGTATATTTCACGATGACCGAATCAAGCGATATCAGCGTCGCATGGATTTCCAGACAATTATAGGACCATCAAGCAGTGACCATATGTAATCGATGTTTAAATTACTAATAAATTAGAGTTATGACTTACCTAGAAAATGAGCTACAAAAAGTCAGCTGAACCGAAGAATATTAGGTAGGCGTATTCTCATGATGAGTATGAGTAAGACAAAAAATATATTTCCCGATGTGTATTTTAGAATGTGACTACGCCAAATTAGTCCATAATTGGCGAAATCGTACTGGTGACAGGTTAGTGTTTATTTATAATATTCTACATCGGAGATGAATATGAGAGTAATTGGAAGCGAGAGATTTAGCTTAATTTGGGTCTACCATTGGTGCAAGTATTAATTATGCTCCAAATATTTACGCTAGGATTGATTGCTATTATGTGAAGCATTGGTATATGCTGATAGTTATTTTCTAGATTCAAGGTAATTTTAATGATCTTTAGTTTGATCATGTTGTAGAATATTCATTTTGGTCGTTTGCGCGAGAGGCAGATGGCGTGATTTTTAATTTTTTTAATTGTCTTGTTGTTAATATTGGAGAATAATTTAACGATCATTAGATTTGGTATAATTGGAAAAATATCTTACTCTTAATGAGCTGGTGTCCAGGCTATTTTTTAGAACTAATTCTCAAAAATATATATCATTCGTAGATCCAATCATTCGAGCTTCGTCCTACGTTAGGTAGCCCCTTCCACTATCTTTGGGACAGTACATAATACACTGAAAGTTATTTACAATTCTGCTGACATAAGCGCGCTTGCGATATAGGTGATCTGATATAAAAATTAGCCATGATTGCAATATTCAATCTATATATATTTTATCTCGTATTCTAAACAGATTTTTCGATAGATAATGAATACTTCCACATTTACACCCGTTGATGATGGTGCAGATCAAAGCACTGATCAGACAATTTACATTGTTTGTCAAGGTATCAATAGTTGTCTAATGGTTGCCACACTGTGGATTTTACTTTGCCTGGTCATGTACGGAGTGAGGACCAAGAAATGGGCGAAGAAAAGCAAAAGGTCTGACATGAACGGTGGCATGGTTTATACCGCATCTGTAATCGCCGTAGCAGCGACTATTCCAAGATATATTGCGGACCAGATTATATTCAGTGCGGTCTATATCGATGGTGCGTTACGGTGGTGTGAATTCTTTATGGACACAGGAAACGCCACTTATTTTATGGCGTTATATCCAATATATTTATTTTTGTGGTTTCGACAGAAAGCGCTCTACGGTCACCCAGCAATGAAAAGATTAGCAGGAAAATGTGTGTCTGTCTTCGGCTGGGTGACGTTGGTTGGCTTGTCTCTAGCTGCAATTGGGGTGGGATTGATGTTCGTCGTTCCTTCCGACTATACTGGCAGTCCAAATGGATGTGTTGTTGATTTATTAAAATCTAACTCGTCTTACAGCACTGATGTTCCATATCGATTAAGCTACTATGTTTTAGTAGTATTGTTAATCGTTGCCCAACTGTCTCTACTCAGTCTTTTTATTTACCCCATGGTTCGTAGCAACGCAATACAAAACAGCAGACGATTGTCGCAATCTTCAACAAAACCGTACGCAATTGATAATCTAGACGACATCGATGGTTTGCCCGGAAAAAAGATCAGCAGATTTCGTTCCTACATGTCAACAATCCGAGATGCGAGCAGAAAAATTTCAACTTCGTCTTTGGGGAAAAAACCAAACACAGTTCAAAAGACTATACGAAGATCAGTGGCGTGCGCTTCAATTTCTATGGTTTCTGATGTCCTTGCCATGGCTGTCGTATCATTCGTGATACCTCAAACAGTCCCCCGTTCGCTGACAAACACCGTGTACGATATAAGCACACTTGTTAGTGTTCTTAGTATTTTAGCAACCTTCAGTAACTATCGGGATATACTGACTGTTTGCTTTCGAAAGTCGCCTTCTGGCGGATCTGAAAAATTGTCACAAAGTGGCGGCGACGATAGTAGAGCATACAGTGACAGATCTTATAATCAAACCTCGTCAGTATAAAACTTCGATGGTATTCAAGAATGTTGGGGCCTTCAATGAACGGATAAAGGCAGATCCAACAAAATGGCTATTCAGGATGGCCGCTGTAACGAGATGGCCATCTATGCATTCGACCAAAAGTTCCGTACGACTCCGGGTTTATAAAAATTTCAGGCAGGCAAAATTTTTCAAAACGTTAACTTTGCAAACCATTTTCCGATTGGATCGAGAATATCACCTTTAGCTTGCGACCTGGACTTCCACGTCATACTCGAGAGCAGTTCAAATAATTTCGACCTCTCTGCACAGAGGTTTGAAATACGGCTCCGAATCTCGAGCACTTGCAAAAGTTCCCCACTCCGGTTCCACGGTCACGATTTACAGACACTTTACCTAAACGTGAATTTGTACTGATACAGGTCCCAGTACTTCACCACAATGTTGATCTGTGTAATGATTATTTAATAAGAGAATAAGACGCAATTACGGTATTATTTGGACAGTATTTCGACATACTTTTATGTCGAATGTACATTTTACGTTTTTCTGATACTAACTTATATGCATATTTTATCAAATGCTTTTTTCTTTCAGTTTTATTTATTTATTTTTTAATAAAATTCTGTCAGAAAATATTAATATCGTCCAGGACGAAGGTCAATATTATTGTAGTTATGTATACCGATCCTGAAGAAGGGGAAAGCCGAAAAGAAGGCTTAATCATACGGCCTCTCGTCCGGTTACCAGTTTGTCGGATATGGGATTAGTTACCCAGTTATTTGTTGCAGATGTATGGACATCGGCATGAACAATTTTCCGCCCAATTTTAAGCTGTGAATTACGCGCTGGTACTTTCATGTTATTGTGACAAGCATAACTATCTGTTAAAGCAAAATGCAAACGCACAAGAGTTACTTTTCACGTCAGTGAATTGCAGCAACTGGTGGCGACGCAGCATTCGGTAGAAGTCTACTGCGTGACAGTATTTTGCATTGATCAAATATTACTCGCACAACATGTTTCTATAAGGGATATTTAGCAAATAAAAAATTTCAGTTTAGTTAAAAAGTTACTTTGCTTTTTTGTGAAAACAGGAAATATTAACAGACTAGTAACCCGAGTACACTACTAATTTAGACAGACAAGACTATCTAACATTATGATTTAGTTTAGTTAGAATATCGAGATAAGATTGGAAAACGCAAGTTTGGAAAGTTGAAATAAACACGGTTGTTGTTGGATTATTTATTTCAGGTTTTACATATTTTTTGTGTAGTTAGGAGATTTCATGAAAAAGTATATTAACTAATTCATTAATGCAAACATGCGATCACGTATAGCTACGGTTCTTCCATGAAAAATTGCAATAATACTCACACCAATACAGTTTGTAAACAGATTGTCCAACCGAAAGGCCGTTACAACATAGGAACAATTTAGATTAATGTTAGAGTGTTATGTGTAGCGATAGGATTCAAAATGTTAAAAACGGGTTCTCTCTTGTATCGATACCGCCAACAACATGTTCCATCATTCCAGAAAATATATGTATGTCACTACAAAATCTACATTACCATGACACGCTTTACACCAAATTTACTTTAATGGTCAGATGCGGTGCTTGTTGCGGTTATATAACAGCCAAAACAAAAACGAGATAGCGATCAGAGACCGCTGACTTATCGATCTAGCGGCGTGTATCTTCCGCTCTGACTTAATAGCGACACCGCGTGTCCCAGCACTAATTAATTAATAACTCTCTAATTATACGACATAATTTTTCTGGTCCGAGATATGATGAATGCACATGCAAAATTTGGAGCAGATTCAACCTCGCTTTCGTGAGATATCGCATGTGTCTAACAGACAGACAAGTACCCATCAACATACTTACCGATCGAGTTCGATAAGTAACAAGATTGGGCTCGTTGATTATCGTGACATTTCAAGGAAAGGTTATCGACACCCGCCCAACTCCACCACTGGTTATGTGTAATAATATTCGTAGAGATAAAGGAACGATACCGTTAGGCGCTACACAAGGTTGTTGGCAATCCCTGTACATACAATACTTGATGTGCCAAACCAAATAGGCGACGCCAATGGTCCAACAACAATGCTTTAGACTTAGAGGACGTAGCCAAGGCACTGAGTTTTTCCTCGAATGCAGAGCAAAAGTATGACCTTGCCTTTTTTGGCCCTCCCGTAGTATGTGCACCAAGATGGCGGACACCGGAACGTAGTATGTGTGCCAGGCTATGGTTAGGCCATAATTTTATTCCAATTTTAGTTCTATTATGATTTCGGGGACTAGCCAAATGACTTCCGTAGTATTTGTAACTGAAATTATGGCCTGACCATACCACGTTCCGGTGTCCGCCATCTTGGTTCACATACTACGAGAGTAACCTTTTTTTTGAAGAACAAGTGCCTAATTGGCGTTGCGGGGTGGTCTGGCAAAAACATTCATGGAACACGGGAAGCTGTTTGACTATAGTTACATCACAAAACCCTCGAAAGGTGGAATTTATACAGCATTATTACCGCTCTACTGTCGTTGTTAAGCTTTTTTGCTGTACAGCATACTGCTTGGAAAAATGCTTAACCGCTTTATGATGTCTAAGATATATCCATATAATATACGCAAGCATTCTGAACAGTCGTGTGTTTTCTAAACTAACACTTTTCAACTAACTAACATTCGTTGAATAATAAAATTACCATTGAGTTATTTCATTATTTTGGATACACAATTAAAAACTGACAAACGGCACGCAAATATTTTACAAAAATGTACATGATAAAGTAAACAAATATAAAGCAAAGCTAAATATATATATACGTATATTGAAAAAAAGGCGAACAGAAAAAGCACTGTTTTTGCTATACGGGCATCTCGTTTTATTTATTCATGGTTCGAATATGTAAAAAGTAATATCCATAACAAATCATAAGTAGGCCAATATACTTTCAAGAACGCATTCGGCTAAAACAGCGATTAAAAAGTTATATATTTGAAATAATTGATTGGAGTTATATTAACTAGCAATCCAGATTATTATTTCGTCATGCAAGAATCAAAAGAAAAACATAGTAAATTGAAAATATTAATTCACAGCAACTGGCCCGGGGTCTCGGAAGATTCAGTGAGTCATCGACACCTTGTTGCTGTATTACAGCAGCAATATAGCAATAAGATAAAAATTTGAGAAATGTGAAAGTATTCGATGTGGTAAAGTATGTGTAATAGCATATTAGATCTGTGCAAAATACTGTTTTGCTAGACCTGGAGTGGAAAACGGGGTCGTATTCTAAAACTATGCTATGTGCATAGACGTGTTAAAATTATGAGCTCTTTCATTCGAGAGTCGAAGTTTCATACTCCAAAAAGTAGGCCGTAAAAAAGGTATTTGCTTCACAAATTTGTTCATCCCGGAGTTCAAATTTTTTATTCACTCTAAATCAAATGAAAATTACTTGGGATACACAGAGTTCTAGTTAGCTTATCATAGACAGCCATCTTGAATAGTCATTGCGGTGAATTCAGCCTCTGAACTCTGTTATCGCTTCCACCACTTTCCGATCCACTGGAAGACAATTGTTGACAAAGCACAGTTAAAATATCACGATAGTTACTGAAGGTTGCCAAAGTACAGAGGACATTAACAAGTATACTTATATCATATACGGTGTTCGTCAGTGAACGGGGGATTGTGTGAGGTATCACGAATGATACGACAGCCATGGCGAGTATGTCAGAAACTATAGATATCAAAGCGCATACCACTGATCTTCGTATAGTCTTTTGAACTGTATCCGGCTTCTTGTGTGAAGATAGAAATTTTCTGCTTGCAAATCGAATTGCTGAAATGTAAGTAAGAAATCTACTGATCTTTCTTCCAGGCAAAACATCGCTGTCGTCTTGATTATCAATTACGTACGGCTTTGTTGAACATTGCGACGACCGTCTGCTGCTTTGTATTGCGTTGCTACGAACCATGGGGTAAATAAAAAGACTGAGCAAAGACAGTTGGGCAACGATTAGCAAGACCACTAGAACATAGTCGCTCAATCTATATGAAACATCACTGTTGTAAGATGCGTTAGATTGCAATAAATTAATCACACATCCATTTGGGCCGGCAGTATAGCTCGAAGGAACGACAAAGATCAATCCAACTCCAATCGCAGCCAGAGACATGCCAACAAACGTCACCCAGCCAAAAGCAATTACACATTTACCTGCCAATCTTTTCATTGCTGGGTGACCATAAAGCGCTTTCTGTCGAAACCACAGAAATAAATATATCGGATACAGCGCAATGAAATATGTGACGTTTCCTATGTCCATCATGACTTCACACCATCGCAACGCACCATTGATATAGACCGCACTAAATATAATCTGACAAGCAATATATCTTGGAATGGTCGCTGCTACGGCGATTACAGATGCGGTATAAACCATGCCACCGTTCATGTCGGATATTTTGCTTTTCTTCACCCATTTCTTGGTCTTGAGCCCGTAAATGACCAGGCAAAGTAAAATCCAAAATGTGGCAACAATTAGACATCCATTGATGACTTGACAAACGATACAAATTGTATGATCAGTTCGTTGACCTGCGCCAATATCAACGGGTGTAAATGTTGAAGTATTCATTATCTAGCTGTTAGAGAATATGAGAAAAAAAATAAGAGTTCGTGCTTAATTAATGTAGATGATCAGCGCGCATTTAGAAGCGATTTTAAACAAACCTTCGCTGCCCCCTAAATACTAAACTGTGCTGCTGAGGGTTGCAGAGACAATACTGTACACTGTACAGCAATGGGTCTGGGAAAACGGCTCTTGACACCAGAATGTCCGGCGTTTTCCAACTGGGGAGGGCTTCTTTCGCGGGAGGAATTTTTCTTTCTTGAGGATGGATTTTGCTTTAAATATCACTTAGTATGGTGCTCCTGGAGTATGTGCACCAAGTTGTTGTATAACCTGAACCCTAACTTGGTACACATACTATGTTCAGGTTGTGCGCCATCCTGGTGCACATACTTCAAGAGGTCCTTTAGTTTTTCATTATTGCTATAACACTTATTTATCACCTCATCATAAACAAAAGTTGGATTGCGACTTGCGCAAAAACAAGCGATCCATTGAAGATTGAACCAAATAAAATACTCCTATGAATAGTGACGAGGAACGAATAGTTCCAAAATATACGAATGGAAGAATTTAACGACAAGGGCTGCTCTACAACACGACCAAACAAAAGTTCACGAAAGTCAGGTTTATCGAAAAAATCTTTTTAAAATATTTCATAAAATGACTCATATATATATATTCCGCTGATTTATGGCAGCCAATTTTAGTCTGTGCTATACTACCTTCCGAAAATAAGACTGGGTCTTATTTCAATTTTTTTGAAAAATAACACTGGGGCTTATTCTCGAGGGATGTCTTATATTTTCATCCATCGAAAACAAACTTACAAAGTAGCGAATTGCGAGATTTCGAAATATACAAAAATTTAAACCTATATCCATTTACCTACAACTAACACGTTTTAATTCGAGATAATTGCAAAACATAGACTATCAATCATTTAAAACGCGTAAAAAACTTTCTTGCTATCGACTAGACCCCAAACAAATTCGCGTTTTTGACTAGGTCTTATTTTAAGGGAAGGGCTTTTATTAAAATCATTTTTAAAATTCGGGCTAGGTATTAATTCCGAGGATTACTGCACTCAAATTCTTTCAAATGTATCTTGATAGCCGAGATTTCTAACTGAATTCTGCTGGGCTACGAACGCGCGAGGTGTTGTAGAATCCATACTACTGTCAAAAAGCGTCCACCACTCTGAAGGTGAAAGCGGTTTCACGAAACCTTCATCATTCACATTAAGCCTTTTTTGTTTCAATTAAACGATGCCTCACAACATAAAAATGCAAATCAAACACAAGGAAGCTGAGCGGACTATGCGTTGTATAATTTCTGCTATTAAATTATAAATGACGGCGCAGTCGTTAAATGATAAAATACAAGAACACAATTTAGACTGAATTTGACAGATACAAAATTTGCATGCTGGCTCCTCCGTTTATTTAGATTAGACACATTGCAGTAGCGTTGATGTATACTTTTGGTCAATACATTTTTGTCTTAGAGAACACGTCCGGGCTGATACTGGCGTTTGATCAGACGCGCGTGAATAACGCATATGAAATACCCTTGACTTGGATGACACCAAGCACCAAGGTTAATCAAATTGGGGTGAGATCATTATGGACTCATATTTTCGTCATCGATGTATCCTTGGTATATTATTTTTTTCGAGATTTCAGAAAAAGAAATGCATTCCAGCAGTAAAAAACGTTCCCGTATTATCGAAGTGCTTATAAGCTAAAGATGCATTTAACAACAATATGACGTTGCCTTTTCACCAAGATTCTTGGTCACACATCTAGTTCTTCCACAACTAACAACGCATGTACAAACTTCATATCAATTTTTACATATTTCGTTATTTAGTCGTTTTGCTACAGCTACACCATAGCGGAGTTCAAAATAAATGAGCTTATGTGAAACGGGATTCAGAATAATTCATATACTTCTGGTTCAGATGTTAATAATGTGTCCGATATCCCCAATTCAAAACAATGTTTTCTAACCTATAATTGTTTGTAAGACTCCACTAAATATTTACATGGCTTTTGTTTCTTGTTAAATTTTTATATTCGAATTCCTATTAAAATTTTATAGAGCTAGAGCAATTGAAAAATTAATATTAAACATGGCATATAATTCTGCTTAAATTTTACAAAACAAAATTTGAAACATGTATGTATTCACTATAACTTTGGGTGCTCCAGAAGCATGTGTACCAATATGGAGTTAACTAATCTTGTTCGCCTACTTCACATTAAGTCTATGGACAGGGGGTATATTCACTTGGCTCACATAGACAGTCCCCGAACTGGTAATAGAACTAAAATGAGGAAAAATCTGAATAAAATTATGGCGTAACCCTAACCTGGTACACATACTATGGGAGTACCAACTTTGCTGCAAGAGGTAAAAATTAGGTACATTTTAAAAATAATTAGAAAATAAGGTATTTATTTGAAGGATAACAAAATCGGATGGTGAACAATATGCATTCTATATACACATTAAGCGGATTGGCACATGTATATGAATATACGATTTGATAGGATTTTTCTTTATTCCAATGTGATAATAATTTATATGAGTCCGGAGTTTTGTATTGCGTATGGATAATATAATAATATCAGTCGATGAAATATAAATTGACATTTCCAAATTGTCCCGCATAGCATCAACGGGCTAGGTTTTAAAACGTAGGTTTTAAAAAATGAATTTTGTGCTATTGGTCATTCGATGTAGAATTTTTTGAGATTGAAACGATTGCTTATTAGGATTATCCAATTGTCTAGTTTGGTTATATTCCAAGTCACAGTTATTGCACATGTATAAAAAAATTAAGCTAAAAAACAACTTATAAAACTTGCTGAATCATGCTGCAAATATTAACAAAATCATATAAAAAAATTAAAATCGGTCAATACTGTTCCATAAAAGTAACATCCAACCATGGGTCTTTTGTCTGAAAAGTGTCAAATAAAAGTTGCTAGTACTACTCTATATTCAGTTATTTTAATAAGACATTTTCACTTCCTCAACCGAAACAAAGTTAGACTACAGACACACATGATCTTCTCAGTATGGCAATACCAATGCAATTCATTAAACTCAGTGTCAGAGTGAGATGATGGTCAATCATGGAATTTAAATCCGATAAGTTGAATCTGCAGCGGCAACATTATTAGGACCAATGCTCTGACCATTATGTCATGACACTCTCTCAGAGCTGGATTTTTTTCTGCTGAGTTTAATTTATATTATTCTGATTGAGCTGTATATATATCTATGACAAGGGTATTTATTTCCCAAATTAATTTTTGTCAACTTGGAGTTGGGACACAATTTTTGTACCCCGTACCTTTTGGGATATCTTTTTCATTTTAGTACTGATTAAAAACAAAATGATTAAATCAATTAAAAATTTTAATCAAAATTACTTAGAATCAACTCTACTTTTTACCCATTCCACTACAGTATTAAAATGAGTAATCCTATCGTCCATGAGCTCATGTTCAAGATTATGATAGAGCCCAGGATATATTTTCAATGTTTTATCCTTACTCTTTGCTTTTTCATAAACAAGTTTCGATCCTTCTATGCTTGTTATTTTGTCTTCGTCCCCATGAGTTAAGAGGACAGGGAAGATCTATATCTTCAATTATGGACCTTAGACGATCAGTCATTTCAATAAAACTGTGAGCGGTCTTCATAATGATTCCATGCTTTACTTGCAATGGGTCATCCTCACAAGCTTGCACTTCATCTTTGTCTCTGCTTAAATATTCAGCTGACAATCCAGGAAGCCTTAGCTTTGGAAAGATTCGAATAATATTTCGCAAAAGGAATAATTTGAATGGTGTCACTCCTTCAGGATGAGCTACACCACATGATGAAGAGATAACTCCATTAATGATGTCTGGTCTTTCATGCGCTGTCATCAGAGCAACATTTGCACCCATTGAATGACCATATATGAATACAGGTAAACTGGGATGCTTCTCTTTCATGATACTAATATGTTGAATTGTATCTCTAGTAAGTATATTAAAATCAGTGATGTACCATCCATCGCCTTCACTTTCACCATGTCCAATATGGTCGTGTGCGAAAACATAGCACCCAATTTTATTCAGATGTTCCGCAAGTTCACCATGTCGTTTACAATGTGCACCATATCCATGCAATACACATACAAGAGAGGTGGGGGTGTCTTCAGGTTCCCAATATTTACAAAACAAATAAATTCCATCTGAGTTGACAAAATGAGGTTCATCAATGATTGATTTACCACTGGACACAGTTTTTCTGCTCGGTGAAGCCATAATACTGTAAAGCTGGCTTAAATATGTTTATATATCTGTATATACTGTATCTTACTTTATATATTGTATATACTTAATTAACATAAAGAATAAATAAGGGGTTGGTGATTACTGGAATGATGCATTCTTACATTGTCAGATTGTTCAGGACAAGACATAGCTGGGCCATTAATAGTGTGATCTAAATCAAATTGAGATCTACAAAAACTAGCCTGTGATCTACAATCAACATTTTATTATATGTGTGCAATTTTAATCAGGGTAAACATTCCTAAACCAAACCATATTTGCAGCATGGTTCAATATCACCAAGTTAATCAAAAGTTCAAAAGGATAGGAATTCCACTTTTCTGCTTTCAATGCGTTCATGGCAAAGTATCAAAATCATGAGTTTTCTTCGAATTTTTACATGTGAAATCAATAGCCTAGTAAATAGAGTAAAAAGATCAGAATTAATACCCTGCTTTAATAATGCTGCTGGAGATATGTCTGTGTTTATTGTGTATAGATCACAAGCTAAGCTGGAAGCCGATCTAGCAGCAGATGTACCGGTACCGGTATTTTGCACCAAAGTGTGCTTAGTTTCGCCAAATAGGTTTGAGATAGGCTATTCTATTTATCAGGTGCGTATATAAAGATTTTCTCGGAGGGGAAAGCCGGCTAACAATTCAATATTACAATTCAGTAATTCCAATTTCCAGGCCGGGACCTGTGGGCCGTGGCGATAGCCTACCCGTTGCGCGAATTCAAGGTGCCTGAATTCGCGAGTGCCTGGTTTTTAAGAAGACCCTGATAAATGCGAACACAAATTTACGACTTCATTTACCGTAACGTAACCTAGTTGTAGCCACCATATGTCCAGTTCATATGCCATCTTACAGTTAGACTGATCAACTTTATTTTTATTTTTGAGACTAATCAACATCAGAACGTTGGGAAACGACGGGCAAAACATAAAATAACAGCTCGCTCCTGCGCCAACAAGCGGTCGTTCATCATATGACATTGTTTTCATTCCGATAGAGGCGCTAGTCAGTAAAACCGCAGAGCGATGTAATCTGGCAACATCAACTTAATCTTCTGCTTTTTGGAAACACTGCGACAAGAAAAACGTATTTTCTATGAATATGGAGTTTTCGAATATGCAACTTGTGTTTATGATCGTTTATCTGACCCAGGTTTTTGAAGGTAAGACGGGTAATTATTATTGAATAATCCACATCCTGGAGCCATAGAAAAAATTTGTTTTACTGCCTGATCCAATTTCAGAATCTTGACTGTTTTGGCCTCAATCGAAATTGTCTCATTATATTTGCTGGTGGATAGTCAGGATTGACATATTCCATTATTCTGACTGAAAACGTTTCACAGCCTAGATTCTCATTTAGCCATTGATGAAATAGGCTAGTGCCTACGACTGTACTTGGCAGACCAGATTAATAAAACCAGAAAACGGATCTATTTTTCTTTAGTCATGATACAGTGATAAGGATATAAAGTATATGCATAATGTACTTAGCGATATGTATAATTCATTAATCGAAGTTGTTATTGGATGAACTACAATTGCTCAAACCTGAAGTTTTGAAAATTTTCCAACAAGCCAGTTTTTAACACAACTCCCTGTGTGGGAGAGACATAAGTTTGAGATATATGGATCTCCCAATGTTTTTAGGTAACTGTTAGGGACCCCCAATTTGAAATACCTGTTCTGTGCATGTGGGATGCCCTATATCCATAAACTTTATCGAAGACACAGCGCTTTGACAACTTTTGAAAGCTGGGAATGTTCAGACAATTGGTAACCAAATAATGTTTGCCTGAATTTATGTCGACCTTCACAACAATTCCATTCATTAATATTCATATTCTCAGTTGGATGCGGCCTTGCCGAATACATTCTATTGTGTGTTAGTTCTTTGCACTTTTATTTTTGATCATAAGTTAGAAATATTGAACCTGAGCGATGAACTATTATCATATCTTCAGATCTTTCTCATCAAGTAATTGCTGAATTCATTGGTTTCTAGTCATTATTTCTCTATAGATCTTTCACTTGAAGAATTAATAAAACTTTTTTTTCAACTATAGTTATGTATTTCAGTATCTGCGACCGCACTACAGTTTTGTGAATCAGACTTATCGTGTCAACAAGAACTGAACTATTGTTGCAAGAATCCATATCCTCATTGTTGTGAATATGACAGATTTGTTCATGATTCAAATATTAATGATGACAACAATGAAGCCTTTTTAAAATCAGGGTAAGACCATTCACAGAATTAGCTTGACCTTCCATTTGAGCTATTTGTTGTGACCAGGGCTAGGAATCTGGATTGGAATGACACTGGCTCGATATTCGAACGGTGGCCCCAGCACTTCATTTTTTTTTCACTAGGAGCCTGGATCTATATACTACCATGAAGTATCAGACCAAAGTTTTATGGCAAATTGGGCTTTTAATCATACAAATTTAACTTTTGAATTGAGGTCAAAAATTAAAATAATTATATGCTGAAATGGATAGATTATAAAATTATGTGAATAATAGTTGAGACAGTTATTATGAAAGATTGGCCACCCAGCAATGGATGATTTAAATAAAAATTGGCAACTTAATTGTGCATCCTCATGTACTATTCCAATTTAAGATGGTAAGAACTTGCTAGCTAATCAGAAATTAGTTTATTTCCTGCACTTATACAAGTATTCACTATCTTGAAGAGCAGATTACCCAATTATTTGCTTTCATGTTCTTTTAACAGAAATTATACTACATAAATTTGATTCTCCAATTGAACTTTATTGTTACAGATTGAAATCCGCTCTTGTTCTTTTAATCATGTCTTCTGCAATATTTCTTTTATGCTTTTGTGTGATGAGATGCTGCAGAAGGGCCACACCATCACACATGCGCAGAGGTACAAACTATTTGTCTACTTCTCATTTAGATCAGGGATGGGCAAATTACAGTCCGGATCCGGCCCATTATGACTATTGCTTTTCTGGATATAAATTTTCTTCTGTAACAAATACCTATTGCATTATATCAGTGAAATGAGCAGGCAGGCGATTGGTATCGACGCCAGTTATTTGGAAATGAACTGTTGTTCATTCATATTTTATATTAAGTTTTCAGGCCCAGTAACCAAGTCTATTATCTGTGAGTGGCCCACTTAGGAAAGTAATTGCCCACCCCTGATTCAGATCAAATTTTGCTTACACTAACTTGAACATCTTCCTGGTGACAATCTATAAATTCATTGAAAGGTAGTTTTGATACAATTTTAAGTCTTATCTGCGGATATGTTATCAAGATATTTATATGGATAATCACATTCTAGAGTTTAAATATGCAAATGCCCATTGATGGTTGGTGATACACAGAGAAGTTTGTGCCCACCCACTGTGAACTATGAAGGGGACTAGTTGGCTCGGGGGTGTGGCGCATCATGCTAAGCGCTAGGAATACGCTCGTCACCGCGCCTCTGATTCATGTAACCGCTGGTCGGTTACGACCATCAAGTCCATACTTCCGAAAACAAAAAACTGGCCAACTAATCCCATACCCGACATGGACTGGTAACCGGACGAGAGACCGCGGTTCACCATATATTTAAGCCATCTTTCCTCTCACCCAGGATAAATATTATTCCAAGCACTTAGAGAAGTGGGAATGTCGAGCTAGTTTTGGGGTCTTGATGCATTATTTACAGTTATCATTTTCCATTAGGTACACTTGCTGATTTCAATACAGAGCATGGTTTGGTGCCTATAACAAGGCAATTAAGCTCTCGAACTCTCAGAATAATAGGCATCTCTGTATCTCATCCACCTGAAGAAACTTGTGATGATCCACCCAGCTATAACGAGATTGCTCAGTCCGCAGTGCCAGGTGAAGAAACCGAAAAACCACCGGAATATTCTTCAATTTTTAAAGATAGTGATACATGAAATCAGGTTGCTCATTCTAAAATTGTGCTTTAAACTTTTAGATGATCTACGTAGAGAAATCGTTGTGATTGAAACTAATCCTTTTATTTCATATATTGTTTAAATCTTTGCACTTATCTTTGAATAGTTCATAACTGCTGGGCAGTGATCGATGATGGTATTTGAATAGATGGGACTTGCTGTAACATATCTTCAATTGTTTTAGTATGTGGATGATAGATATATCATCCAGTGCTTATCATAATAGTTTGATATACAAGGAAATTAAGTGGCTGCAGCTCCCGTCACCAAATTATCTTAAATATGTCCTTTTAAGGTTATGATAATACTGAGTTTACAGTTTCAAGATAATTTTAAACCATTATATCATAGACTCACTTCAATAATGTTGCACTCGGGCAGCAGCGCTTTTGTGTGTAACACAAACTGTAAAATTTCACTATCAAGCATGTTCATATGTGCAGAACCCAGAGGTGTTGCGAAATTGCTAAAACTGTCCATCTAGTCTGGGAATCCGCTTCAGATTTGCACGGTTGGTAGAAAATAAAGAAACCTAGATAACTAAGAGAGAAGTACTGGGAGCCAGATAATTTCCAAAATATGTTTGATATTAGAGACTTTCACACTTGCGAAAAGGCAGCTCAAATAAATGTCAGACTCTTGACCAGCTCACGGATGAGATGCTAATTCACACCCAGAGAGAGTGTTAAATGGCGTCTTGTCTCTTGTGCAAGGCCTGACCCCGGTAAATGTGTAGAACCAGTAGTGGGATTTAGTCAGTTGTCTTGTCTCCTGTGCAAGGCCTGCCCCCGGTAAATGTATAGAACCAGTAGTGGGATTTAGTCAGTTCTATAGAACCGGTTGGCATTACTAAAAAAAACAGGACTTTTTGTAACAGAACTTGCTGAAAAGTATGACATTTGTGTGATGGAACCGGCTGACAAAAAATCTGAATGCCACCACTGTGTAGAACCCATAAGTATTGTAAAATTGCTACCATTTGAACAAAATGGTCTAACTAGCTTGGGAAACCCCTTCAGATTTGCAGGGTTGGTATAAAGCATCCTTGAACCTAAAGAACTAATCAGGTGTTATTACCATAGTACTCGGAGCCGGAGACTTCCACACTTGTGACAGGAATGAAAAGCAGCTCAAATGCGGTAGATGTCAGACTCTTGACCAGGTCACGTATTTTAGTAAAGTTGCTAATTCATATCAGGCTTGTATATGGGTGGTGGGGGTGACCGTACATTTGAACCAGTATATCCGCGAGTTAAATCTATATGAGGGTGCTAAAATCCATGGGTTAGTATAGGTTTGAATATCCGTAAAAAAAATTTTCATAGGTGCAATAGTATGCAGGTGCAATTGTCGTGAGCTCAAATGTAATGGGACCGGTGGTGGGCCACAGCTATTTACCGATGACTTCCCCTCAAAAGAATTTGGGGCAATTTAGCAGCAGCCACTTTCACAATTTGAAATAGAAATAAGATTCCCAAACTGCTGGTTCATTTCTTTAGGAATTTATAAGCTTTGGTGACTCGGTCAAGTATATGCCCATTCCAATTTGCATTGAACACTGATACACTTGGATTAGTACGGTCAATGGTAGACCCTTGTTCAATTGAATAGTGTTCCATTGAAATGTTAAAATTGATTGTTGAATGAAACCACCAATCTTTAAGCTTAAAAATAAGAAATAAATTTATAGTATCGTGGTGGCCGTTAAAAAGGGATGAAGCTTCTGGAAGATTGTACAACTTGAACCTGGAAATTTGTTGCTTAAATCTTTCATTATTAAGATATTTCTTAAAATTGACCAACTCCATAGATGCCTGAGAAAGTTTCTAGCGTCGATGAACTCCCAAGAAATTGTACGAAGTCTGAGGAACATAGAAATAAACTAGGGATTCCATGACGCAAGAATGTCCAAAACATATCACATTGAAATTATTTTATATTTAGTAAATTCGTTGTATTTCCATAATAGGTAATTCACATTAGACCAAAATTCAAGAGGTGTATAAATTTCATTTTTTTTTCAGATTTACTTGCCAAATATATTTTAAATTGGAAAATGTTCAGGACACATCCAAAATATTTAATTATATGATTTTGAACACCCCTCGATGCTACTATAAAACATAGGCTTCAATTACAACAGCCATATTGCGTTTAGCTTCCAACCTGGGTTGTATTGAGGTTGAGATTTCACGGCAGGACCGCCAAACGATTGCTCACGGAATTCCCTCGCCTTACTGAATCTATGATTTGATAAATAACTGGTGAATGCAAGCTGAGAACGCTGAACCCTGATTTGTAATGACCAGAACCAAATTGATGTTGTTTGTTTGCACTCTGCCACTAAAAGATTGAATTCCGTCAAAGCTGTTTCTTGAAGCCATTTTGGTATAGATTGATCAAGCACCTGCGGGCCACACTTGCTCAAACTGAATTGTTGTGCTGTGAATTGAGAAGTAATTATATCCGATGAAATATTTTCATATTTAGTAAACAATGGGCAATCCATATTAGATCAAAATTCAAGATCTATAAATTTTATTTATTGCCAAATATATTTCAGACTATACTGATTGCTTGGAATTTTAAAATGTTTAGGACACATCCAAAATATCCAATTAATTATTAGATTTTAGCCATCCCTGAATGCTACTATAAAGCTCAGGCGACAAGTAAATATGCCAGGTTTAGCTGCCAATCTGGGTCGTTTTGAGGTCGAGATTTTACATGACTGCCAAACGATAGCTCACCAAATTCCCTCGCCTTACTGAAATTATAATTTGAGAAATAACTGGTAATCGCAAGTTGAGAATGCTGAACCCTGATTTGTAATGACCAGAACCAAATTGATGTTGCTTGTTTGCTTTCTGCCACTAAAAGATTGAATTCCTTCAAAGCTGTTTGTTGATTGGTATAAATTGATCATGGACCTGTGGGCCACCCAGCCACACTTGCTTAAATTGAATTGTTGCGCTGTCACCACCCTATGAAGCCTTGCATTGTGGAATCGTAATTGATTGAATGCATTCCACTGGAATGAACAACCGACCGATCCATAACTGATTGGCATTGAGACTCGATTGAATATTGATTCGGTCAATGGACTGATTGATCCTTAAGGTTTGAAAAATAATACAAATAAAATTAGAATCATGAAACAACATTCACTTATAAGTATAAAAAACCTAGATTGAAAATTACACTCGCACAACCAATCAGAATCATAATTACAGTATTGTATTTCGAGTTACATAAATGGCTTCCATTTCACAAACAAATTTATGCCATTCGAATACATTAAAAAACACCCAAAAAGCTATTCTAATTGCATTTTTTTTGTGTGCAATTAGAATCATAGGCAGGGACGAGCAGTTTGAAACCATGAGCTTGTGACATTTAAAAAAATTTACAACAAAGGTTCTGTTCATATTTACAGCATCTAGCTAACTATAAGACATTATTAAAAGCTTGTGGACTGATTCGAGTTGATCAGACTACGTAAAAATTCATGAACTGTTTACATAAGGCAAACAAAGTTATTTGAAAATTAAACGCATAGGAGTCTCACTTGATCAGAATCCAAGTGTTTGGTCTGAGCCGTACAATGATCATAAGCATGATGCAATGATTTCAACTATGACTTCTGGAGCGAGATCTTGAGCGTGGCGGATCAGAATGGCTTCGTGAACGACGACGTTCGTCTCTAGGCGAAGGTGAACGACTCCTGCTCCGGCTTCTTTCTCTGTCATCCTCTTCAGCCTTGTCCTCTCCATCTTCATTGCGTTTGCCATCTTCATCTCCCCTCTCTGATTCTTGTCTTTCTCTGGATTTAGATTTTCTTTCATCAGATCTGGAACGAGAACGCTCAGTTGATTTCTTTTTCTTTGCTGGAGAGGCCGATCGACTGCGAGATCGTGAATGGCCATTTCGGTCTTCACGACTGCGGGACCTTTTTCTTCCCCGACTTCCGCTCCTGGAACGCTTGGACCTCGATCCAGATCGGCTGTGACTCCTTGATCTGCTGTGCGACCTTCTGCTGTTTCTGCGACTTCTACTTCGGCTTCTAGAACGAGATCTAGAACTATGTTTTCGAGCTCGACTCATGTCCCTAACAATCTTGATTCGACGTCCATTAATTTCGGTATCATCAAGCTTTTCAATAGCACTATCCATGTCGCTACGTGACGCAAACTCAACAACACCTTCATTTTTGTGAAACCTGTGAGCATCAGCGAAGGTAACTTCTCCAGCTTGACGCATGTAGTCCTTCAAGTCTTGCCAGCTTACACGTGATGATAAATTCTCAACTATGACTCTATATTCTGTGTGAGATGGTGGACCAAAATTTCCACCTCCACTATCCCTGTCACGACCACCTCTGCGTCCGCCACCGTGATCCCGACCATATCCACCATAATCTCTTCCCCTGCTCTGTGGGGCAGGGGGTGGATAGTATCCACTGATAAAGTTTCCACCCGCGCCTCTAGGTGTACCTTTGGCAATTTCAATTACAACTCTTTCGCCACACAGTTCCTTTCCGCTGAGGTCATGAACTGCGTCATCGGCGTCTCTGTAATCATCAAATTCCACGAAACAAAATCCATTTTTCATCATTATATCTCTGATACGGCCATATCCCCGAAAAAATCGTTCCACATCACTTTCCCTTGCCCTATGGCTTAGCCTACCAACATATATGCGACACGCCATCATACAAATTCAGAATACAACTAAAAACAACCAGACAAGCGCGGAAAGCAAACCTAAACGGGACGCGAACCTCGAAAATGGCGGAAGCTGGGTCTCAAAGCAGACTTCGTCACGTGTTCATTATAATATTGCCGCCAGCGAATGAGCAATCGCTGGAGGCGAAAGGGTTAATTCGCATCGGAGCAGCAACGATAAGTATATTTTAATTTCTCCCGAAAAACATACGCAATCCAATGAAAACACAAAAGTTTGCGGAAAACCTCTAATAAAGTTTAAAACATGCCGAAATACAAGTGCTGGTCCACCCATCTTACACACACAAAATGTATAAATAAAAAACACGTATCATTCGGGCGTTTAACTTGTGTAACATATTTTCAGGCATAGTGAGTTCCAATACATAACTATATATATATACACTAAGTGGATATGATGTGGCTGTATTTATCGTTTGGGATTCTTTTACAATTTCCCTTCAGCCGCATCTAAAGCAAACCAATAACTTGATTGATGTGAACAACTGCGAATGTGTTAGGACGTTAGGTGAAAATAGTGTCAGCAAAACTTATAAATAAATTCTGAATGTCTTGGCATGGGAGTCTTTATTATGATTGAAACCCGACGTGGGTGCTGTTTTATTCTAATTGTCTTTGCACGGACCTCTTTATTGTGAATAATATCCGACGTGAGTGCTGTGTTGTAGGTGCGACATAGTTTCATTTAGATGCCTGATCATTTATTCTTTCTTATGTCCTCGAGAAATTGGAATGACAGCTAGCAACATAGTCTACATTATTCGAATCCTGTTCTCTGGTTGCCCATCATTTCAAGTGCAAACTGTTCCTACCTTTTATTTTCCATTTGTTTCCAGTCCACCAACTGGCACAGCCTAGGCCAGGAATAGGAAAACTACGACCCACTGAGGCAAATTTTATTTTTACAAAATCTTGATTTATTTTTAAACTCTATTCTCTATTTCCGTTAACAGTCCAAGTTTGGCATATTAAACCAGTTTGTCGTCCGCGCGTTGAGAAACCTTTCCAAACTTCACTATGCAAGAAATAAACTGAGCTCATGTATCAATAATTTGTATATGTATATGGGCAGATGTTATTCCAGAGAGTTTGCGCGAACCCGTTTAGAATGTCATGATGATCAGCGAACCAGTTCTTTTTTTTTTTTTTGACGTTAGACGATCGCAGAAAACGGGTGCATTCCACCGTAGCTGACTACTAGCGTCATATTTGGTATTCTTAATTTTTGCATGATTTGTTATGTTTAGTAGTGACATGCATAAATTTTCTGAAATGGAAAAACATATTGTTGGCGGGCTCGATACAAAAGACAACCTGTTATCAAAATTTTAACTCCCATCACTGCAACATGGTTTATGCACAATAGTTTCATGTTAGACCAACAACAAAAAACGTTTAACGCGATAATAAATCAAGCTGCCATTGACAAAAAGAAATTGTCATCGAGTTGAAATCGAAACTTGGCAGAAATTAATAAAGCAGTCACCATACGAAAAATTCGTTTAGATTGTTTGGAATAGCCTCGTCCAAGTTTTCCCAAGTATTATGGGGAAATATTCTTCTAATCGGAAACAACTCTTCGTCTTGCACGAGCAATACTTTTTGTATTTTCAGTGGTTTTTGTAGACTTTGTCCAAGCGATGTGTTTTTAATTACAGAAATGACTTCGCTGGAGGTATTCATGAATGTATCTGGCTGTAACCATTCCCGGACGTTTGAAGATTCTGAAATTTTGGTAACATGTAATTGGAAAATTGGTCTCCTCGGTAGGTTTTTTATACCAGTAGTTCCCAACCGCCGGTCCGCAGAAATTTTTATTTTGTTGTTTTTCTGCGTCTCAATCGCTTTACCGAAGACGAAGTTTTAAGTTGGTTTATTACGCAAATTACCTTCCGCCGTCATATTGCTGTTTGATAGGTGCGGTGTATATGGCCCAGGCGACGTCTTCGCGCCGAGTAATCACACTTTTCGCTTTTTCGATTCCGATCCATAGCGAAAGCGCCTCGCCGAATCTCGCAAGATTCAGAAACCTGAAAATCAGCATCCGTGCTTTTTTCCGTTCTGTGTGCTTTTCTTGATTAATAAGACAAAGTTACGTTAGTTCATTACGCAATTTCTCTTCCGCCGTCATATTGCTGTTTGATAGGTGCGGTGTATATGGCCCAGGCGAAGTCTTCGCGCCGAGTAATCACACTTTTCGCTTTTTCGATTCCGATTCATAGCGAAAGCGCTTCGTCAAATTTCGCAAGATTCAGAAACCTGAAAATCAGCATGCGTGCTTTTTCCGTTCTGCATGCTTTTCTTGATTAATATTACCATCCAAATAAAAGGTTATGATTATTTTATTGTTTGAACCAGAAAACTGTCACGAACAGTATAATATTCCAGAGCTTCGCCTTGACACCCAGCGAGATATGACTTGTTGCGACCCTGCAGGTGGTCACGAGACGCGCAACAAACGCATAGTCCGCTGAGATCTTGTCCAGGTGATGCACAGCAGGATTTTGAGCCTGGTACCAAGTTAGCAACGACCCCATCATTGTGAATAAATTATTTGGGTCTGAAGTGTCGATCAACCGCAGTGGGATTGATATGATGAACCCGTTGAAACCTCTACCTTACAGTCCAGATTTATAAAAGAATCATTGTCACAGTTCATTCTTAAGCTCATTTCATAGCGAATACCCATCGCTAAGCAATCAAATTGTTGTCCGAATTTATAACCAGTTAATTCCAGCTTTAATTAAAACGAAATAAAAGAAATTGTCCGTGAGCCGCTGCTAAGCTACGTGCTACAAAACCCTTTTTGAATGCCTCGTTTGCAATCTTGTAAATGAAACGAAACAGTAGCAAAATTCTTACTGGAGTTGGGAGTTAATTGTGTTTGGACATGATTTGGCATGTACATGTTTTTTTATGTGAGATGTGTGCCTTTTATACGCATAAAGGGTGCCCAGCACTGCATTTTATTACGAAAATATATGTTATTATTTGATATTCCACCCATTTCAATTCTTGGCCGGCATATTATTTGATAGTTTTCCTCATGTGAAATGTTTTTAAATGTGTCCTTTTCCTTAAAAGCCTAGTGATTGCCCGACATTACGAAAACATATGTTATTATTTTCTGTTCCACTCATTTCAATTTTTGCCGGTCCTCGAGTACATTTCATTTAATTTGACCGGTCCGCCAGGGTAGAAAGGTTGGGAACCACTGTTTTATATAGACTCATATTCGCGCCTTCCCTCCGACGGGTGTCTAAGGAGATACTATTTTCGGAAGGACTCGGCCTTGCCTACCCAATTCATTACACTCTGAGTGTGATGGTGCGCAGTATGCGGGAGTATGAACTTGTATCCGAAATAAAGATACAATGCTTCAAATCTCATCGAATTTGTTGAAGCCGGTGACCGTACATTTGAACCCATGTGTATATCCGCGGGTTCAATCTCTATATGCGGGTGCTAAAACCCTAGGGTTTAAATAACCGTAAAACAAAAATAATTTCCATAGGTGCAATAGTATGCAGGTGCAATTGTCATGGGTTCAAATGGCCGTGGGTTCAAATGTAATGGAACCATTGCAGCTAAAAGTGCTAAAATTCAATGGTAAACCGCCATTATAATTTAACGTTAAAAAATCATGTACCGATTCCAATTAGTTCTGTTTAAGGTAATAATAGGTCATGGTTTCCAATATGATCAGATGGTTTGATCAGTTCCGCCGCAATATTGCTCACAGAAAAAAAATTATGAAACTATATCCAAAATATAAATCACGGCTATCATTACGCTCAAGCACGATACAAATCATTAAATTGAATAAAAATCGCAACTGTTTAGGCAACAAAGACAGAAACATTTACCTTGGTTAAAAACTTGACTGTTTCTAACTGGCAGAGCTGCTTGAGGGCTTTTGTTTGTTGATATAGAAGACACGATTCGGCTTATTGTGTTCGTGCGTTTTGCCTCCAAAGGTTGAAATGTACAATCCCCACCAGCAGATTGACATATATCGATTAAATTTTTTCCGTTGTATGAAACCTATGTGACAAAGATCACGTTAATACTAAAATTTAGATAAATAAAACAGGTTTAAAATTTCATCTTCAATTTGGTAACCCATACTCGCTCGCTCTGAAGCAAAAGCGGTCATTTGAACGAAACTGAACAAAGTTACGGACACAACCACTATAGAGTAGTATGAGACCTACGTGGCAAATATCGCGTTAATATTGGAATTTATATTAATAGAACAGGTTTAAATATTTTATTCCGTTTGGTCATTTATACTCGCTCGCTCAAAAGCGGAAAAGGTGTTTTTTGAACGAAGTTACTGAAGTGCTGAGAGTTTCTGAAAAAATAAAGAATTATAGCGGTGGTTTTACCAATTTATACGATTTTTGTCGACTTGGTGCTTGCTTTTGTCCAGTGATAGCTTTCAACCAGTTCATTGGACTGGGAAATACTTCACCGCCAGCACCTTGGAGACTACCGTTCTGCAGCAGAGAAGCCTTGTATACTCTGACCTGGGATAACAAAAAAAATGAATAAAAATTTATGTAAAAGTGTACGGACCAACGAGTTTAGAAAAAACATACTGCTCTTGGTACAAGCTCGAGAAACCGAGACGATGAAAATCAACTAAATGAGTTTTGAAAAGCAGTTCAGTATACTTTTATCGAAAAAAAAACAGACAATAATATATATTTGCATCTATTATCATACCTGTCCCTTATATTGCAGAACATCACGTCCGGGTCGAATGATTTCCTTTCTCATCATTTCCGGTACATCCATCAATTCAGCGCTGCTGGTAGGCAACTCAGAATGAAATGCGGGAATGGTGGTTTCTTGCTGAAATGCTTTCTGCGATACCGTTATTGGAACAGTGACAATAGCTTTTGGAGTGCGGCTCAGTAAAGACATTAAATTGGGCTTTTCCAAAGCTTCGCTGTTATGGTTGTACTGTGCCGCACTGTAAGGCGGCTTTGTAGACAGTTGGTTCGCTTTCTGAATCGGCATGGTAACCTGGGTTCAAGAAATGAAATTTGTAACTGAAACTTCTAAACAAAAAGTTAGCTGAACAAAAAAAAAAGTTAGCCGAGTTTTCGCTCCTCATATAATCGAAATAGTGAATTATGCAACCTTTAGTTTGCTTATATGCATTAATAAATATGAATCTTATATATTATAAGAGTGAATAAATATGCGTATTCTTTGTATTCGGCTATTGCGTTTATAGGACGTGATTTTCTGGTTTAAGAGAAACAAAAATATTTACCCTTGTATGAGACTGAAGAGCAGTTTGAGTTTTGGACATGAAGGGCGTCTTATCTGCGCTTGACATCCATGATTCCAAAGAGGGACAGTCAACTTCCTAATGTAAAAAGGGATTACAGAACAGGTATATACAAGGGTGGTCGCTGGAACAAAAACTTTGTCAAACATTTTTCCAAGTCGGATTTTAATAATCACTCTCTTTTCAAAGTCTGAAAGCTGTTTCCTTCCTTCTTCCATGATGTGGGTGTTAAAATAGAAATAAAAAAAACCTAAAACAACCTAAACCCTAAAAGTAATAAAAACGGATTAAAAAAGGTAATGAGTAAGCACGCATTTTATTCGTGATTTCATCTGACTTTCAAACTTTATGCTTTTCTAGCGACCGCACTCTGTATTTATAATGAGCGGCTGATTAATATAATAATAACAAAAACGTTACCATATTATCATCGGTATGTACTTGTTTGGGTACACGAGTTTGAATTACGGAGATTTTATTTGTAGGCAATGAAGGGGGAATCAATACTGGGTTCTTCCCGCTTTCACGTTGTAGAAATGACGATGTTACAATGTTACTTGTCCGAAGAGAATCTATTAAAACAAATAAACACACTGTGACATACGTTTGTACCATACCGTTTGTGAATCCGAGGCATCCTATTGCAGATAAAATATTCCTGCTGAAATTGGTTCAAGGAGCCCCGTTGGCGATATCGTTTCCGATGGTAATTTTGCATAATGCAATTTTATTTTGCGATTTACAGTAATTAAGATAGAGTTGACATAACATTATTTATCCGTTGCTTGATATCGTTTAGATTTGTAAATCAGCATTACGCGCTACGCGTCGTCCCGAACTTCCGCACAAGATAAGGGTCACATAGACGAACTTTGAAAATAAACGCAGTTTTCAATCTTAGTATTCAGATGTCGAAAACTTGGACTGTGAATTGGGTCTCCATGTCGATTTCGTCCGTAAATCGTAATATAGAAAAGGCCGCCCGTTTTACGTCGAGCAGTGGCTGTGCCGAACCGTCTGACACATAAACTTACAGGTAACGCAGCCAGGATTTTGAAAAGGGGGGTTTCAAAATAAAAAGTTCCCATACAGATACAAGCGCTTCTGAAAGAGTGGCGGCGATTATGTCGCTCGTTAAACGAGCCAACTTTTTCAGTAGATAAGATTTTCTGTTGCGTTAAATATTCAATGATCGACACCAGCATTTAAAATATCTTGCGTAATTAATTTAATTGTGTTCAACGTAATTTGCGGTTGGGTCCACTTACGCCAAAATAAAAACATTACTATATATACTCTAATACAGGGTGGTCCAAATTGCGGCCCGCCGACACATTCCGTGCGACCCGCAGAACAAATTTTAGCGTACACTACTAAACCATTGGCAGATATTTGTATTTATTAGCAGAAAGATTTTGATTCATTTTTCAACTATTCCAACTAGAAATAGTCTTTTTCCTGATCCCGATGTCGGGATTGATTTTTGTTATTAAAATCACGGAATTTCCTTGTTGTATCTATAAACGTCAAGACGGTGGCTATATATGGGAATGACGTCCTGTGATCGGTAAAAGGAGAATGAATTGTCTTGTGCAGACAGGACCAAGCCGATGAGATGAGCTCGCGTCAAGTAACTCCTCATTTGAAGAAAAGTTTTGTGCCTTTATTTTAGTCAAAACACTCCTCTATTTTCAAGCGTTGGCCATGTGACAGCAGTGACGAACCGCAGAGTTGATTTAGCGCCGCGCGATCCAGTTTTTCATTATCTGGGTCCGAGGTCCCACTCAGACGGACTTGGTTTTTTTTTTGATGGTAGCACTAGGCCTGCTCACGATACAAGTAAAAAATTCATTACACAATGAGTGTAGAAAAAGGGTGACCGAAGTACACTGAGAGTAAACGTATTTCCTGACCCACAACAACGTTATACCACCGTGTCTGATGTGTTTTCAAGTAATATCCTTCATAAGAATATATATAATTTTAATTAATATTATAATTACAAAAACAAACACAAAAAGTTATTGAAAATAACCACGATATTTCTCGAGAAACAATTTTAAAATAACTAAAGGCTATATATAGTTTCCTTGAAAAACTGATTAAAACGATAAACTCTCATTCCCAAAGATATTTGAGGTGAGTAAATTTGCGATGTTTTGATCACTTTGGGATTTTCTCCGAATGCGGACCGCGAGACCTCCTCAAAAGTTTTTGCGGCCCTTCGACCTCAAAACCTTGGACCACCCTGTCCTAATATACTACTGCAATCTGCGGTCAAAAAATGCGCGGTAAACTGCCCGATTATGATTAGTTCTCATTCGTATTTTTGCGATCCTGCGAATTCGTCAAATTTACGCTTTTCTTGCAAAATAATCCTTCACTTAGCATTATTTTTAAAATATCGCCGTTGGAAAAATCTATTTCATTGATTTATTTTAGTAAAATGAAAAATTTGATAAACATACTTTAGGCTGGTTAGCCCTATATATCATCATAATCCGAGAATAGTCAAGTGCGGCCCCGACGGCAATTTAAAAATGAATAAGACGATACATCGCACGCACAATATTTTCCACAATAGTTTCCAACGTTTTCAATCTAACATAATGTATGTTGTAAGTACGCGAAATTTTTCGATTAGCAATGTTAAATATGGCGGTTCCAATCTGTCGCGGCGCTCCTAAAATAAAATGTATGGTTTTTTTCGTTTTATTTTTAGTATTTTATATCACTGTTTTTCATTAGTATTCACTCTCTTATTTAGTCGGAAATTTGAGTTGTGAATTCATTGCTAAATTAATTATCTTCAACTTCTTTTCGCGGATGATCGCACTATAACGACTTGTTCACACTGGGTGCACAGTTCCGGATGGGAAAAAAACGAATCATTGACTTTCTCGTGGCACAAAACCTATACATATGTGCAGAGAGATACTTGTGAGATAAGCAGGACGCGCGGAAATATATTTTACCGACATAATACACGGCTAATATGATAATGTTACGTTGACTAAAACAATCGAGGTGCTAATATTAATTCAAAAAAGTTGTAATTTTAGGGGTTTTGAAACTACTGATATGATTGAGATAAAGTAATGGTACATCATTGTTTAGGCTCTGTTAATTTATTTAAACGATTTTCTAAATGCTTTCCAGTGTAACTCTGGACTGGTTCAGTACTTGGATATGGACATCCCTGCTGCGGATTCACGCTTTTAATTATCTTCAACGTCTCGTCTCCGATGATCGCGTAATAACGCGCTTTCATTACGGGACGAACAATTTGGCAAAGAAAAAAAATAATGATCGATCTCCTCAGGTTCAAGACAGATGCGTCGACAGATATTTGTGAGATAGATACGAATTTGCGTAAGCATATTGAAATAATCACAGCTAAAGAATATCGTCAACACGACGAAAGCAATTAGCGATTACGGTATACCGTAACTAAATTAGCAATGTGAAAATCGCGCGCATTAGGAGCGACCTTTCCGGTCTCCACCTGTCTCACTGCGCCACTAATTGCGACTCTAATATCATAGTGTAAAATAAGTAAAAAACCAAGCAAAATATTATTAAATTACATCGTCTATTCTCACACCATTTTCATTAGGAAATGCATTCATTTCTTCATTTTTTACTTCGTTCTGTATGTACAATGTGTATTTCTAATATGGTGATAAAATAAACTACTGATTACCTCCACTAAATGCTTCGTCAATATTTTGAGTTGCCTCAGTATCTACACCCTGACTTTCTTCAAAAATATCTGTCATATCAACATCAAAACCTGCATGCGGTATCGCCTCGATCGAATTCGTTTCCAGTATAGGTGGCTTTTTCATGTCTCCATCAACTGTTTCTTGTTGTTCTGGTTTGCTCTGCACGGTTTCCTTGAATGGGATATGAAATTTTACCGTCTTTTTCTGAGCTGCAACAGATAACGACATTTTAAAAACATTTAAAACAATATGTCATATCAATTTTAAAACCTAAATGTTAAACTTAAAATGATCAAAATAGAGCTATTTTAGAAGACAATGTGTAAAAAAAACTATGAATTCGTTTTCTCGAATAATTAAAACAAAATTTGAAATCAATTTTAAAACTCAACTGTTGTTTCCTTCACATGCCAGATCTGAGGTTGAGATTTTCAGTATAGACGGTGGCAAGCATTTCTGTTGCGCGAGACCTCTGAAAAATACAATTATTGTTATTTCACAAAAATTCGCAAATAAGCAACAAGACTTATTTAAGTTGTGGAACATACAAACCTGCTATCTTTTGGCAGCATAGAACTATCCATGAGTGATTGACTACTCTCTATTTCTTGTGTGTGGTTCATCTTCTGTCGCTAAAATATGAATGAAAGAAATCGCAAACAAAAAATTTACTGTGAAGAAGACAATTTTAATAACAATCTTATGTTATGCTAATATAACATCGTAACCAGCACAGTAACATTATTGACAGAATGGCAAATAATTGTACGTCAACTTTATAATAAATGAAATACCTTCATAAATTCGGTAATACTTTTCGACAAGCTCTTTTTTAGGTGGACAACTGCAACAAGTTTCCGGTGACATTTTGTGAGACTGTGCAAGCGTTCATTGTCGATTTCTTTCCCACTGCTAAGTGACAATGTATTTCTTTATTATTTGTGATAATAAAACCTTAAAAAAAAAATATAGCGAGAATTCCTTACTTTTTTATCGTCACCAATTCGTCTTTCTCTGATTTATTAGCAATGACAATTTCGACAATTTTTCGTTGTAATTTCGAATCTTTTTTCACAAGTTTCGCTTCTACAAATTTGAAAAAAAGGAGGCACATATACTAATTCAAAGAGAGTTTTTTGTTGTATATTATATATTTGGTACTCTCAAAGTATGTGAACCAAGATGGTGGGCACCGGAACGTAGGGTTAGGCCATAGTTTTAATCTGATTTTCCTTATTTTAGTTCTATTACGGGTTCGGGGATTAGCCAAGTAGTATTTGTACCTGAAATTATGGCCTAACCCTAACCGGTTCCGGTGTCCGCCATCTTGGTTCACATACCTCGGGGGTATCATGTATTTGGTATTGAATGCATTTCGTGCTTATATATATATATATATAGTTGTGGGATTCAAAATGTTAGGAACAGTCTTTCGCCTTTTGTTGTACTAACGCAGGTTTCCTCATTACAAGAAACTATGCCGATCTAAAAACAAGAACAACTTCGCTGATCACAACGACATTTCAAGAACATGTTCGCACGGGTTCCCACCACTGTATAGATACATGCAGTGGTGGGATTCAGCCGGTTCGCACCGGTTCTATAAAACCGTCTCACGGAATTTTATGAGATCAGCAAACCGGTTAGCATTACTAAAAAAACATGGCTTTTTGTAACAGAACCGGCTGAAAAATATGTGATGAAACCGGCTGACAAAAAATTGAATCCCACCACTGGATACAGGCTGTCCCTAAAGTCTCTTTACAATTTCAATTTTGTTATGAAGTCAGTTCTCAATATATCTTAACAAGGTTTGTTGTTTTTTGATCAGTAATTGATTAAATGTTTTTACATATGTGAGGGCCAAAACAATATATGGTATCGATAAAATAAATTCCATTTGCAAATTTGAAATCTTTCAGGACTTTATGGACACCATATATATATCAAATATATAAAACATGTTAGCAACCGATCAAATAATCTGAAATGATTTGACATTGATATAAACACATAAATAATATTTACGCCAAGGGTTATATCCGACGCCGATCCATTTACGGGCGCTCCAGAAATAAGCATGGAGGTAACTAATAAGGTTCACCTACTTTACATCAAGTTATGTGGCTTGGCTAACACAGACAGTACCCGAACTCGTAATCGAAATAAAATAAGGAAAATCTGAATAAAATTATGGCCTAACCCTGTAACCTGGTACACACACTACGGGAGTGCCAATTTACGCAACCGAATTTGGGTTGAAAGATTTCGTGCCTGACCGCCAAGTCTTACTCCAAAGGTCCTTTTAACTATGTAGTCAGAGCTAGACTCGACGTAAATACCAGAAACTAAATGCGGAGAAATCCATAACACATAAGCATACAACCTGTAATTGATCCTTTTTCAGTCTTTCCTGATAATTTCTTTATCTTTTTCTCGATATTTTCCAGTTTCTCAATTGCGCCGTCGTAACGTGATTTCCAATCAAGCTTTGTAGCCGGTGGACCGCCTTTTCTAAAAAAAGAGGTTATCAACCGCGGTGTGGGGGTGATTGTGTCACAAAAAAACTTATAAATATCGTACGAAAGTTTCTGTTGCTGCGAGTCTTCGTGTATACGATCTTTCTCATTTATCTCTTGGTTTCTTTCATTTATTTCATCTTGTTCCGTTTTCTCATCGCCTTAACATTTGACAGACCAGAATGATTTGATGGGATACAGAATAAAATTAAATTTAAAGAAATCACGACGACATAAAATTTCAATTACCCGCTTCGTCCATTGTTGTCGATTGTGTGTCCATGACTACGCCATCAAATTCATCACAATTTGAACAATTCGGCAAAATTGGTATTACTTCCTAAATGCATAACATATATGACTAGGATTGAAATAGAATAGGATTCCCATAATCATCCCGAGGGAGAGGAAAATTAAGAGGCGGCTTAATAATATCGCGAACCACGGGCTCTCGACAGGTTACCAGTCCATGTCGGGTATTGGATTTGTTATACAGGTATTTGTTTTCAGATGCATTGACTTGATGGTGGAGGAAGCCGTAACCGACCTGCGGTTACGTGAACCACCCTACGGCGTCATGGAGTCCAGCAATCCTCTCGCACATAACTATCCCCGCATGAGATTCGAACCTGCGAACCCACGCAGGGTAATCAAAGGGGCGCTCCGGAAGTATTCGTACCAAGATAACGCACAACCTGAACAACTCTTACCCTGTACACATACTATGTTCAGGTTGTGCGCCATCCTAGTACGAATACCTAGAGAGCACCATCAATGGTGCGCAGCGAGCGTATTCCTATGCTTAGCACGATGTGCCCACCGCTGAGCCGACTATGACGAAAGAATAATTTGTAAATTTGCTGAGAAAAAAATAGTGTAACTTTTTAGCTCGTTTAACACCTAGCATTTTTACCGATTCCCCATCATTTGTTCCTGACGACAAATGAGTTTCCTGACTGTCGGTAACGCCTTCATCTCTCTCCATTGCACTGGTACTTTGTGGAGTATTTCTTTTTGTGAACCTTTGTAAAAAACGCAACACGTAACAGTAAAAATGGGCAATTTTGGATTAAATGCGTTAGATAAGACATTTTAACTTTGGTTCATGAGCAAAGGCCGTTACTGTTTCATCTCTAAATCGTGGACCACGAAAATAAATGACACTTACAAGCAGGGGCGGATTAAGCCTCTTTGGCGCCCTAAGCACTGAAGACTTTGGTGCCCCCTCATGTGTAATTTAATTATAAAAACAATAAACCACATAAGTGTATTATCCATTAAAAATAATCACAACCAACAGTATATAAAACAACTTTTACGAACATTTTTAGGTTTTTTAACTGTTATATATATCCGACATATATATATCGGCAAACACGCAATATCGGGCCGATATATCGGTTGAGCTCTAATCCTGAGGGAGTGTGACAATAAAGATTCATGCCTCTAGTCTCGACGTAAATCGAAATACCAAAGCATACAATTCACAACTGTAGTTTGAAATTTTACCGATACCTAGTAGTCTACCTCGGGGTGGTTCAAGGTTGCTAGGTTGAAGGACCGCAAAAACTTTTGAGGATGGCTCGCTGGCCGCAAGTCGGAGAAAAACCAAAAGTGATCGAAATATCGCGAGTTTACTTACTTTAAATTTAATAAACAACGAGAGTTTACCGTTCTAATGAGACTATTATTATGTTGCATGGGTGGCGTTCTTTTGAAGAAGATATATAAAGCCTTCAGTTATTTTAAAGTTAATTCCCGAGAATTACCGCTGTAGTTTGCGCATCTCGCGTTTTATGTCGCTTCAAATTATATTCTTTCGTGACAGATATTACTTGAAATCAAACCAGACACGGTGTGATGGGCAAGGAAATACGTTTCCGCCGTGTTTTCCTTATCACCTTTCTTGCGACACTCATTTTATTACGAATTGTTATATTAGGTAATTTAAAAACTTGCAGCGTGAGCAAGCTTAGTGCCATCGTCTAATACCAACCAAGTCCGTTCTGAAGTGTTTTTACTAAAATAAAGGCACAAAGCGTTAGAAAAAGGGTTCGAATCTCGGGATCCCAACCCCAGTTGGAATAGCTAAAAAAACTCAAAAACGTTCCTCCATTAGATACAAATATACGCTAAAATTGTTCTGTGAGCCACACGGAATGTATCAGCATGACAGGGTGCTACCTTATCAAAAAACTCCCGACTTCGCTGACCACTAGATCGTTGGAATGCGATCGTGGAACCGCCACATAGTGTAAATAGTTCATTGGTCCAATTGTTGAAAAGGAAAGAATTTTTTTCAAAACAAAAATGCAGCAACAAGGAGAATAGTAGGAAGAAAAAACAACAACAATTTGAGAAAACGACTCATAGGCCCATTTCGTGTCTAATAAATAAGTTTCAGTGTTTATTTTTAATAAAGAATGATGATACTTGAAGACGAAAAATAAGCGAACATTTTGAAGTTTGAGTCGCCTGGTGAACTTGTAATATTTTAATAAACACCGATAAACTATATAAAATTCTGCTCTAAAATTTCTGCGGCGCCCCTCTTTGCTTGGTGCCCTAAGCACGTGCTTATATTGTTTAATGGTTAATCCGGCGCTGCTTACAAGGCGAAATATGTTAAAATTGCACCGGTAATTGCAGTAAAAGCACGCTGTCTAAGTCGCTCTGCTGGTGCAGCAGATATCATGTTCCCGATATTTTTTACATTTTATGTACAACATCCCACTGCTTCAAAACATGTAGTTTTAAATTCAATCAGATAGTCTAGTACCGGTAGCGTAACCAGCAAAAGGAGGTCAGCTCACATGTCTGCTAAATTTCCAAGAAGATTCGGTGACATTGCGGCTACGGTTGTGGATCCCGAATCGGGTATTTCATTTCCCGATTGACTCGCTGCTGACACATCAACAAATTCTTCCATATTATTTACTCCAAAAATTATCTATTTGACTTGGATTAATTGAGAACCAGCCGTCGTGACTTCTGTTGTCTGTCTTCGCCGTCCTACCTCATCGGGGTGGTCAGTTCAGAATCCACTAAGCAAGTGATTTTTGAGTAAATGTTTATTTTCGTAAAATTGAAAAAATTATATAATAATTTATGCATACACGTGATGAGCAACAAATTTTGGGAACGTAAAAGCTGGTGAAAAATTAATAGCAAACGTGACGACTCACGTGACATTGAGATGGGTCATCGTTATGACTACGACATCAAAAATAAGTAAATCAAGCGGTTATATGAAAAATCCCCCATCGTACGTAAACCTAAAAATCAGTATTCGTTACCAGTAATCTGTTATGTTTACCCATTATTAGCATGGAAAGTACGAGCGGACAGTGGAATACTTGAATATACTATGTAACAAACAATGCCGGATGCGAATTCTTCAATGGCAGTAGTTCCTGTTGATGAGATTAGACCACTGTTGATTAAACGACGTAGTTGTGAATTGGTCAAGACACCTGCACCATGCGTTAACAAAGCCCTTTTTCATCTTGGAAGATTGAAGGTAAATATATTTTATGAGCAATGATGAGCTGTTTAGATTACTGACTCCAGGAATTATTCCAGTAGCAGTACTTATTCTAAATATTTTGATGAAGGACTGGAAACTACTATAATGTGTAATGAAATGAGGCATCAGTATCTAGCCTAAGTCTGTAAGTGTGATTCTGAAAGAAAAAAAATGTGTATTCAAATATGGTAATACATTCATATCACACGTTTATCGTCTGGTTTAGAGACAGATCATTGATCTCTCAAAAAACTTGTTTATTTGGACAAAATCTTTTCTAATACATAAAATAGATTTATAGAGTTTTTACCCCACAGAATGTGGGCATTTTGGGCAAAGGCATTTTGACTCGAATCAAAATTGAAAGAAAATAAATTGTAAATCACACATACGATAATTTCTCCTCCAAGTGTGGTTGGCCACTAATTATATGATTTCTTTAATGCTTCATACATCACCATTATATTTATATCATTTCAGGAACTTTTGAGAGTGGCACTTGAAAATCCAACACAGATTGAACATGGGAGATTAACTGAATTAGAAGCTCAAAAACTTTTTGGTAAATAAGGTTTTTTATTTTAATTCACCTAATATTCGAAATCATTCCATTTGGTTACATGCATTTTATACGTTTAACAAGTTCGCTGGAGACTTTTTTTTTTTAACTTCCTTAAAATCATTTCAACACATATATTGCTCTGTATAAGTAGCCACATATACTAATGGGTAGGCCTACTTGGGAAGGACCCGATTCATTCGGGTTCTGCTTTGCTTATTTATTACAAGCTGGGTGAGGTGAATCCTAGATCTTTAACCTACGACTTCAACATGGTAGTTAGCCCATCACTCTATCTCAGGGGTTCTCAGCCTGGGGTTCGCGGGAAGATTTTCAGGGGTACTTGAATGGAAGTTGAGTTTTCATGTGTTGCTATTTTTTAATATCCTTTACTACCAGAGGAAAATGCGTGTCGATTAAAGGCTTTTCCTGATCTTCAGTTGTTGTGATGCAACAATGTGAAATCCACGACTTTGCAGCCAGACTGTGAAATCTCGAAAGATAATGCGCTGCAAGCATTGCAGAAAATAATATGCTAATTAAAACTTGAGAGATATTTTAAGAATTCATTAGTTAGGCGGAGGACGAGGGCAATAACATCAACACGAAGATTTAATTTAGTTACAGCAGTTGGTCAATAAATTGTTGTTGTAGCAAAATGTTAGGTAATAAATTACAACTTTGTTTGGTGTCTGATAACTGTGGGTTTGGGTTGATTGTTTCGTGACTCGGGGGTACCTAACAGAAAAAAAATTGAGAACCCCTGATCTAACTAGCAGGCCATCATGCCCAGTTCTTGGTGCTCCCGAAGTAGGCGAACCAAGATGGCGGACATCAGGTTAGGGTTAGGCGATAATTTTTTTCCAATTTTCCTTATTTTTGTCCTATTATCAGTTCGAAGACTAGCCAAGAGCCTCCCGTAGTATTTATACCTAAAATTATGACCTAACCCTAACCTAGTACACATTATACATTCCGATGTCCGCCATCTTGGTTCGCATACTTCGGGAGCCCCCAGTTCTTGATATGCTGCCTAGGTCTTTTCATTTGATCCAAAATTATACTGGTATATGGGCGGAAGGTACTTTTACTCTTGGTACTAAGGTACTCTTTTATTTCTCTTTTTCACAATTGATATTAGGCTTTTTATATTCTCTTGAAATTATCAGCCATAATTTGTTTTGCATTGAAAGGCAGATGTGTTCCATTCTATGCTGCATATTCGATGAACTCATTTTAATTTTTATCCAGTTAGACAATATTTACTTCCAGATTTATTAATATATTTTTACTATTAGACAACCATCCCAAAGGCTGGAAACATTTGAGGTTTGATGTTCCACGTCGAAAAGAAAGCAACACTTCATCATCATATTCATTTGAAAGTAGTGAGGATTTTGTGAAAGATGAACCTCTGCTCACAATCACTGGTATTGGAGGACAAATCAAAGATGATGGTATTTTAGAATTACCGTGTTTTAATATTTGGCGAAGATTGTGTTCTCTTTAACTTAACTCGAATATTTTAAAAGAAAACAATGGTAGTCTGAAATAGTCCGATTTTTGCTTTTATTTATTTTATGAAAAAATACATATCCCTTAAAATCATACCATTCTGGTTTCTGAATATTTTCATTTCAAAAATATTTTTCTTTATTTTTTCTTTATTAGAAAATTGAAACTAAAGCTGAATAGTTAGTTTAGACAAAGCCTATATGAGCTTTTAGAATCTTTTTTTTTCTATTAGTGCCCAACAAAATATATTCCTTTTTTGTAAGAGACTGCAATATTGGATGGTTTCTATATTAATCAACATTTATATTTCATTTAATGCTGCTTAGCTACACAAGACAAAAAATTGTTCTATTTTGTTTTCAGAGAGAGGTGATGCTGATCGAATTGTTCATGTTAGTCAATTAGAAAAGAAAAATCAGCTTCCTCCTCAAGAAGTATTTAGTCAGGTGATTTACTTATGTCTGTGCAAATTAACAATTAGTTAATAAATTTTATCATATAACGTATATGATTACAGTAGCTATGATGCATCATGCTAGATTTACATTACCTCTAAGCCAGTGGTTCCCGACCATTTTTATGTCGCGGCACACTATTGAGCTTTTTAAATATTCACGGCACACCTATCACAAAACATGAACATTTCCTACTCTTGAAGCCATTTAGCTATAAAATAATAAAAAAGAATAGAAGATCAGATAAGGGAATTCTATTCTTGTTAATACAACATACCCTGTATTTAAAATGGATGGTTAATTGCTACCGATATTATAACTGTGTTCTTACAATAATGTACACGAGACCCACCTTCGGAGCACCTCACATTATTGTAAAAGATGCGCTTATACGCTTAGGTTTTTCTCACCCTTACCCTTTCCCTGTTACGCCTTATTATTATCACATGTATTCTCACTTTGGCACAACCCAATTAATTATTATCGCTAAAAACACTGAATAGGTTTAAGGTTGATATAAGCAAAATTGGATGGCAACGATCATAACATTTGCTATGTCAAAACGCTCATTCGACTTTTCAGACCGCAGAAACTATCCAAAAATAACCGTTTGAGATATGAAATAATCGTCAATTCCACCACGCCCTCGTGAAATAGTGCAATTTACTAAATTTAATAGGTTTATTATTAAGTTTCATTGCATGAGTGTTTGTGCTACTACGCGTTTCGCCAGATTACTGACATGATTGCAGATCCCAAGGGTGAGCAAAATAGAATATTTTTGTCGAATAATCAGAATATTTTTAACAAATTGTCGAATATCGGGTATTTTTAATACACATACAACGGGCATTCTAGTGTTGGTGAGCTGTTTACGCCCGTCCTCTCTTTTTTTACAAGGACTACTTCTTACGCAACGTTTGGTTTTATATTCCTGGGAGAACTATGAATTCATATGGGCGACATAGTTATGTTGAAGACAAAGAGTGAATTCGAGATTTTATTCTGATTTTTATTTTTTCTGCCGGGTTTGATCTTTCTCCCCACCGATTGTAAATTAATTGTCCCAATTTTAAGCTAACAATATTATCATCTGGCACCCTGGTTGGGAACCACTATTCTAAGCAATATACATTTCTGGTACTATATACTTCGCTTATTACTGCAGTATTAATGGGTATTTTGCCAACCGTGGCTAAAGTAGGCTTCATTTTACTTATCACCAATGCTAATCCAATCCTAACCATAATTTAAAAAAGATTGAAAATAGCCAAATATTGGAGTCTAGAAAAGTTTATTCTAACCATAGGTGTCAAGTCTCTCCATTGCATCTATTTCTTGTACTTGAAGTTTGTGCTGTTTTTTTTCTGTTCAGCTTTGACCAAACAAAAATGGGAGAAAACTAGGGTTTTGAACAGAAAGTACTTCAAACTTTTGGCACCTCAATTAAATTGATAACTGATATTACTTTTATCTCTCATGTTTAATAAACTTCATTTTAATTTTTGGCAACTTTACAGAATTTCTGTCCTTGTGTGTTTGTCTTGGGTATTGTAATTCTTTTGTATCATCGCAGATTGTCAAAATAAAATTTTATATCTAATTCAATATTTACTACGCTAAATAAATATTCAACAGGTTAGAGAATTGATTGTAAGACTTGAAGAAGATCGTCGGTTGACAGAACTTGCACTTGGAGTCGAAGATGGAAAAGTTAATTCTCTCAGTGAAAAAATTGACAGAATGTGTCAGAAGAGATTGTTGCAACTTCCACTTGCAGTACAAAAAGGTAGCTTACCAGTTTCAGTGCAGTTCTATAAAATAACACTAATCATTGTTAATGTGGAGTTTTATTGATGTATATTGACAGCCTTGCGTTTGAATTCATTACTGCATAACTAGAGTGATTGTTTACTAATAAAAGGTTTTTTCACTATGAAATATGAATGGTTATTCCATTTCTAGCCCCATATATATGTGAGGCAGAATTCTCTGGTTTAGCCATCATGATGCCTAAATATGATGTAGATAACATTAAGCTGAAATGATAATGATGGTAACATTTGCAAAAATATTTCAGCAATTGATGAATTCTGCCAAAGAAGCAAGCCAATATTCACAATAAAATAAATTCTATGTCTATTTTCTTGGTTTTGATATGGTATCAACAAACATTAATTGAAAACATTTTTATCATCTTTTTCTCCATTCTACTGGCATTGGCTCATCGCATGCCCAGGAAATTTGCTCTAAAGGTGTCTCAATAAAAAAAGTTTTAGAATTAATATAAATATCAGAGGTGAAAATATTTGACGACTATGGGATGCATATACGCGGCTTGCACTGTTGCAGCTGAGTGTGTAGAGAACCCATTAATGAATAAACCTACCGTATATTATATGCACAGGTAGTAGTTGTATTTAGAAATTTGGACATTGGCAGGGGATAAACAACTGAATGTAGACGACGACCTTCTCATATAGATCTAATACTTAATACTGAAGGATGTCCAAAATTACAAATACAAACATGCAGATAATTTGAAATTAAATATATTCTATATACCGATAGTAATTTTTTGATTCACAGAAGAGTTTGGATAAGTTTTATTTGAATTTTATTTTATTTTAATTGTTTAATATCTGATGCTCATGACAAAAAAAAATTTTTAACTTCCTCTGACACTGATAAAATAGAAAATCAAAACGTTATCTCAACTTTAGGCGCTTCAGAAGTATGTGTACCAATATGGAGGTAACTAATTTTGTTTGTCTACTTTACATCAAGTTGTGTAAAGGGACAGAAACCTATGGGCAGGGTGTATAATCACTTGGCAAACACATACAGTCCCGGAACTCGCAATAGAACTGAACTAAGAAAAATCGGAATAAAATTAAGGCCTAACCCTAATTTGGTGGTATACACACTATGGGAGTACCCAACTTTATACATTATAGAATTAATTTCCTGTAAATTCACATTGATTTGTGCAAATTCATCAAGTGTACAAATGGCCCAATTTAGAATATATTTGATGTTTCGGTACTTTGTGTTGCTCAATCAATCGATATGGGTCCAGTAATATTTGCCAATAAAACAAAGACTATCTAAGATTTGAAGCATGCTGCTCATATGAATTATAGTCTATAAAGATTTTGATTTTTTTCTTTGGAGTGAATAGATATATCACCGCAGGCAAACCACTTTAATTTATTTAAATTTCAATACAGAGTTACTTCAGCTTTTTACACTCTTTAATGTTTGTAAATGTAATTGAGAACATTAAATAAGTGTAATTTATTCAACAGAACACGATGCATGTGCGGCCGATATCAGTGAATTGCAGTGGCATGTTGGATACATGGAACGTCAGTTAGAAAGATGTCGACAGAGAGTGCAAGTAGCCGAAGTTCTCAACAATCGATTAAAAGATGACATTGCTTTTGTCAAGAAGCATTGGTATGTATAAATCATAATTTTGGCTCAGTTTTGAACCTATGAAATAATCGAAGAACAAGTTTTCAAATGAACATTGCGCTTGATTAGCAATATATATCTTGTGTAATCAAACATGATGCCAAATGGCAGCCCAATATGCCTTGGAGATTGGGTGCATACAACCATCTCTACACCAAACTGTATGAGATGAGTCTAAAACTGTTGTCACCGTTGACATTTATTAATGTTTCAAATGCAGTGACTTGAATTTTTAAAGAAAATTTTTTGTCATGTATATTTATGGGTTCCATTACATTTGAACCTATGTACATTTGAACCCACGTACATTTGAACCCACGTACATTTGAACCCACGACAATTGCACCTGCATACTATTGCACCTATAGAAATTTTTTTGTTTCACGGATATTTGAACCCATACTAACCCTAACCCATGGGTTTTAGCACCTGCATATAGATTGAACCCGCGGATATACACATGGGTTCAAATGTACATGGGTTCAAATGTACATGGGTTCAAATGTACGTGGGTTCAAAAGTACGGTCACCATATTTATGATATAGATTTGTAGTGAATTTTGAAAACATTAAATTCACGGGTATTTAAATTAGTAAAATTACTGATTGCTGGCCTAAATTTTTGTTTGAAGCAAAGGGCATTTTCAGTAAAATTGAGGGTGCAAGTGAAAAAAGTTTGGTGCTTCCGAAGTATGCGGAACGTAACATGGGTAACAGGTTAGGGTTAGGCGATAATTTTTTTCCAATTTTCCTTATTTTAGTCCTATTATCAGTTCGAAGACTAGCCAAGAGCCTCCCGTAGTATTTATACCTAAAATTATGGCCTAACCCTAACCTAGTACACATATTACATTCCGATGTCCGCCATCTTGGTTCGCATACTTCGGGAGCCCCAAAAGTTTATTCCTCTTAGTTGGGAATAGTTGCTTATCATTTCTGAAGCATAGGCATGAATAGTGAAGAAGTCTGTGATAACTACTGAGCATGCGCAGTTTGGCAATGATTATCCATTCATTCATTTCTATAGGAATTTAAACCTACAAATACATGAAGCCGGGGGTGCAGCCAGGAATTTTGAATGGGGGGGGGGGGGGGGGGATTCTGAAATTCTCTTTTGCCAAGTTAGACCCAACAGCTAATGGATCTGGCAAGAGTCTTTAGGGTCTGACAGGCGTTTCGACCCACGATAAAATTGTTTTGCATGTTACAGAAAAATGCCTATTTTACGCATTTAAAAAAGGGGGAGGAGGATTTTGACCCCCAACCCCCTTATTACACCCCTACATGTAACCATGTCTTTCTATAATTATATCTTATTAACCTTTTTTTTAACATTCAATTTATCGAATTTTCAGCTAAATGAAATCTTGCACCTTGCATATTATTGTTTACTCTTCATTATTAATATAAAAAAATATAAAACAAAACATGTTGGTTTTCACTCAAATTAATATGATAAAACAATAATCTATCATGTGACTGAAAACATTTCGTAAACTGATCATAAATATTTTTTAATAATTGTTTTTAATAACTCACAACATACTTATCATCAATCGATATCATTTTTTGGACATTATAATGATAATTACTGTCGCTTGACAACAATTAATTACTTTTGTTGAGAATATTTAAATCCTTTTATTATTGCCCCTTTAAATTTCTTTTCTTTGTCCAAGATTCTTATGTTAAAAACATAATCGGATTAAAATATCATTTTCCTATATGGTTTGGTATCTATAACGCTTTCCAATATATTTATTACAAATTGTGGTTCGCCTGGCACATATTGCATTTGTGTTGTGGGCAGCATGGTACGTCATTTAACTTCAATTAGTTAGAAATATGAATGTACTAATACTTAAAAAATAGGTGAAGCTGGAATTACAGCATTATTTGTAGTTTGATGGTACTATATGTTCTGAGGTTTTGAGTAGAAAACACTGGAACATGCTAAAATAAATAATTCAATGAACTGCGGTGTGCTTGCAGTTACCTGTATATTGTTATGAAGGGTGTTATTGGTAAAAAATGAGGAAGTTAGATTGGAAATTGTGGCAACTATACAGTCATTTAAAAATAATGTAAAAAATGCCAGAAATTTGATCGTATTTTAGGCAGTTTTCTATAATCTTAAACCATCGATTTTTTTTTCCAGCCCCCTCGTTGAAGAAAAACTTATTTTGGAGAAGGATGCTATGCAAAAGATTAAGAAAATGCAAAAACAAACAGACAACGTAAGACAGTTTTGTTAAAGTTTTTAATTTCTAATTCCAAGTTTCTAAAGTTTCTTGCTTCAAATCTGAAATCTTTCCATTTTTCACAAGTTCTTTCATTTTATTGGTATGATAAGATAAGATTTTCATAAGGAGAGGAAAGTCAGTAAGATGACTTAATCATATGGCGGACCTCTGCCTTTCATTTAGTTACTAATCCGTGTCTGGTATGGGATTAGTTAGCCAGTTAGTTGTTTCAGATGCATGGACCTACTGGTGGGAACAGCTTTAGCTAAACAGGGGTTACATCAACCACCCTATGATGGCAAGCAGTTCAACTACCATCTTGAGCAGGGGTGGGCAACTTCTCTAGTCGGCGGGCCAGGTGTGGGAAAATGTAGTCCTCGGTGGGCCGGATTATTACAAAAAATACTTCGGTTTCCAATCTTTGTTAAATGCTCGACACTCTCTGTCAACTTTACGTTTCTTAAGCTATTTCATGGTTAATATAACTCAATATAAAATTTAATTTCTAAAATCTTTTTATATTTAGAATCTAAATAAAACTGATAACAGTAGTGGGGAATGTTTACAACGCTCTCTGCTTTGACCTTATATTGTATGTTTAACAAGTGTGCTGACGCAATTGTTTGTTCACTAAGGCAATTGTTTATTTCACGAGCTCACACTGACAGTGCGGTGAGAGTAGAGCGATCGACAACTTTCAGGAATGATGCGTCGGACCACATTACAGCGTCTGGTTGGATACAGTCAGCGGGTCGGACAAAATCTCGTATGTCCGGCCCGCGGGCCGTATGTTGCCCACCCCTGATCTTCAGCATATTTGTCCCCCACAGGATTCGAACCTGCGAGTCCGTGCAGGGTAATCAGAGCTACGATTGAAAGTGTAATCCTTATTCTTACGCGTGCATCAACCGCCGAGCCAGGATATGGGAATGACCTTTTTACAAGTCAGAAGGTCGCTACAAATTTGGGGCATGTCTTTTTTTATTCTTTACTTTTAATGTAAAACCTTCATTTATTTATCCAGGAATTATCAGATGCAAGAATAGAACTAGACAAAGCTGAAGCAAAATATCAAGAAGCTTCTGAGAAAGCAGAAAATGAAAGATTAACTACTCAGAAAAAATTGGAAGGAATTAGAGGACAACTGAGATTGCTAAAGTAAGTTGTGTGATACTGACCATGACTGATTCGGGAATGTTTATGATACTATATGAACTAATTGTGTGCGATAGTGCAGTAGTTCCCAAAGTTGATTGATCGGGGCCAAAATTAGAAGCGCAAGGACATTCGTGACTCGTATGTAATCCTAATACCAGTACTTATAATTGAGATATTAATATAATTGAATTTTTTCGAATTTACACATGCTTAGACTGTGATAATGACGTAACAATAGGCATTATTTAGAACGCAAAAAAGTAGAAACACAAAGTTTTAAACTATTTCACTTGAGTTCGACGGGTCATATTAAAAATCGTTAGGTGGGCCGAATTGGCCCATGTGCCATGGTATGGGAAACACTGACATAGTGGTCAAAGTCTTAGACTTAACTGTGTTGACATTTGCAGATTACACATCTCAGATTCAAATTGCACGCCCCCCGCACAATGTGTAGGCTATGACTAAATGGAGAGGTTTCGGTCCTTTCAAATAATAGTATCTCCTAAGTATCATCAGATATCAGTGACTGCTCGTATAGGGTCTTGTTTGGAGCCAAATGTGAAAATAAGCATCATTTAAAAAAACTTGGATCCTACTTTAAATATCATGGCAAAATATATAAACTCATGAATAAAAAAATAAATGGGAAAAGCTCATAGAGATTTAGAACATAATATTTAAACTTTTTCAAATAAAACTTTATGTAATCTCATGTTTTAGAAAAGACCTTCAACATTCTGAAGCATTACATGCAGCTTATTTAAAGAAAGCAGAACAAAGTCGACAAAAACTAGCTGATCAGGAAGAAGAACTCATTAATCTACAAAAAAGAGCAGGTTGGTAGTTATATCGGTTTGAAATCTTCTTCAAATAATGTTAGGGCAGTTTTATCCTAGCACACTATATTAGGAACCACTATTCACTTTCTCATTTCCAATAAACTATAAAAGGTAGCTGTTAGGAAAAGGTTCTTGTGTATCCCATGCTGTGTGAAATATTTAAATTCATTAAATTTAATTTTGTTGTACTGTCACAATATGCCACGTAAAAAGTAAGTGTGTGTTTATAAATATATTGCTTTCTATAGAAATTTCTCACCATCCAAAGCATTTTTCATTTTTCCTATACAGTTTATGCAATGTGTTGTAATGGTTATATTTTCTTTTGTAAAATGTTTGCATAGAAATCATTGTCATGCTGTTATTATTAATTTCAATGTTGAACCTCGGCCTCTCATCTGGTTGCCAAATATTAAAAATTAGTAACTGAATGAGAGACCATTATTCACCTTTGACCCGTCTTATTGCCTCCCCTCCCCCACGAGATGGAAATAGAGAATTGTGAGTCTTTGTCTGTTATTTCTCACATTGGTTGTTTCAGAGGAAGCAAAAGATGAAGAACAGGCAGAAATTTATAAAATTGAAGATTTGCGACAACAAATAAAAGAAGTTGAATTTGAAACTGGTGAAGTTAACAAACAAAAAGCTGGAGTGGAGAATGAAATTGAAAATTTGGTGAGAATTTCTCTTTTGTTAGTTTTCTGGTTTTATCGGCGCTCCTGAAGTATGTGTATCAATATGGAGATAACTAATTTTGTTCGACTACTTTACATCGAGTTGTGTAAAGGGACTGAAACCTATGAGCAGGGGGTATATTCGCTTGGCTAACACAGACATAGAACTGAAATAGGGAAAATCGGAATAAAATTATGGCCTAACCCTAACCTGGTACACATGCTACGGAAGTACTGTTTTATCTAAGTTTTTTTTCATTTCTCCATCATATTTCTCTGAGAATAATTGCTATTCGAATATATTATAATAGGCAAATAAGTGGCTGGAAAGTTTATTAGTGCAACTTCACAAAAATGAGCAAATTAAAATCACAAGAACTTATTCAAACAAATAATCGCCGATGATCACTGGTATGCCTGAGCTACAAAGAGCAAAAGCATCAGTAATATTCTGTAGAAATAATGATTTCGATATTTTAACATGCATAAAATGTCTATCTTTTTTTTAGTATGATAACTAGCCCTTGCTTCTTATCTCATCCAAGTTGTAATTAAGTTGGCAAAGATGTTCTGAATGGAAGATTCATTTTTTTTCACTCCTTAATTCCAAACGGGGCTATGTATATGTAACAATTCTTCTTCCATATTGGCTACATTCTCCATGTATCTTGTTATGCATAACATGCATAAACATGTCTAATCTTGGTTATTTAGTAAATGGTTTATATTCACCATCTAATTCAAGGTGTGAAGTCGGTCAGTCAGTAGTTTGTCTTTTCACATGCCGAAAGTACTCATTGTACAAACATAATTGAGAAAAAAAAAAAAAAAATTAGGTATCTATACCTGGTATCCGCTTGTGTATAATCTTAGGTACTCCCGAAGTATGTCAACCAAAATGGCGGACACCTGGACGTATTATGTGTACCAGAATAGGGTTAGGTCAATTTTATTCCAATTTTCCTCATTTTAGTTCTATCAGGAGTTCGGGGACTAGCCAAGTGACTCCCGTTGTATTTGTACCTGGAATTATGGCCTAACCCTTACCTGGTACACATACTACGTTCCAGTGTCCACCACCTTGGTTCACATACTTCGGGAGTACCGGTACCTAATTTTGTTCAGAGTGCAGATTTATAGGAACACTTTTTTGCACTCGTAGATATATATTTATATACGATTCTCTTTACAGAATGATACGATGAAAGAAAAGATTGGGGCATTGGAAACAAAATATCACAACAGTTTACGAACTTTACGTAAACTACAAGAAGATAATCGAGATATGAAACTCGATATTGAAGATATGAATGAGGAAATTAAAACTTGGTAAGTTCTGATTGAGGTTTGCAATTCTGTTTCTCACATTAAAGCGTCTTCCTAACTGCTTGACCCCAGATTCCAAATTGAGTCACAGAGCTAATGAACAGTTATGTTTTTCAATTAACCTATTTAGCGAATTGGTAAAGTTTTATTAAGTAAAAGAATCGGTACTACCGTAGTGTGTTACAGGTTAAAGTTAGGCTATAATTTTATTCCGATTCTCCTTATTTTTTGTTCTATTACAAGTACGGGGACTGTTTGTGTTATACACCCCCTGCCCATAGGTTCCAGCTCTTTTACACAACTCAAGTAAAGTAGGCGAACAAAATTAGTTACCTCCATATTGATACATACACTCCTGGAGCGCCAAAGAATTTTATTTAATTCCTTGTTTATTGTTTTTAGTGATAAAAGTATCTCAAAATGTGAAAGAGAAGTCGAAAGATATAAAAAAGAGAGAGAAAGATGTGATTCACAATTAAAAGAAGCAAGTACAGAAGTATCAAGAGTCACTGTGATTAATAACGAACTCAAAAGTAGGTTTTTACTTATCGATTTTATTCGGTAAGTATGTTGATAGGTATTTGTCTGTCTGTCTGTTAAATGCACGCGATATCTCACGAAAGTGAGATTGGATCTGCTGCAGATTTTGCATGTGCATTCATCATATCTCGTACCAGAAGCCTATTGATTTTGGGCGAATTATGTCAAATAATTAGCGAGTTATCAATTAATTAGTGATGGGACACAAGGTGTCACTATGGAGTAAGAGCGTTGTTTCGGGGGATCCCCTAACTTTCGATCGATAAGTCTTCGGTCTCTGACCGATATTCTCGTTTCTTTTTTGATCGAATTTCTAAAATTCTCCTCATATATTATGTTAATTCGGTCAATAAAGTTTTCAGATTTAATTGACATAGAGTTATCGCTAAGATAAAATTACAATCAGTTCCAGGCAGTGATGGAGAGTCCTCAATTCACTTCGGATTGAGTCATAAGTTTTGAAAGTAAATAAAAGAGTTTCCTAGATAAATGACTTGACCTAAACTTCGACTAAGACAACTGCCAGAGGGACCTGAACCTGAAACAAATTTTAGGCAATTTGAGATGGCAAAAATGAATACTATGAAAACGAATTTCACACATCACTATATGAAGTCCTAATGAATAAAAATAAAATACTAAATTGAAGTAGCAATAAATTTAAATAGGGCATTTTAAATTGATGCCACAAAAAATGTTGTCAGAATAAGATCATAGCTGTAGGTTGTCTTGACGTGGGCTTCAAAAATTTGCTGGGACTCTAATTTAATGCCCAGTTACATGGGTTGACATGCGTTATCGAGATTTTTTCCAATATTAGTTCCAGGCTTTAGCAAAAGTGACTGCTTTATTGGTGTCGCAGCTCGATAACCGGTTTTGGTTCCCCGCGACTTCCCTTCCACAGTTATGTAAATATCTTTTTTTCTTTATATTTTTGCATGTTTTGGAAAAAATAAACTTGACTTGATTATTGTAGCTCTATTTTTGTATGTTTAACCACTTACGTTATTTAATAATTATTAATATTTTTTTTTATTAATTCACCACTTCATATTTTCAGTTCAACTTCAAAAAGAAGAAACCAAGTCTCAAGCAATGGAAGATGCATTAAAGGTTAGAATAAGAATTCATTTTTTTTACAAAATGTAAAAATCTCGCGACCTTTTGACAGTTTTTTATATCTGGACATAAAGCATGATTAAAAAGTACAATAAGGCCTATTCTGGATATAGATCTTATTCTTGTAAAACTTGACTAAACTTTTTTATATTTTTAGACGCAAGCTGAAAGTCTTCGTAAGCGAGTTATTGAGGAAATGAGACAAAGAACAGTTCTTGAAACAAAGAAACAGAATAACAGTCAAGCATTGTTGAAAGGAAAAGCCGGTTTGTTAACATTTGTTTTTACACAATTTATAACTCTACTTGAAAGTGCTTCATTATATTAATTAAATAGCGATGTTCACATAACTGCTGGTTGGTTACGGCTGCCTCTACCATCAAGTCCATGTGTATGTAACTAATAACTTGTCAACTAATTCCATACCAGACGTTGACTGGTAACCAAACTGGAGGTTGTTGTCATAGGATGCCATAGGATCGATTCCATTTTCCCTGAGATAAATAGGAAACTCCTATTCTGGTACATAAATATTACCAGTGCTGGTAATCTGTCTTGTGGGAACCTGAGCTATGAAATTCGAACAGATATTTTTGAAGTTGAAATGACATATATATATATAATGCCATTGCTTTAATGTGTATTTGAGGGCTTTTTTAAAGAGGCGAATATTAGGTAAGTTTTGTCCTATTTGAGCATTTGCACCAGAGAGAAAGTTTTACATTTTTCCCTTCCTTACAAAATTCACTTTGAAAACTAATTGAGCTATGGGAAATATGGACTGTTCAGTCTAAAGTACTTTTTGCATTATTTGCCAACAATTTTTTTTGGATTTTAGTACCTTTCACTGAAAGACAAATTTTATCTCGTATGATATTTGTATGTGTATGCTATCATTAGCTATTTGGCACTAAATAACCCTTTTGTGAGTTTAATTTAATAAAGGTTATGTTTGTTTTTAAGAAAATAAAAAGAAGAGAGCTAAAGTTGCGAAAACTCTCCAAGATACGGAATCCTCGGTTGCTAAGATACAAGAAGATGTCGATAAATTGAAGAAACAACATGACAGCACAACTCAGGTTGAGTTTATATTTCCACACAGAGCAATGAGCTTTATTTGTGAAATATATCAGAAACCTATTGGTAAATGTGAAAAATGTTGGATCATATTTTATACAACACGGTTTCACAAATCAAATTATTGCCCAATTTAAAAAATTAATTCTATTGAAATTGTATCAAACTTTTTTATGTTTCATTTGTAGGAAGTCAATGAATTGGAAGCCAAACTTGCTCAAGTTAGATCAGAACATGAAAAAGAAGAAAATATATTAACAAAGGAGAGAGATGTTCTTGCCCCACAGGAAAAAGATTTATTAGTAAGAAATATTATTAGTCATATCATGTACTAAACTGAATTGTACATAAACTTAAAATATATACCGGTATGTAAACGGAAAAATTACGGTAACTGTTACTGAAGAATTATATTTCATTTTTCAAATTTTTTTCAATCAGTTTTACAAACTGTCTATTTCTACTAGATTGTCATTGTTAAGTTTACAGCGTATAAGGGAAACTGCATTACATTTGTATTTGCAGTGAAATTTAACAAAATGTTCACACTTTATTCCCAGACTTAAATAGAATTATTTTTTCTCAGGCGACTCAATTGTCTTTACAAAGCAAAATCAAAGAAATGGAATTTGAAGAAGAACAGATGAGACAGAAATTGAAAGATATGAAAGTTTCTAAGAATGCAATGAAGAAACGAATTGCAACTACAGAAGAAAATATTGCTAATATTACGTGAGTTAATGATAAGTATTCATGTGTCTATTAGTTTGTAGTTGGTGAGTGGGAGCACTTCAGATTGGTGAGTTTAGTGGTGTTCTCGGGAAGAGTAAAATTGACAAGGCGTCTGAATCGTGTGTGGAACCATGTGTCATATGGGAATAGTCAACCAGTTATTCATTTTAGCTTTTAAATTTGCTGATGGAGGAAACCACAACTGACTAGTAGCTTTGAGAACCACCCTGTTACAGCCAGGAGGGAGTATAGCAATCGTCTCACAGATTAGTGCCATAACATTCATCGATTTTATTGAATGCTTGTATCAAAAGCCAGATCCAAATGCTTTCAACTGCTAGGTATATTATGTCCTTGTAGGACTTTCTTCGGGGTGAATGTTAGTCATACCTGAACCATAAAATTTATTTTGTTTTTGAATAATGCTGGTACTGGTAGTTATTCATGTAGTAGTTATTATAATGACATTTTAGTTTTTCTAATGAACAATTTATATCACATGTGTTGATTCAAAAAATCTGAATAGTTTTTATTTTAAAAATTATGCATGTTATTTGTGATTTTTTTCTGTTTAGAGATGATTTGGAAGAAGTTAGTCTACGTCTTGAATCCAGTAAAAAAAAAAATTCTGAATTACAAAAACAATTGGATGAGGCATCAGGTATTTATCACAAGATTTTTTTCCTTAGGGAAGGATGACACTGGGAATCCTGTGGGTGCAATGGCCCAGCTATTTATTCTGTACTCTCGTAGTGTGTGTACCAGATTACGGTTAGGCCATATTTTATTCCGATTTTCCTTTTTTTAGTTCTATTATGAGTTCGGGGACTGTCTGTGTTAGCCAAGTGTATATACCCCCTGCCTATAGGTTTCAGTCCCTTTACACAACTTGATGTAAAGTAGGCGAACAAAATTAGTTACCTCCATATTGGTACACATACCGTACTTCTGGAGCACCAATTTTTCTATGCTGACATTGCGGGTGGTAATAGATCTTGGATTTGTGTTACAGGTCCACCCTTTCTGTGCCCACATTATCTTATCTGGCTATGATTGAGACAGGTCTTACTTATAGTAGATAGTTCTTGTTTATATTTTCTTTTGTGCTTTTATTGTGTAATAATATCACTTAAATCACAAAACGCAATTCCATTTTCCCAGGTCGTTTAGCTGAGAGAAAGAAGGATCATCATGAAATGATGGACAGTAGATTGCAAATTAAAGTCAAATTAGAAACCAACATTCATGATGAGTTGGACAGAAATAAAGAACTTGCACAAGACTACAGGTTTTATTTTATTGCCTTTAAGTTTTGCGTGCACTTGCAAAAATATTTTCAGATGGCTTCTCAGTATATATATGGCACTAAAATGCGCTGAATACAAGCATGAAGAATGGTTTGTGAATAATGACAATTTTTTCGTTTTCTGAAAAACAGTGCAATTAAATCGAAGAGCTATATTGAAAATTTGTGATAAGAAATCGTATCCAATTGTGAAAGATAATTGAAAACAATTGAAATTTTGACAGAGTTTACTACATCTGAAACCAAAGGTCTATATTTTTCATGACAACACTCCTTCTTTCACTTTATCCAGGGATCTGCAAAGTGAATACATTGACTTAAAAAACAGGTTGATGTCACTTTATGACAACAAAGTGAAATTAGAAGCCAGCATCAAAGATCATAAACAGGTGAATTATTTATTTATGGAATGAGTCATTGACCATGATTAATGATTTTTCCTATCATCGGAGAGTTTATTCAATAAAATTTCATGTTGTTTATATATTTTGTGCTCATAAGGTTTGGATGGATTCAGAAATACAAATATATTCATTATTTGGATTCAAAAATTTTCTTATTGTCTTTTCCCTAAAGTTGTTCCAAGACCGAAAACATAGCAACTAATCTAGAGTGAAATGCCCTCAGAAATAAAGTCGTTAGCGGACACCTCGAAATATTCACGGTGTCCGTATTTGTCATAAACACCATTTGATACCAAATATGAATCCACAAATCAACTTATTGGCAGTTTTCTGCCTTTGTTATTTTTTTCAGAACTAGTCACCTTATGGCTGTATTATTCTCACCCAATCTATATTAAAATTATTCTGTTATGATTGTTGTTTATCAACGCTTTACTTCTAATCGACAAATAATAAGTCTTAAAACCTCTTTTGTCTATTATTAACAGCAATTTGGCCATGATATACTAGTTTAACATCAAAAACCAAACCAAAAATTTCTTTTTCTAGTTACTCGCTTTGCAAGAAAAATTCAATGTTGCTTTGAAACAATATTATCACGATCGTGGTGAATTTAACAAAGCAGGACTACACAAGTTTCATTCAGAGGCAGAGGTAAATTTTTTTTTCTTAATAACTTTGTTGCAGTATACCATGGCCCAATCATAGAATAAATTCCCTCCAAGGGGGAACTTTTATTTTATTACACAGTATAGACCATTCAAACTGTATATGAACCAACATTCAAGTTGCATGAAGCACTAGCTCAGTGGTTCTTAATCTGGGGGCCGCGCCCCCAGAGGTCACAAAATGGAATCAAAAACATGTAACAGCTTCTGAAACGGTCTCCACGTTATAATGAATTTTTCTGTCTCGTAATAACTACCATACTTCAAAAGGCCTCTCTATTTTAATTCATTTGTGTTCAAGGTAACTCGCGGTTGCGGCGACTGACGACAAAATAAACTTATTACCTATCTAAAATACCACGCCAATCCGCGGACATAATAAAGTGTGATCAACTGCCCGATTATATTTAGTTTTTATATATATTGCACTCATGCGAATTCGTTGTCGTCATTAGAAAGATTTGGTACAATATCCCAGAAAGTATATTTAATTTAGTACAATTGAAATTCATACAAAGTATATTAGTAGATGAAAAATACATATTCATCGACACGAAATCCCCGCGGTACGGCTCCTGAGTCAGTCGTCGAGATTACGCCAGTCATTAAAAGAGCCGACTCTTTCAACGGATATGTAATGGTTTTTCTGTTGAATAAAATATTCAATCCATGATCGATATACTTATTTGAAATGGTTCCTTTATTCATTTAATTGTGATAAATTAAATCTGCGATTGCGTTGATAAAATAAAAGCACCACTACTCCAAAATAACACAGTAATCCGCAACCATAAAAATGTCGATTACATTTTGTTTTGATTTGTATTCTTGCCAAGTTCACTAATATGAGCTGTCCCTGCAACTCTTACTCCGCTCTATCGCAATGCCGCCACTCGATTGATTTCAAGATATCACCGTTACAGATATTCCTAAGTCTGCGATCCCACGGAGTAAAATTTATTTCAAGTCTGTAGTTTTAGAACACTACTGATGGTGTGCACAAGGAATTCATGAGATTTGTCCAAGAAAATGTTTTTAATCTGTCGTGGTCCACCCCAAAACAAAACTCATGGCGTTTTCCGTTTTATTTTTAGTATTTTATAATGTCACTTTTACAATAAAGAAATTTTTAGTTACAGATTCACTTCTTTATTCTATCTTTAGCATCTCGTCGCTGATGATTATATAATAAAAACTAACTACTAACTCGTTTTCCTCAGAGGTGTCATGGTTCCATTCGAAAACAAAAAAAGTAGTTATAATAGTCTTCGTGGCACAAGGATATGTCGAGGGAAATTTCGGATTTAGAAAGATAAACACCGAAATCAAAAAATGAATTGCTTTCAAATTTACATAAATTCATTTGCACTTCTCCACTTTGTTTGAAACGTTAGTCAAGCTTAGAAGTCTGTAATTGTTGCTTATTTTCAACACACAGTAAATAATTTTTGCATTGCTCGATAGTGATGAAGTAAACAATTGATTGAAATTTTACGTGTCTTATGTAAACGTTTAAGCAGAAAATACATTAAAGCATAGGTTTATTGCTTGTTTAGTTTTACGTAATAATTAGTTTGACTTTGACAAGTATTGCAAACTGAGCGGAGAAACGAGAATGTATGATGACCAACCACTATTTGGCTTTATACATACGACAGTGAATGGCGAAGTTGTACTCCGAAGCGCTTTATGCCTAAACAATCTGAGCAATGACGCTATATGAGACCAACACTCCCATAGCGCCACCTTAATATATAACAACCTGTCCATCACAAAAGCATTTTTTTAAAGCAAAAAGAGGGGCGCGGCTCAAAAAGTTTAAGAACCACTGCACTAGCTGAAGATAAAAGAATTAATAAAAACAGTCTTTTTGTATAGTGAGAGTGAAATGAAAACATTCAAATTAGGCAAAGAGAATAATATAATGACAACGGTTGAAAACTACTGCAAATGAAGGCAATGCTTTTCTAGTATTCTTTCATGTAGAAAGGTGATAGGTAGACAGTTTTTTCTCACTGTGACATGGCTACCAGAGCAGATTCAAGACTTCATAGACATACAGTAGTTAGGCTAATGCAGTTTAAAAATATGCTAATCCATAATTCTGAGTATAACTGAACTATTTCACTTCAGGACAATTCTAATGCCATGGTCAAGATTCAGACTGGATTGCAGAAGACAATAACAAATATTTCAAAGTTTCTTAAATCACAAATCGATGGAGGAGCAGCCAATGAGGTTCAAGAAGCTGCAATGAAACATCTACTGACTGATGATAGTCTCATAACAGCTTGAATAGTATTTTTTACTTTGAGCCATCAGACTAGAAAACAATTAAATTTCTGTTGCTGGTTTTTCATTATATTTCGTATGAAATTTCATTTACCAATTTTCAGTTTTCTTATTATCAAAGTATCGCATGTCAAATTTTTTTTAATAAAATTCTTATTCTTGTGACTGGGACCAATAAGGTTAAATAAGTTTAGGTTATGGTCCGAGCTATATAATAAGCAAAGATTCCAAAAAGTGATAAGACGACTCTCACTTGATCGTATGGCGAACCAAGGCCCTTCATCCGATTATCGGTCAATGTCGGGTTCAGTTAGCCAATTATTTGTTTTCAGTTGCACAGTTGCACGGACATGTTGCTGGAAGTCGTAACTGACAAGCGGTCATTCATCTGGCTATTTTTGAAACCATTCTCTCAACCATTTTGTATCAAAATTGCCACATGAATGAAAAAACCTTTTTATTTTATAAGTAATAGAACAGTACTGCAATGAAACGGTATAAAAACTAAAAATACTAATCAAGAAATAGTACGATGAAAATATAAAAGGCAAAAATGAAATTTTTATAAGAGAGTAAAATCATAAAAAATGATGCAAAGGCAATCTTGTGTGACGAACATTTTAAATATTAATTTATCAGACTAATAGTCATAGCGCTGAGTTCACCAAGGAACACGAACATCACACACTGAGACTGCCCAACGACATGTTTCCTTTGATTTTGAGATAACTCATGTTTAGATCACCGCCCCAAAGATAAAAAGAGAAAAGTGAACATGGGAAGATGATTTTGCGCTCGGCAAGGTTATATAATCTAAACTTCATCAGACCAATAATAATTGTTCTTGTTTTTCATTTTCAATTTTCCTCATTTTATCTTGATAAATAGACAAAGGTGAGCCAGAAGCTTAATCTAACTCAAAAAAGGGAGGAAACAGATAACAGATTTAGAGGTAGCGGGCAATAACATAGTGCCGAATACGGATATAGAAAAAGATTCAGGTTCGGGCTTCTGTGTATATCAGCTGAATAGGAGTAATATTTTGCAAGACACACTTTATCTGATTTTGATGGAAAACTAGATTACTGCAATATAAAATTTTCTTAATAACACTGAGTTACCTTTGCAATAACTATACCAACACTTGCTTATTATAATAATTCAATACAATTTACTCATGTTCAATAATTTGCTTAAAAGCAGTATAAAAAAAAAGATATCTGCATTTTGCAATACCTAAAAAGTAGAGGTATATTTTTATAATAAAACATTACATGTAAAAAATATTTCTTTAAAATACATAACAATTTGGTATTACCGAAGTATGTAACCGAGTTGGCGGAAACCGGAACGTAGTATGTGTACCAGGGTTAGGAATAGGACATAATTTTATTCTAATTTTCCTTATTCTAGTTCTATTACGAGTTTGGGCACTAGTCAAGTGACTCCAGTAGTAATTGTACCTGAAATCATGGTATAACCCTAACCTGGTACACATACTACGATTAGGTGTTCGTCAGCTCGGTTCACATACTTCGGGAGTACAAACAATTCCCATTGAACCATTCCAAACAGATATAACCGGCTCAACTCCCTTTACATCCCTTTATGCGCTTCATCTTCAAATCACACAAGTCTTTCACCACTTAAATTTGACATATCGGAGTCAAAAGATGTTTTCTTCTGTTTTGTAGTTTGACTTCTTAGTCCTTTATTCCTCGATATACCATCCCCATTACTTAATTCTGGATGTGATTGTGAAAATTCAGTAATCAAGCGAGTTGAACTTGACACAGGAGAGGAAGAAGGACTGTTTGTTAATGCCGATGTAGAGATTGAAATTGCAGGAATTGTGTTTTTACGGAACGGGCTGTTTGATCTTCTGTGACTATTTCCTGAGGGTGGTTTTAAAGCAGCAACGCTGGCTGATCTTTGTCTTAGTTGTTCCTGAAAAAATATAAATTGGGAAATAAACTGAAGAAATAAAAAAAATATTCATTATTTTTGAAGATTGTTCAACACCTGTGCTCCGACCAAGGCTTCGTATAAACAGCAAAATAAACAAATAGTTTTACCGAGTTTTAATAGATAGCTACTAAGCTTCTTACACTCTGAAAGACATCAACTTCCATAACAATGGCTAATCAGCATTAACAAATGTAATTTTAGTGGAGGCTCATCCTTTTTTCACCTGAAGAGATTACAAGCTTGGTGATTTTTAACAAAGAATTTTTAACATGGAGCTAGTTTGTAAGCTTCACCCAGCTAAAATATTCGCAAAATGAACATAAATAATTTCACAATGGTGAAGTTTAGTAAGAATTTTAAATGGGGCTAAAGGCTGGGGAAACATCCATACTTCTGTTTTCATAATCAGAGCACATTGTTTATCAAGTTCAAAGTACATCCTTCACCATCAATAAATCAACAACTTTTTACCTCTTGAACAAAGGCAGCTTGACGTTCTGGTCCATAAACTAAGATTAAAGTTTTTTCTGAATCTTTGGATAATATGGCTGATGCTTGGAGTTCCTAAAAAGACATTATCTCATTAATAAAAAAACTATGAAAATATAAGTGTGTATGCAAATTAAATATTTATTAGTATCAGGAAAAAAACTGGTAGTCCCAAAGTATGTGAACCAAGATGGCGGACACCGAAACGTAGTATGTGAACCAGGTTAGGGTTAGGCCATAACTTTATTCCAATTTTAGTTCTATACGAGTTCAGGGACAGCCAAGTGACTCCCAAAGTATTTGTACCTCAAATTATGTCCTCACTCTAACCTGGTACACATACTACGTTCCGGTGTTCGCCATGTTGGTTCACATACTACGGGAGCATCACAAAACTAGTACAATAAGCTTCACGTGATAGTTAGGTACCTTGAGACCTTAATATTAGAATATGAATACCATCAAAAATATGAGCTGAAAAGCGGTTGATTTTATTATTTTTATGTAATTTTCAAAAAGTATAAATGTACGGAATAATTAGATGGTTAGGAACTGGAGCTCCTAAAATTTCTGATAGTTCCGCCTCTAACAAAGCGCCACACATCCACGCCTCGAATTTCTCAGCTGACAAACATACTAGTTTGTTGATAATACATCAGTGAATTTTTATTTTGGAAATAAAGTATAGGAATTTTATTTAATCAAATCCTACCAGCAATTGTTCTTGTAAAATTTGTTTTTCATCTTCGATTTTCTTCATTTTATCTTGATATTCTGTTAATTTTTCATCCCTTGATTCAATCAATGTTTTTTCCTCTTTATTCATCACATCTACACCACTATCACTCGACATACTTGGAAATGCATTTCTGTAATAAAGTGAGCGATGTTGAACCAAACAATGAATGAGAATGCTACTACATTATCTTAAGAAAGATTTTCCTTAAAGTCACATGCGAGTACTAATGAGCAGATGTAACTAAATAAAACAACGAGACATTACTTCGTTTTATTAAAACAATACCCACATAATATAGTTCTATAGTCAGAAAATCAAGGCTATTATCTTGTGATAGAAGCGTAAATCCATAGTAAATCACAATTTTACATAAAAAATTGTAAATTTAACAAAAAAGAAAAATCACCTTATTCTTGCATTTGCTTTCCTGATAAGAGATTGTTTCTTAGTAAGTGCTTGGAGTCTGTCATATATTTCATCCATCTTCTGCATTGTTTCCATCGCTTTATCACGAGCTAACGCGCGCTCGTTCAATTTAGTTTGCATTAAATTCCATCTCTATGTGAGAATAATATCAATATGTAATACACTATAGTGTACAAAATTGACAACATCGCAGCAAGAGTATTAATGTAGAATGAATAAGTTTTCATTTTTTCTCATATGACGCTGTACCAATATTGAGGTAACAAATTTTGTTCGCTTATCAAGTTGTGTGAAGGGACTGAAACCTATGGGGCAAGCGGTATATTCACTTGGCTAACACAGACAGTCTCCAAACTCGTAAAAGAAACAAAAATAAGGAAAATTGGAACAGAATTATGGCCTAACCTGGTGCACATACTATGGGAGTACCCAAGGCCCTGTGCAGCCACAGTTAACTAACGATATATAAGAAGCTGAGATTTTTTTTTTGAGGACCAGGATCTTTCGGGTTCAGCATTGCTCACCCTGTGTATCACCTCCTGAGTAGGGCAGGTGGTAGACATGGGATTCGAAGCTTTGATGCTAACACAGCTAATTCTAATGCTTTAACCACCCGGCCATCGTGCTCAAATTTTCATTGCAGTTATATCAAGAACTGATTACTGATTGATCACCTCTCTAACTTCTTGCAATCGTTTTCTTGTTCTTTTTACTTCTCGTTTCTTTTCAATTGCATTCAATTCACTCTCCCTTCTTCTGTGTCTTTCCAACCTTCGCTCGGCAATTTCAATTCGTTTAGCAGTCAGACCTGTAAATCAAATCAATAAATGTTATATTGAGTGGCTTATGTCAAAATTATTGCAGTCAGTGTATGGTATTTGAGTTTGTTTTTATGTATTGAATTACCTGTTTGTTGAATTTTTATTGTTAAATTCATGCATAACATCCAGGAATGCGAATGTTGTGAATCAGAACAACTCATCTCGGCCTCCCATGCAATGTTGAAATCTCCTTCTCTTTCCACAAGACGGAACCGATGTTTATGAGATGAGGCATCAGGTAGGGACTGAAAACACAATTCATTATTATAAACTGCAATATGAATAAGTATGAACCAATATTTTCCAACTTTTTTAATCTGTGAATCCCGTTTTAGTTTCTACATCATCATATTGACTAATTTCACAGGTCAAACTTCAATATAAATATTGTGAAATTATCAATCTTCTTAATATAAATATGTTGATAACATAAAGTATACAGATTTTGGGGTTCAGTTGACTTAGGCAAAACTAGCTACCTACTACCTCCTTTATGCCTTTACATTATTGGATCCGTGCGAGTATGATGCAATGATGCTATATCAAGAATAAAGATGACTCTTTTGAGTGATTCAGATGCCAATGGCAATATTTTCAAATCACTCTGAGAAATGTGGAAATATTTCACATTTTGAGTAAGACAAAATATTGAATGCGACAAATTTCTCATATATTTGAATAGGTACTCCCGAAGTATGTGAACCAAGATGGCGCACACCAGAATGTAGTATGGGTACCAGGCTAGGGTTAGGACATAAATTGATTCCAATTTTCCTTACCTTAGTTCTATTAGGAGTTCAGGGACTAGCTAAGTGACACCCGTAGTATTTGTACCTGGAATTATTGCCTAACCCTAACCTGGTACACATACTACGTTCCGGTGTCCGCTATCTTGGTTCACATACTTCCGGGGTACCTTTGAATATCTGACGAAAAGTTATTCATTCAGATACCACTAAATTACTAATTATCAATATGAAATAATTTAAACAAAAAAAATATCTCACTTCCACATGCATCTTGTTGTTCAAGGTAATCTGATATTTGAGAAGATCACAGATAGGATCAGAGTAGAATTCAATATTATGTTTTTTCAGAACTCCCCATCTTCTCTTCCAAACATCGGTACCAGGTTTCTTCATAGATATCCAACCCTGACAATAAAGAACGTTCATTAGATTAGGAATTAGGAGGGATATACAGTTTCAGTCAACTGAATCCTCTGTGCTATTTGACTGCCATATAGGCAGTGGGTATCAGGGACACTGTAGCTCTTGTGGCGCTTTGGCTGGAATGGATTATTAATTACGGTATATTCGATATTTTGAATCCTTGATTTCAAGAACAAATTTAAATGATTCCATTTGAAAGCTTATCTTTGATCAATTAAGTCTATGGTATAACCAAAAGGACGTCATTTAATTTCGGAGAACAGTAATAAATAGAAAACCGATAGTTACAATATTGGTCATTTCTTTTCTAAAAATACTATTTTAAAATGTATCAAAAATTCAGGTTTCGTGTGAAACTTCACGCGAACATCCTAACACATGCATTTTAAAATTTAACCCTCAATTTCATATGAATAGGGCTAAGATCAAAGACAGACATATTTCACCTGTTCAATCAACAGATTAACTACAATAACTATGAAAATCTCCTGACTCTCGAAACAGATAGATGGTATTGATTAAGATCTTAAGATCGGTAAGTATGTTGATAGCTATTTGTCTGTTTGTCTGTCTGTCTGTTTGTCTGTTAGATGAACGCGATATCTCACGACGGCGAGCTTGAATCTGCCCCAAATTTTGCATGTGCATTCATCATATCTCTGACCAAAAGCCTATTGATTTTGGATGAATTATGTCGTATAATTAGCGAGTTATTAACTAATTACCGATCTAAGATCGATAAGTCTTCGGTCTCCGACCGATATTCTCGTTATAGGATCACTCAGAAGCTCTCTGATCTCCAGTGGTTGCAAGTAACTTTGCTCAGAGGTGAGTCAGTCTAATTTACTTCTGAGTGAGTGTAACCAATTCTTTAAAAATACTAACCGTTCTAATAACTTCTTCAACTTCTGTCAAATAAACTTGTTTTACAGCTCTTCCAAAGGCTGGAGAAAGAATAGTCTCGGATCCCATTGTTTCAGCCACGATTGATAAAAATTGATGAAAAGTAACCAGCAGTGTTTCTGTTGCCACAATACAATCATCTGGATCATTAGGTAATTCTTCTTCCACTATCCTGTGTAAAAAAATTTCAACAAATCAAGCATGAATAAAGATGAAACTGTTGTGAAGAATTCTTACATGTACTGAACATGTATGATATATGGTAAGAGTTGGGAATGAAACAATAGACTTAGCACAAATGTGTGAAATGAAAATAGGGCGAAGATGTCTGCATTGCTTAGATCACAAGGTTAAAGTTGGGAGTGGATTAACTAGATGCTTTTAACAAGGGAGAACATATCAAAATAGCTAATGGAAATTATGCTACAAAAATAGTTTTCAATAATTTGCAGAATTTGAAAATCAATGAAAGGTCTATATTCGAGGAATGATCAATTGTTCCCAATTTATATTGTGTGTCTCATAATTGCTGCAAATATAAAATAAATCTATATTCACACTATTGCAGACAATTCTGCAACTGCAATAATATCAATTATGAAGGTTTAATATAAGAAAAGTATTTCCCATATAGAAAAAAAAGCAGAAAAAATGCGCAACTCAGGCAGACCTAGAAGAAAATATTAAAACACCAAAACAATGGTTCACTCTATCAACAACTAGGATATGTTGTCATCAGTATGATGAGAATTATAAAGACAAAAAACTAGACAATGGTATAGATTCACTATGTCTACTAAGTGCAATGACTCCACAACAGAACAATCATGTAAATGGAAACATTTACTAAGGATCATCATATCTAACCTTCATATCTAATTAAATTATAGCATGCAATGATGCAATCACAAAATATATCCTAAAAACAATTGCAAAAAATTTTCATTTCAAATCATGTTGAAGGAAAATACTCTACAATGCACTCAAACAACAAGACCAAGAAAATACACATACGGTAAGTATAACTCGAGAGCAGGGGTGCACAACTCGAATGATTATAAATGCCAAAGTTTTCAAAATAATCTTGTTCCGCCATGCCACGTTTGTAATCAGTTGTTTATTTTTTTACCATATTGAAAATACACATTGTGCATACAGAACGAGGTAAAAAGAGGAAAAAATGCATTTTAGGGTAAGAGGGGACCGACACCGTTACAATAATTGTTGGTATTGTAAACAAACTTTCAAACACATAATAATTTCTGATAACTGGAAGCTAGAAATGTGTGAATAAACATGTTGATTTAAGTTTGTTTCGATATACAAGGTGTTAAAAAAGTAACGCAAAATTAACAGAAGTTGAGATCATTTAACGAACGACACCTTTTAACAGTATTGAATCACAGTGAAATGCCATATAAACATTTTACGGCTGACGCTTTTTAACAGTTACTTATTTAAAGTACTGTGTAGTCATGACGGAAAATATTACCTTAATTTTGTGTAACTTTTTCAACACCCTGTATAAACGTGAGTAATTAGGAGTCAATATAAATACAAGAATTACTTTTTGACAAACCACCCTCATGCGGGCCCTGTGTTGTGGCCTCCTGCTGTAGAGCACATTTGCTAACAAAAACTCTCAAAACAAAAAAGAATTTTGAAAAATTGGAAATCCCCAAAAAATCATTATTAATAAAAAAGATTGCAAATCGCATAATTATAAATAATGCAACACTAAATATCATCCAAGATATTGATCAATTAATTGCACAATATAACTAGATGAATGTGTGCACACAAGTTTTACCTCACATAAGAATTCCTTCTAATCGTTGAAGCCCTGATGAATGAGATGATGAAAATTTTAAACACACAAACAAAGTTTGAAAATGCTTTTCCATGCTCTGTATAAGCAGCCATTGATATTCACTTGTATGTAAAAAGGCGCTAACTTTGAAAGGCCTATATTTTTATGGTTTGGCACTGCGCAATTTATTTATAACTGGCGAGGTGTTGAGAATGGGATTCGAACCAGAGTGTAACCTAAGATGCCAACATAGCTATTAAGTCCAATGCTTTGACCACCAGGCTATCATACAAATGGACTGACTATTTTAATTGACACAAATTTGAACAATGGCTTGTTTTTAATACAGTTTTGCTGAAATCAAGGTCCAGACCACACAGGTAATATTGTTGACACCACATATGGAAAATTTCCAAAGACTACTGACATGCTAAGGGCTATCTATGTGTAGATCTTTACTTGTTAAAGAGATGTTAACAAGACTAAAAGAAGTTCAAGTCAATGTTGTCAAGAAAACAGTTTGGGTAGAATGGGTTTCCACGGAGATTGTAGAGAAAAACTTTTAGCATTAATGGTACATAAAACTTCTCATATTGGTCGCACAAAATTTGAATGTCTCACATAGTGCCAAAAGAACGTAGTTCAAAAATGTTGGCAGTTTGATTAAGCACATTATTGGTTCCAAACTGTCATTGATAGCAATGCTATCTCAAGGGAATACATTAATATTTCATTATCAACGCAGAGGAAGTAAATTCCTATTCAGACCACATTAAAATCTTTTTCGATTCCTGTGGGTCACAGGCCCCTTTGGTATAAGACAAGTAAAAACAAGATAAGGCTGAACATCAATATGTATTATATTCTACCTCATAGAGCTACCATCGTAAGCTTTCAGGCCGTTGTTGTTGACTCCATTATGTTCATGAGGGATCGATGATAAAGATGAGCTTGATACAGACGATACATTGTCATCACTGTCTTCCCATAATATACCAATGCTTGAACATAATTTCCGCAAGATCAGTTCGATCTGAAAAAAAGAGTGTTTTTTTTATTCATTTATGGGTAAGTAATTAGGTTTGGGGAACCAGCATTTTTGTTTGAACTGAGGAAAATGAAAATTCCCCTTATTCGTGAAATTTGTTATTTTACGATTGTACTTTAAGTTATAATAGTTGAGACAAATTTTGAAATTGAAATAGGCTGTTTAAAACTGAAATGAAAAATTTTAGATTATTAAATTATGTAACATCAGTTGAGTTATGTGAGACAAACTAGAGAGCCTTATTTGAAGCAAAGATGCTAACCCAGATAAAAATTGTCTTATGCAGAAGTAACTCATGCTTTTGTGAATTAGTGCAATCACAAATAGTGACCATAAATTCTGACGCTTTAAAGCAGGGGTTCTCAAACATTGGTACAGTTTTTAAAATTCATTACAAAATGTAGCCCCATAGCAGATTTGAACGGTATTGTGGTTACAAATTTTGTTGCACTATAGGCCTATGTTAGTATGCTTTGACTGTGGATAGACTGTCTAGCCTAGCCAAAGACTTTATATTTTACTAACTGCACAAATTAGATAGAAAGTAAGCAAGGTTGTTGAGGTCAATTCAACTTTTAAATTTGAGAGGAAAAATGAGGAATAACGCCATCTTTAGCACAATTGTTTTTCAAAACTATAGAATTCATTTCTGTCTTGATATTGATATAGTTCTTTTCTTTTACATTACCTCTTCATTATCAGCACTTGGAGGATATGTATCAGGTTCTGCAATTTGATTAAAAACACACCATAACCAGTAGAATGAATGATGAAGTTCTGGAGGTATTTCATCGTTGGGAACTTCGCATGGAGGTGGCTAAAAATGCAAAGACTATTAACAAATTGATTATGCCATACTGACTAATCAGCATTTCTATAAATAAGAACTAAAAAACAACAAATCTTTTATGATTTTTTCAAACTTTTCTCAGAGGTTTCAATAGCAATGAATATTAGAATCTGATGCAAAATAAATACATGCAATAAAATGAGGCAGAAAATCCGCAGTACAATTAGAATATACGTGGCACGTGGCACTGGAAATTTTACCTTCAAGCATTTTAACAATGGGCGTCTACAAGTAGAAGAAGTCTAAATATCAGCATTTATATCTCTTTTTTTCAACTTACATTTAAATGCCAGGATTGACACTGTCTCCAACATGCTGATCTTAATTTCTCCCATTCTATTGCAAATGAGAGAGGATTTCTGGCAACACATTTCTAAAGAACAAAAAATGATAGTTGATTTTTTTTCTTGATTTTGATAAACAGTGGTAAGCTTTTTATGATAGTGTAATTCTGAGTTAAGAATCAGAATAAATTATGATTCTTCTCTTTTTTTCAATGTAGAAACACACCCACGAAAACGAATACACATTAGGATTAACCAAGTTGAAAGTGAGGTCGTTTGAAAGTGTGATTTTACTCATTTAAGCAAACAACCACTTAAAATAGAGCATAATCAGATTTACTTTAGTTAATTCAGTGTCCATGACATCACTAAACATACGAAAACCTCCAAAATATTTCAAAATATCAGCTCCTAATGAAGTTGATTGACAATGGTATTCATAGTTTATTTAACTAAATTTATTTCCAATATACAACATACCTCGATAAAGATTTTAAATTGAACAAACGAAACATGAGTTGTGTTTATGAATTGTTCATGAACTGTCTTCTCAGTTAAATATCTTCCATTCAATACAGGACCAACCATTGACGAAAGACTCTGGGAAAGTGAGATAACGAGAAAGTGAGAAGTTAATAATATGAACAATCAATACGGCAGTGGTTCCCAACTTTTATAGCCCATGGCCCCCTTCGGGAGGCTTTCAGCCTGCATGGCCCCTTTGTTTATCATTCAAGTGGTATTTATATTGTTATTTTGATTAGTAGATTCCTAATACCATTATGTTCAAACAATTCATGCTCAGCAAAGTGTGAAATAACCTTATCAAGTAATGTATCAAGGAAGAACAGGTTTTCTTATGAAAAAGTAAAATCAGTTTTGCGCCCAGCATTGTGACCCCCCTCCAATTGTTCTGTAGTAGCCCCCTTGGTGGTCCCCGGTTGGAAACCGCTGCAATATAGGATAAGAGAAAAGTGGATTTAGTACAACATTTTGCTGTGAGGTTCATGATGAAATTGGACGCAATGGCGAGAGCACTGGACTCCCCTTAGTCAACATCACAGATTACAGGTTCAAAGATTATGGCCATGGTGTATTAAGTTGGGTAGACAATGTCAACTCAGCAAGTTTCTGGTCCTTTTAAAATTGTAGCTGTTGGGAAGTCTGACGAGCAAGTTTTTTATAGATCACCAACTTGAGTGTCTTTGTATAAATCTAAGAACCCAACTGCAGATTCTTAACTACCATTGAATACTTGTTCATGGCCTTGTTTAGAGCAAACAGTAATAAAAGTAAGCAAGTTGTAAAAAAATGGGTACTCCCGAAGCATGTGAACCAAGATGGCAGACATCGGAACGTAGTATGTGTACCAGGTTAGGGTTAGGCCATAATTTCAGGTATAAATACTACAGGAGTCACTTGGCTAGTCCCCAAACTCGTAATAGAACTAAAATAAGGAAAATTGGAATAAAATTATGGCCTAATCCTAACCTGGTACATTTCGGTGTCCGCCATCTTACTTCGGGGGCGCCAAAAATGTCATTCTTACCATTATCCTTCCAAGTAGCACTGCTCCAGTGGATTTTCTGTCAAGATTGCTGAAAGCTTGCCAAACTGGGAATAGGTTGTTGTCATGGTAACACGGATGATGGAGAATAGTTTGCTTCTTAGGAGAATCTCTACTAATAGTGATTGTGATGTCACCATCATATTCTTCATAGCAGTTTGCCAGAACATCAGACGCTCGGAGTTGAGTAACTGAAGTTCGTAAAATTTTTTAAAATTTTCAATACTTGTACTAATAAGCTAAGACAAGATTTAGAGCTATAGCAGCACAATATTATAGTAATGGAGGTTTTTTCGTATCCTGGTAGGAGTAGTCAGCATGTCTTGAAATGACATAGGCTACAAGTTCCAGCAATTAAAGAATATTAGGGAAATGAGAAAATTAGATTTCATGCAAATACTATAAGCAAGCAGTTACAGCATACTTCACAGTGTAATTATTAACAGTGCAGCACCAAAAACGTGAAAATGAACACCATATTGATCTACAGACATTCACACTGCTATTTACGTACAAATATTAGTAATTATACAAAGTGATTACTTATATTTTCTTTAGTAAAAATGTTAATGGGCAATGATAGATGAGTCCATTTCAATAACTAAGTCTCAATAGTAGATATGGGTACAGGTGAGATAACAATTCAAATTCAACAAAATGAATTTAGCTTTTTATGGTACAAACTTTCACCAAACTCACCCAATGTATCTTCAAACTCAAATTGAGGTTTAGGTAAAGGAATAACGTCAGACAAAGATGTTTTGCGACGAGCTTTGAGTGACAATGCCCTCGCAACCTTTTTAGTTCTTCGTTGCATGATTTGGTTGTCGACTGTTCGGTTATTAATTAGTATCAAAATGAAACCATGCTCCTATGCATCTTGTACATTACACTGTAACATTGTTATAAAGTTATGACTTAGTTATTAACTATGATAATACTCTAAGTAGAGTTTAGGATTAACATGTGTTGGTGAATAGTGCGCATGGTTAAGTCTTAGTTAGTCTTTGTCTTACTCACTCTAAGGCTGTTGTCAATGGACAATAAAATGAGGGCTATATTAACCCTGAACTGCCAAAACTCGGAAAAGTATGTTTTTGCTTTTTGTTGAACACATGCAACCTTTATTAAAAATACTCTGGCTAATATTGCTTCAAACTATGTTTAGATACTTAATAAACATTTAATTTCTTTGAAATATTTTTCAAATTTTTCTACATTCGCCTTTTTGTCTCGAAGCCTTTGAAAATGCTGAACTCTCTCATTATCATTACAAACCGGTAAGTGTTTCCATAAACTACGGTTTTACCTTTTTCTAGTGAAGTGAACACAAGATGCATTTACTAGTACAATATATCAAGTAAACGGATGTTGCATTATGTCACTGTGTAATATTATTGCACTGGAACTGTACAACAACAATGAAAACCTTGCATGCACGTTATTTCCTGAACTACTAAATACTATAGCTTAACCACAAAGTTGAAACAGTCCTATTACAGTCTCTCTGAAACCCAACATAACCACCAAAACAATGAATTCATTTCTATGCAATTCTAGCACAATTCAAATTCATCATAATTGAACTGATAACAAAGATAAGTACTGCCATGTACCATGACATCTTAATTACTAATATGAATGAGGCGCAGAAGACATTAATTCTGATACATATTTCACACCTCTGTCTCGCCTCAACTGTCTATGCTGTCTTTGATTAATTGTCGAATGAACCTGTTTGAAAGCCTCATTTGCAAGTCTATAAATAAATTTCACACATTTGAGCATTATAATATCACAGTTGCAAAGAATTGAAAAGCAGACCAATGTGCAATGTGTGAGAAAATTAATATAAATATACAAACTGGTGTATAAAGAACCTCATAAGTTATGAATCCATATTATGCTATCAGTGAGGCATGTTTCATAGACTGGATAGATTTGCAGCTTACAGGATTCAGAACAATATGAAATTCTAATTATTTGTCCTATTTGACTCACTGCTTTATACCAGATGGTTCCAAACTATTTTTCATGAATGACTTTAATTTTGGATTTCTAAGTCGAATAATCATAAATATTGATTTTAAATTATAAAATTTTACAATTATAGGATTTTCACTAATTCTGACATATCAGTGGTTGTTCATACCTTTGCTCACAGAACATGTAATTTGCTTCTGAATTAATCACATGACCCCGCTTTGAGCAAATTTTCTTCTACATAAATTAATATACTACGAAAATTTAGTACTAAAACACTATCAGTACTTTTATTTAGTAATTCATAAAAATCTCATTTTCTGGGTATAACAATGAAAATTTTATTCAGGTTGTGTATCCTTCTAAACCACTCCACTTGGAATTCTATCTGAATATCTTTGTACAGCAAATAAAAAAAATATATATTCTGCAAGTTTGCTTAATTAATGCAACTACCAATACAAAAAGGTGCTCCAGAAGTGTGTGTACCAATATGGAGGTAACTAATTTTGTTCGCCTACTTTACATCAAAATGTGTAAAGGGACTGAAACATATGGACAGGGGGTATATTCACTTGGCTAACACAAACAGTCCCCGAACTTGTAATAGAACTAAAATAAGGAAAATCGGAATAAAATTATGCCCCAAACCTAACCTGGTACACACACTACTGGAATACCCACAAAAATATACACTAACTTCAAATCCCAACATGTAAAAAACAAAGAATGCTTGCCACTTCCTGAAAAATGTCCAATTAAAAACTCCTTAATTCAGTGCCATTCAATTTGGGATAAATAACCGTTTTCAAGTTTTACAAATATTTCTTTGCCACTTCCAACCTAAATCCTATAATTACATTGTTGTCCAATACAATCAAACATAGCTTAATTATATGTTAGAACTTCCTGCAAAATGTAAGTCTGCACAATTCAAGTGTATAGTAAAAAAAAATTCTTAATAAATAACGCTAAATGAATTCAATCGTTATGTTGCCACTAATGATAATATGTTAAATATTTTGTGTTGTCAGAAATCATCACTTACAAACATGTCTAGATTAAGAATATTTAAAATAGAACAACAATATAAAAATATCTTTGACAAATTATACACAGAAACAACCTGGCAGCAATCACTTCTCATTCAATATTTAAAATTAGAGATTGATATAAAAAGGCAACATTTGAAATATTCTTTATATTTCCGCCTCATATCCATCAGTCCTATACAATATGTTATACAATTGTTCATAGCATTACTACCCACATTAACCAAAGCCATCAATATTAAAAGAAGACCACTTTGCCTCAATGAGATATAAAAACCATTCATTTCATATGAAGCGGAAACACTGTCCTCATATGTTGCCTTGGCAGATGGCACGTCCTTGAAAAAACACTCAAAATAAAAACCTGAACCTGTGACTCTGCTCCCTATGTTTATTTATTTATATATTTTTTCAATTCAAAGACACATTCTTTCATAGTGTATCAATGTTTTTCTATGTAGGGCAGCGGTACGTATTTTACCTAAAAAAACAACATCTTTATACTGATGGATAGATACCCTTCTATTATTAAAATGTCCTCCAAACTAAGGTCACTAGTAGCTCTAAAAATTGACTAAAACGATATTAAAAAAAAGAAACTGCATTTTATGCTATAAATATTTTAATTGGCATAAATGTTTTGCTATAATCTGCGTTTAATTTTCAAAAGTTTTGGGTTCGAAAGTTTGCTTTGGGAGTTACCACAACTGGTCAAAGTGAATATATTTCCTTGTAAATAAATTCATTGAATTTACAATACTCAAAACAATACACGCCTAATACAGTTTTTATCTTCACTAACAATAATATTTGATTTCATGGCACAGTGAATATGATAACTACAATAGGAAATACAGATTACAATAATATTATTCTTCTAATATACACCAATGATAGTATTATTACTACAGTAGGCCTACTGAGCTCAATTAACACCTCCCACTCATAACTATTATATTGATATCAGCATAGTTAGGTAATTTCACTGATATTTTACAATCAAGTACCATGTATGGAAGGTGGAGATAGTTATCTTGGTAAGATTATTCAATTTAAACCATGACTAATTAGGAGTTACAAATAGGGATGTAAGTTTCGAATATTTTTTTTTCAAATCGAATTTCGAATCACAATGTTCCGATTCGAATATTTCCGAATCTGATTCTATTTAGTATATCATCATATTATCGTTGAATTTCTTCTAATTTGAAAGAAATATAGTATAAATTTTGATAAAATAACAATAATGAGCTTAAAGAATTAAGAAAGTTACTAGAAAAACACACTGCATGGATGTATCAACTACCAAATATATTACGGCCGAGATTTATTTTTTGTTACATAAAGGTATACTCAGTTACATATTTACTTACATACAATTATGTTTGCGAATTTTACCGGGTGTATAGCGATTGTTTCCTCTAAAATTGATCTTCAAAATTTATCCAAATGGTAAACGCTAGTTAGTACCGTATGCGCCATGATTTTAATAGAAGCAATGATAACGAGGGAAGCATCACAGACATGTTTTCAATAAGGTATAAAGCGATGATGTTTTATTATGATAATATTATGTATATAAGTTGAAGAAATGTTTAATATATTTGTGAAACTTTGTATCATTTTAGGTAGTCGAACAAAATTGAGCGAAACCATTGGTCCTTCGAAAGCTGCCACCAGTAGGCTATGAAATATAACGACTCTGGGAGTGTCACGGCTTTGGAAAGCTGTGAACATGAGGATAATAAATGCTTTTGGTCGTTACGAAGGCGCCGCCGTTGTGTCGTGCAATTGCCTTGTGTTATCTATTGAATTTTTTTTAAATAAAATCGAGCCCACTTTTCTTAAATTGCTTCGAATCGCTTCGAATTGACGTTGATTCGAATCGCTTCGATTGGAAATTCTGAAACTTACATCCCTAGTTACAAATATACATTTTCATTGCGTAAGTATGAGATGCGTATTGTAGGTACGCTCTGTGAGTAGCTACTATCTATATCAAATACCCAAATTGTGACTGAGTTGATAGGACTGAAACAAAAGCACCAATACTCTAAGTCAGGAATGGGCAAGGTTTTTGAACCACAGACTGGCGGGCCATGTAAGTGTGACGTAAAAAGTTACATTTTGTGAACAATATTTACATTGTTACCAAAGCAAAATTGAAAATCAATAAACCTCGTGCTAAAACTAAATTTAATCGCAATCTCAAAATTTTCTTGAGCTATTTTTAGCTGAAACATCAAAATTTGGTTTTACTTCGGTTGTGGCAGCATCGGGTGAGCCAGATTGAATTGCTCAATGGTTCGGATTTGGCCTGCAGGCCGTAGTTTTCCCAGCTTCAAGTACTGGTATAGTTTTTATGATAGATAATATACACCAGGGGTCGGGAACCTTTTTGGTCAAGTCATAAAAGGTACATATTTTCTATTGTATTGCCATGTGAGTCATATAGCATTTCTTCAATTAATCAGGCTGAAATTTTTACTCAAAAGTCAACACATACAATGTCAATATACATTTAATGTGCCTTAAACGGTTGCTCACATGCAGCACAAGTTGAAATCTACGATACCCATCCCCCTTTTTAGTTTAGGCATTTCTGTAGAAATTTAAAAACTCTATCGCTTTGTGATGTCACAAAATATGTTCCAGAATCCCCAAGTTTATCACAATGCCTGTCTGGTAATTATCTTACACAACATAGACATGCGCTGGGTACGCGTTCTTAAACGTACTGGGAACTTTCTGCCAATTTGGCTATAAAAGAGTTTGAAAAATCGTAACAATAGTAAGCTTAGTCTTGAGATATTAGATATTTGTGGGAGCCATATGCCCTCACCAAAAGAGCCATATATGGCTCGTAAGCCATGGGTTCCCAACCCCTGATATACACCATAGAAGACAATTAAAAACAAACAAAGATTGTTAATTAAAACCATCCTACCATTAACTGCTGACAATACCGATCTCCTCATAACATCTGTTTTTTTTTATTAAACTAAGTAATCGATTGCCTTACCAAACCATTTTTTCTATATTTAGCAATTACGATGTCCGTTCACCAGCAAAATGTTTAATTCAATTAGCACACAGGTCACTACTCTGCCTAAAATATTCCAAATTGATCAGAAGCAAGCACAACAGGAAACACATTGTCTCATTACTTCCTTAAGCATTTTACATCAACACAGCATAGAGTGCATATGTGTAGTATGTATGCTTAGTAGCACACAAATAGAAATACTTGTATGAGAGCTTTAGTTATTAAATAGACTATGTATCAACTTTGAAGCACTATATTTATGATTGATAACTTATACTTAACACAAACTACTAAATTAAAGCTATATAAACTTCAAACTTCTATATTATATTCAACTGCACTTTATAATTTCATTCAGTGCTAAATTATACGGTATATACTAATATTAAATCATATAAAACTATATTTGTATGCTAAATGGCTAAAAGCACTGCTTTTGAAGTTATGAGATATTGATTTTATTTCAAATTTTAGTTCTTTTTAAGAGCAGACAATTTCATAAAAAAATGCTACACTTTGATAAATGTTGAACTTCCTGCTAAATCAAACAGTCTAACAAAATAATGTGCACGATTTCGCTGCATGAACTGACATGATGCCAATATTGTGAATTTAAAATGAAATAAACTGATCTAGTCCATTTCGTCATAAATAATTGATTAAAAATAAAAACTGAAGCCATATCGAACATACCTAGAAAAACCGAGGCATGAAATTGGGGCATTTAATGACATCTGCTAAGCATAAAACATTCGTGGAATGTTTTAATTAACGATCCAGATAAATGAAGCGAAACATTAAATTTCAAGCGATACAATATTAAATTATACATTTTCAATACAGAAATATAACACTTTTAAAAGTACGGCATGATACTTCCTTAATACATAATGTAATAAATGGCTAAACACTAAAAATATATTTTCAATAAATTAGATCATCCTTATACGCAGGTTGGTTGTAGTGACGGTGATAAAACTGATATAAAATAAAACTACAATTAATGATTCAAAGTAGGAAACTCATCTGAATATGATTCACACAACGATATATGATGATTACTCATATTATAGTTCGACTACAATAAACTTTCACCTGTAATTTAGCATCATAATAATGCACCATCTACTGGTCTGAATCTACTAGTATTGAAATAGTAAATCGTCTCATTATTCCCTAACCAGATTTCTGATCAATCATTGCATTGGCTTACACATTGACCTAATTCAGGAATGTGACTTTAAATAACATTGATTGCCCATGGTTTGCATTTGAATTTTCTGAACAATTAAAGCACAAAATTACACCAACTATACCAAGGCTATGCACTACGATTTGCACCATATGGAGTGATTATCGATGCCATGAAAATCCCATTGACTAATCACATTTATTGGATGTGAGTGTTAATAAGGTTCTACACTCTACAAATAAAAGTGCAAACAATTCGAAGTTTCAATAGGTTTACAGCTATTACAGACTACAGTTGCTGTCATAAACATCAAGTGAGAAATGAAAAATGTAGGACATGGACTACAAAATTTACAAGTTAATGATGTTATGAGGTGTAGAATTGTTTATTTCAGTATAAGATTGATACAAGCAGTGATAGATAAAAGCAGGAGTGTCCAAGATGGATACTAGTTTATTGGAATACATTCAAGATGGTTATTTTCGTCATGTGATCAAGTAATTTCTTATTTTAAGGAATAATTTTGAACAGTTTCATTCCAAAATTCTCATTTTAAAAATGTAAACTTGTGATAGAAACAAAATCAGAACAACGTTTGTTTGAACTTTTCTAATTACTAGATCCTTTTTCCTATAAATTTAGTTTGTAATTTATTTATTTACGTAACAAGATCCAATCATATGTATATATTCAAAAATCAAGAAATTTTATTTCAGAATAGCAGTTCTGAGAAGTAAATTACTCGGATTTGACCATCCTTAGATACAAGCTGAAACAAGTGTTTTAAAGTATGGTTTGAATACCAATTAGTGAAACTAAATCACAAACCATGCAACAATTATTAAAACTAGTTCAATTAATAAATCTACCACACCGATATTCATTTCATGCTGTGCAAACTTTGTCACCTTGTTCATCAAAATCTCAACCGACTTTGTCTGGCTGATTGTCATAACGAACAACTTTTCCCTCCAGATTTGAGCGTTGGTATACTTGTAGTTGTCTTTTAATACCCAAGAGATTTATAGCCATCGTTTAAATTCTATATCCTTTTCTACTTATAACTTTATATTCAAACATATGTCATCATATTTCAGTATTCATAGCATATCAAAATGTCCAGACCTCATAAATAAATAAAGATCATAATGCTGAAAATGACAAAATACAATAAAATCAACCTCAAATTCACTTGAAAATCCAGTTGAAATAGTTCTAGAATTAAATATCATCACCCAACTAGTTACGGTACATACTTACATAAGCAATCAAAATAAATATAACTAAAAGAATAGGTCATTACTGGAAATTGAGTTTTCGTTTAAAAATGGCAGTAAATTTGTATTTTATGTGTAGTTTTAATCATAGAATAAATAAATTTAAACATGTACTGTCTTGATTTCAGTAAAATGGTAAATGAAGCATAGAAGGGCATCTCCATTTTTTCATCTGACTGTGGATTGGCTGTCACTGGTTCGTAGAAATATAATATGAGATAAGTTTCGTTGCATTTGGATACACCAGTAGTCTAATTAACCCAATAAAATCTGGAAATTGTAGTTCTTCGGGACTTGCCCACAGAGTATCGTAATGCAGTAATGAGCAAATTCAAAACCATTAAATAAAAATGGAAAATTCCAGTAAAGCAATAAATTTTTCCAAGTACTACTGTACCACTCTGCCACTGTTTGATTTGTGATCTACAGATGTAAGGAATGAAGCGGTTAAGTATGAATTTAATATACCGGTGAAAAAAGGAATGAAAAATTTAGAAATGTAGATCATTACCGATACCGAATTTGTCCAAAGAAAGGGGGAGTTTCAAATAAAAACCTTTACCACCGAACGTGATGCGTTATAAAACACATCGTTGAAAAAATGTTTTGTAATGAATATTCACTTCTAATATTGAATATACCGTATTGATCAGCAACACATGATCGTGAATATCGTCTTCATTACGTTAATATACCTGATCATCGTTCCTATTGCGTGTTACACAATATAAAAAGGAATTACATATAATATGTATTATCTGATGATTTATCTTTATGCTGTAGAAAATCCTTTTTTTACTGCAACAAAAGAGTAAAAGCAATTAGAAAATAACAGTATGTCAAATGCAATATTTAAATAATAAGACTAGTGGCAGTGGATTATCACCAAATGGCAGAGAATAATAATAATTTTTATTTGGGGGAGGGGGGGGGGGTATTGTTTTAAGTATATAGTTGCAAGATTTCAATTCTGATATATTGAGTATAATTCAAACAAATAAATTTATCTATTTAAACTTGGGCATCTTAGTATTTTCATGCGATAACCATTTTTTTTTCTTCGTTCTTTTTTTTGCCAAATAGAATTCCAGTGCCAATCGAATGCGCTAACACATTACCAGTATGGCCTGGGTCCTTTAAAATAATTAAAAACTCATGCGATGACCATTTCGAATGCGCTAACACATTATCAGTATGGCCTGGGTCATTTAAAATAATTAAAAACTAATTTGAGAATAATTCAGAATTAATTTTCATAGTTTCATGGGACACTTCTGGATAGCTTGATACTGAAATCACTTCTCGTCCGTCTAGCAATATAAAAAAAACAATCAATCAATGTAGCAAATCAATGAAAAACTGAAAATCGCATACAAGTCATGCGTACCATTGTACACAGGTTGCGTAATTATTTATTTTTTCGCTGTGACTCGGCATTTCATAACAACTCGTCTGCGTTAAGTCACCGTTACCTGGCATTTTCGATGTATTCTCGCACTGCGTTAACAGCCTTATCATTAGTTTCACGGGGATCGTTGCGTCTAACTAAAAGTCGTTTTACAAAGATTGTAACTGAAGGACATAATTTAGTTCGAAAATCACCGTACAGACCGATCACAATGGGATCTTTGATATCGGGAAATTCGCCAACCTCATGTAAGTTTTGCCGGGTATTAGAGCTGTAGACAGTAAACTCACATTAAATTTGGAAAGGCAGCGAAGATGCCCATTGATGATTGAAAGTAATAGCCTCTGTTGAAGTCATAAAATTTTTTTATTCTGAAGCCTGGTTCTTCGAAAATTAGGCAATTTTTAGATCGTAGCATAATTTTTAAGGCCAAGCCTAGCATGCTCAAATGAACGTTTTTCTCATATGAACCCGGTTCACTTTTGTATGATTTTATATCCACATGAGTTAACTGCAGAACTTGAGAAATGTCTGAATGTAAGAATAAAATATTACATGTATTATGATACTGTAATAACACCTTGTTAAAACAATGCTTACTATTTCTTTGATCACCCATAATTCCTCATACGAGATAATATTGTAGAAATTGTTCTGTGCAGCAAATTTTTTGAGATTGGATAGTCTAATTCAGTAATTCAAACTTTATATAAGAATTTAGAATCAAAGTATAAACATTTATGTACATTTTCTGACTGATAGGCTAGCTTTCATCGTAAACATGAGTGCTCAAGTGTTTATCGGGATAAATATCGCCATGTTTCTTTTTACAAAAGCTTCTGGTGTTGAAGTTAAATTCACAGAAGAAGAATTGAAAGAACGTCTAACACCTATGCAGTATCATGTTACACAAGAAAAGGGAACAGAAAGGTAAATTTTTCTCACATTTCAGCATTTGATAAACTTTATTAAAAGGTAGCTATTTTTGCCGCTATTCATAACTCATGTGCTGTGCCAAGTTCTCTGAAGAAAATTCTTTATTGATGTCTTTTACTTCACAACTAATGGTGTTTTTGAACTCCTCCAGAATTCTTTTAATACTCAAGAACAATAAGTTTGAATAATGAGATGACAATTACGTTGAACATGTGTTTTCTGAAATGGCTTTCGATGTTAGTAGCTTTATCAGAATATCAGTAAATTTTGTGGAATGTAATTTTCTGTTCTGGGGTATATTCTTGTTTGAGTATACTTTGAACTTCAAACAAGAAGTTTGAGCTTTGGATATTACACTATTCCAAGAAGCCTGTTGTCTATAAGCCATTGATAAGACTGGATCTGATAGCTCATCGGTTCACCCCACCAAAGTTATTAGACCCGTGGGTGGTGTGGGGGCATCAGGTTTGAACCATAGCTCTCTAACTGCAATATCAACACAGTCAATGTCCTACCATGTCTGCTTTGGGGAGTTACACCAAGAATACCTATTCATTCCAAAGTGATAAAAAAATTTGTTGCCTTAGATTAGCACTGAGTTTATATCCAAGTATTGTTACATTTTCTTTAGAGCATTTACAGGAGAGTTGATTTACAACAAAGAAAGTGGAATTTACAGCTGCGTTGTTTGTGGACAATCTTTGTTTAAGTAAGTATATGCGAACCACGAAAAATGGTAATGTTGTCATTGTCTTATCTTTGACTTCTTGTTTTTACTGATAAATTAATGTTCATATATTCCAGGTCAGATCATAAGTTTGATTCTGGTTCGGGATGGCCATCGTTTCATGAAGTGATGAATTCCGATTCTGTTGACACACATACTGATCTAAGTCATGGTATGAAACGAGTTGAAGTCACTTGCAAAAAGGTAATTGTGAAAGTACTGAAATTTAAGCCTTCTTAATGAACTTAATTGTTTTTATTTAGATAATACCATATTTTCTACTGTGTAATTCTTCATTCTTCATTCGTGGTAGATCTTCAATTCTGTATAGGATTTCATATTCATCATAGGGGAGAGGAAATCCAATAACATGGCATAATATGGAGTACCTTGGCCTCTTGACTTGTTACATGTCCAACAATCATCTCACACATAGTTATCTGCGAAATTTGAAGGGTAATTAGTGGTTCGAATGGTTAGCACGATGTACACATTGTTGAGCATACTTTTCCAAAGATCCTCTGTCAGTTTTACAAATGTCACATTCACATCTTCTTTATTTCTTAGTGTGGCAGTCATCTTGGGCATTTATTTGATGACGGACCCAAGCCATCAGGACAGAGGTTTTGTATCAATAGTGCTTCTTTGAAGTTTGATGGCAGTAAGAAGAAATCAGAACTATAATATGAATATCATATAATACTTTATCAACTATCCCAGGGGTGGTCAACCAGTCACAGACCAAGAGCCACATTTTGCACTTTTTTATCGCGAAGAGCCACATTATAAACAATAACACACATGAACATCAGATATAACTTTATTCACCTCTGCTAGAATGCTAGTTTATTGTAAATGTCACTAACCAACATGGTTATAACAGAAATTTACAAGCCATTTATTGTTATGAATGCTACTTAGTGGGACCTCTGGCATTCCTTGGATTGCACAATTATCTTTAAATCTGACTTGTATATCGTTGTAGCCAATCGAAGCGGTTACAGATCAATGCACAGATTTGCATACGTGTATGAATCGTACTTAGCAAGTTATTTTTTTTTCTTGAAATAACCAAGGCTAAAAGAGATGCATAAAACCGACACAGAGGCTCGGCAACCCCTGAACTATCCAATCCTCTCCAGTATAAATTAAAATATGCATCACTCGGGTACATGTGTTGAAATGTGTACAGAAGACGCAGACATCAGGAACATTTTTCACATATTTGTTTGGATTATGTTGTTATAACTACCACATATTGCCAACTTAGATGCACAAGACAGCTCTGTTAGGATTTTTACGTTTGTCTATGGGCCTATCCAACCTTATGGTGAAATCTTAAATAGCCCCTCCTGGAGCATGTTATTGCTTAGCTCAGGGCTCTTCAAGCTGGGGGTCCTGAAGGAGGGTTGCGAAAGGGCTCAATTGGGGTTGCAGTGTGTTTCAAGAACATTATTGATAGAAAAATTATTTTAAACAGAACCTTTATATAGAGAAACAAAGTATTTTAATTCTTGAGGGTCACTAAAAGATTACATGCCAATTGGGTTGTGATGAAAACAGTTTGAAGAACACTGGCTTAGATGGTAAAGGAACAAAAAATGTTTTTTTTGGCTCATACCAGTCCTCACATTATCATAATATGACGTCAGTTTGCTATATTCTGGCAGAAGATTTCTATCTGTAAGCTATTGGGTGGTACTGCATGTATAGTTCATTTTAATTTTACTAATGTTGCCACAGGAATAATTATATAGTTTATATTTACTTGATATAATAAATCATGTATTACCATAAGCTTTTGTCTTTGTAAGGAAGTCTTATAATTTTAAGATGTCGAAAGAGTTGTCAGTAGTAGTCCTACCTTCAATTAGACACCAACAATCCTTCCAAATGAGGTTTATTTTTATTTCAAATTGACTATATTCAGATTTCGGTACTCCCGAAGTATGTGAATCAAGATGGCAGACACCGGAACGCAGTATGTGTACCAGATCAGGGTTAGGTCATAATTTACTACGGGAGTCACTTGGGTAGTTCCCGAACTGAAATTGGAATAATCTGTTACACATAGTACGTTCCGGTATCCGCCATCTTGGTTCACATACTTCAGGAGGACCCAGGTTTCGGTGAGAACCGCATACCGACTGGAGAATAAACCTTTAGGCAGTCTATACCCTATAATTCTTCTGTCTCATTCATCAGCACCCATTTTGTCTGCCATCAATGCTACATCAGTTATTGTACAGACAGCAAGAATTGAAACAGCCAAGGCTGAGGAAAGGGTAACGACGGGACAACAATCAAATCTATAGCATAACGTGTTTGAGAAAAAGGGGAGTGCTGAATAGTGCGACCTGCTTAAAACAGTCAGAGTCATTTTATCTTGAGCTAGTTCCTGCTAATTATGTCAGATTAGTTGTCGCACTTGGTTTCTTGGTATTGTTGAGTGCTCAAGTTCTTTCCGGACACCTACTGACCATAACATATAGCCATTTTTCAAAATGGTGAGTGACTAGAGTTGGAATGACTAACTAGAATACTGCCAGACACTCAAAGAAAATTTTTGAAAAGAATTTGTAAAGTTTCGAAAAAATCGACACTCCCATTATTCGCTTATTGCAGTACTAACTAAAATTGACAAAATTTATCCATTTCACAGTTCACTCCCATTACCAGCTCATTGCAGTACAAACTAAAATTGACAAAATTTATCCATTTCACAGTTGTTTCAAAAATTTATTTAGACTGGCCTTATGACTTTAAAAACAGAAGCACGCTATGTATGCAAGACCCAGACTTGACTCATGAATTTACACCAAACAATGCTAGTGTGAATATCTGTCATATAATCCCACTCATCCTTACTTTGCCTTCACAAATATAACAAGACTATGGAACTCCATGATTTATTAGGTTAAGGCATTACCAGTGAAATGTTACACAAAATAACTGGCTAGTTGGGACATTTTGTCCTTTGGCGGTTTTCCACGACCTCTCCCCCTACCCCTCCCTCGGCCACGCCCTCTCCCACCATGTTGTTGTCTTACTGCAGTTCTTGCTTTCTTCACTTGAATGAGACCAGAAAAAATATGATCACAGAAAATGCACCCTGGAAAAAAAACACATTTTGATATTCAAACTAACAATATGAGAAATAACTAGGTTGTGTAAACCAGCTTTATGTCCTACTACAGCATCTAAGGACTGCATTTTGCTAAATGGCTACTTGAAAATTAGGTGATAGCATAAACTGGTTTCATTTTGTCATTGCAATGAGTGATCACATGGCTCAGAAAAAAACGGGTATTCGAATCTTTCGGATATGAAATATCTGGGCCAAATTCAACTAAGCACACATATAAAAGTTGATGCGTATTCAAGAGAAAAGTAAGGAAGTTGAGATAGAGTTTTAGTCCTTTTATTTTATATTTTAGGGTTTTCAGAACTTGAAAAATACTTTTGTGATTATACTGAGAGACTCAAAGTGCTCAAAATGATAGTTCTTAAAAATGAAACAATTTTAAATTATTTTTGAAATTAAGAATTCAAAATATCAATATAATTGATCAGAATATTACACTTATTTTGAAGCAATAGCATAACACAGCAATAACGTAAGTTACATCAAATGATACCTTAAAAAAACACATACTTGACAACATACCTGTGTGTTTAGTCTCTCCTATATCCAATGGTGATGTATCCTTATGAAAATCAACAGCAAGTTCATATGAGCCACAATCTCCACATTTGCTTTCAGTGACTGACACCTGGAACAAACGGAACATGTTGAAAAAAGAACATGTTTTGCCCTGGGTACTCTATGACAGTGATTTTCAAACGGTGAGGCGCGCCCCACAAAAGGCCTAGACAGTTTCTTGATATTTGATGGATTTGATCCTGCCCACCTCATTTTGGACATTTACATTTCATCATTGTCCAAAGATTGCAATTCCATCCACATATTTTCAACGCGTTTTTGAATAAAGCATACTTTCGCTTCACTAATTGTTATTTGTAGTTTATTTTCAGATAGTTATTTTTAAGGTGGGGCACGGGACTTGACAAATCATAAGAAGGGGGCATTGCTTAAAAAGTTCGAGAATCACTGCTCAATGATGAAGCAGTTTATTATCATTTCTAAAGGAATTTCATCTTTGCAATTACTGATGCGTTTCTATCATACCATAAATATATATCATACTATAATATATATATATATATATACCATACATGGTTGAGCGATAGACATGCCTTGTGGTTACGCTTAACTGTGTTGCCAACACAGGTAAAAAAAACTCGTTTTCGAATCCCATGTCCACCAGCTAACCAGGGTGCGATAAATCGAGTAGGCAATAATGAGGTTCCTCACATAGCAATGGTTGCTTGTATCGAGCCTTGTTCAGAGTAAATTATGTATAAAAATGAAGAGTTGGAAATAAGGTTGTAGCCCACCATTTGAATTCTTTCCTATTCCCTAAGTGCTTACTTTGCGTGCATTTAACAGTAAAATAACCTAAATTGGTTGGTTGAAGCTGGTTGAGGTACGTGTAGTTTTTGAAGTGTGTGATGTCAGCGAGTCTGAAGTCGGCTGCCTAATTTTGTAAGTCACAAAAACCAAAACATGGCAAGCGCATCACAGGGTCACATGACCCGAAAGATTTCTTACCTTGTGTGCATTTTTGAACAAAGAAACCACTGAAGCACATCTTGTATTATTGCAACATAATTTCCATTTAGGGCCGGAAGTTGGATCGAAAACCAAGATTCCATTTTCACATTCCACACATCCAGTAACTCCTAATGCCATGAGAGAATGTGAACATGCAGGATGAGTGCAGGCATTACATCCCGATGCTTTCTTCATGTCTCGGAACGGAGGATAGTTGTAACAATACGGGCATAATGAATAAGTCTTTCCTTGAGACCCTATTAAAAAATGACATCTCATTTCAATCTCAGCATGTTAATTTTGAATGAAAATTACCATTTGAAAAATGCAGGGTAATATGACAACAATAGATGATGAATACTAAGAAACATATTGTAGTTGAATCGATTTTGGGTAATGGGACAAGTCTCCATATAGATTGTTTTGGAAATTGTGAAAAAATTGCTTCAAAAAACGCCCACAAATATCAACTATTTTAAAATTGGAGAAGTCACTAGAAGCCTAGTACAGTACTTTCAATATTTCATTTCAAAATTCTCTGACTTGATATTTCCATCCAAATTTTCGAGTATGTGTCAGCATGTAGCATTACGTCATATTTGGAAAAATAGAGTGTTCAGCTGAGGTCATACCAGTACCAACACGAACACAAAACAAAACAAGCTTTAAAACACATCAAGAATAAAAAATTAATTGTTACCTGTTGAGCATAGCAGCAGTTCAAAATCATCCAAAGGACATCGAAGTTCTTTGTACAACTTCATAGTGGTTTTCGGAGGAAGATTGTAAGTATCATCGCATGTATTACAGTGCAATCTTGCTGGTGTAGCTGATATATATTTCATGAAACGTCGACATTTTCCACACCTGCAGAAAGTCAAAGAGAGAGACAAAAGTTATGAGATATTTCTTTGATTATTGCTAAAGTAACCAAAATTTAGTTTAAAATAGTTTAATATTGATGATATATGGTTCGAAACCCACTTCTTTGAAATGTAAAAAAAAAGATTTTCTCTCTCTTAACTCTTGAAAACGACTCGCTAGCTGTTATGGTCTAACTTAGCATTTAAAAATTTCGGAACCATCGGAAAATTAGTGGTTACACATACGAGTACAAGTATGAAACATTCGATATTAAGAATAAAAGAGCGCAATGACCTCACGATTAAAGCTAGACTGTGTTGCCTAATTAGAAAGATCCCAAGCGCCGTAAAATTTGCTTCTCACATATTGTCTGATATCAGTGGTTGCTAATGCAGAGCTTTGTTCGGACCGGAATGTGTGAAAAAGTTTTGTACAAAACCAAAAAAGCCAGAGACTGATCATACCTTGACATAGGCTTTCCTGTTTCAGAAAGTGGAGAAAAAGAAACTTCAAATAATTGATCCATTCCCGATATTTGTTCAACAAAATAATGGAATTTTTGTTGAAATATATTGATAGCGTGTTGTAGGACTGCTTCATATTTTGCTTTCCCTGCATTTATAAAAGATAATCCCCATGAAATAAAATGTTCAAGTCTTTGCGCCAAAAGGAGCAAAGTAACCACAAAATTGTCCATAATGGAGTTGTGTTAGAAAACCTTGATTTAAAAGCATCCATTAAAAATATACGAAATGCTATATAAAATCACATCAAAGTTACCAAAATCTGATAGTTATCATTTTCATAACTAAGATAGATAGATGCTTATTCATCATCCAGTCATTAGTCAACAATCAAACAAACACAACAATGATTCTCAAAAGAAATTGACAAGAGGTCAGATGAACCATATGGTCAATAAATCAAAACGACTCTTCCAGAACAATTCAAGACGTTTGTGTAAATAGCATCTGCATTGTCCACTATCCATTCTTGTTCCATGCTCAATCAATAATACTAAACTTTAACAGCATTAGAAAACGTGAAAATTTAATTTTCCAATCACATTACCAAATGCAGATTACCAGAACAGAATCTTGATGATTCATGAAACAGTGGGCAAGAGTTTTAGCGAATGAAGCATACCACGGTACGTAATTGATTTAAGCTAATCTGATTTTGAGGAAAACAATTATTTGGTTTTGTTAGTGACGAGTCAATAAATAATTAAAATTTATTGATTTTTGTGATGTATCATTCAATAAAGCACTTATTGTAAAACCTAAAATAACGCTCGAATGAGCAGGAAAATCTATACTAGATTTTGTTCCACTCGGATAATATTCAGTGTTCACCTACAAGCTGCAGATTATATGCATTCAAAACTCAATTCTATTTATACAGGGTGACCCTCGAAAAACAGAAGTCATAATTTTCTGATAACTTACATGAAATTGAAGAGAATTAATTTAACATGTGAACTTCTGTTTGTGTATGATTGTGCACAAAAAATTTGGCGTACCAAGTGTGTGTACCAATATGGAGGTAACTAATTTTGTTCGCCTACTATACATCAAGTTGTGTAGAGGGAATGAAGCCTAGGGGCAGGGGGTATACTCACTTGGCTAACACAGACAGAACTCGTGATAGAACTAAAATAAGGAAAATTGGAATAAAATTATGCCGTAACCTGGTACATACACTACAGGAGTAATAAAACTATAGTAGTCAAGGACGCTTTGTACAAAAGTTACTTTCTCTATAGCATATGCTCTAAATGTCGTGAATGATGATATTCTGGGGCACCTAGAGTTCAAAACAAACCATGTCATACAGACAGCATTCAAATACAAATATTTCTTCACACAGATACTTTGAAGCCATATTACCTGCTGCAATTAGATTCAATTGTTCTTCAACTGCCGCTCTCATTGTTGGCAAGACCAAGTCAGGATCAATCTTGCGATAACCATGGACAAGCACAATACCTGACCAATACAATGAGAATATTATTAAAACAATAGGATTTGAAGCCACAAAAAAAATAAAAATAAATTGGTTGCCAACTTTAAATGCTTCATATGGTCTCTATATCCATATGGTATTTTTTAATGAAATTTGCTCAAAGCACTCATTCAGAAGCAAAGGAGACTGATCTTTGAGCATACAAGAGAGATACAAGCGACCACAAAAGCTACTGGGACTATAAGGGTTTATAGCGTAAAAAACGGATTGACAGTTTTCAAATAGGATTTTGACGATTTCGACTTCAAACCATGTTTTCTGAATGATTCTTAATCCAGAGATAAATATTTATAGTAATCGCTACAAAACCTATTGATTGAATCCGACTTGAGAGATAGCTTTAATCCATTTGATAACTAACTATTCAGATACAAGCATCTGACTAAAAAATATCATATTTTTACATCATTAAAAACCATTGCATACTGAGATAAAAATTTGAGAATATTTTTGCGCTTACGGAAATTACCGTATATCTTATCTTATCTCACAACTTACCAAGTGTAGTTGGAATCAATCTTCTTCCACTTGATACAGAGACGTAATTTCTTTGACAAATATTATTGATATGAGTAGGAATACTAGCATCAGTACCAATACAATGCTTTTCCATTAAAGTTATGACTTCAGCTTCAGTCAGATAATCTGGAGGACCTGAATAAAAATGAAATCCTTGTAAAACAATCTAATCTGAAATCCCATTCCACCTTAAGAACTGGTCAGATTTTGTGCTTGTTCTGGATTGATACATTGTATTTTAGACACAAGGAAATAAGATTTGACAAAGTGATCATATAAAACTGTTTTACTTATAAACTTCCTTTCATATCCTCAATAATTCAGACTAAATATGGTCAAGATTCAATTAAAACCTAACTGTTTGAATTTCCAATCCGAGTACCTTTCAATTTTGAACAATAGACATAAATTGGATGAGATTTCACTGCTTTTTAAAATTTTATCAGCAGTTGGTGACATAAAATGACAATATGATTATATTTAACCTATATGTTGATTGGTAATGCTTTTCTGTTCCCCATAGTTCATTTGTAAAACTTAAAAACCTTAAATCAAGAATTCTGAGAGAACCTTATTATATAAATCCTATACACTGGATATTGATTGGGTGGACATATTGGATCAAAATATAATAGGGCTATATATTTACACAGAATGGACGTTTCCCCGATCATCGATCAGCAATGACCAATCAGCAAAAAGTAAACAATGACGTAACAATTGCAATTTATGCGATTGCTCAGACATATCTTTCGCTCAGACAAATATTTAAGCGTGGTTTGTCCTGTTTTCATGGTTTTGAGTGTTATTTGTCAGTTTTAAGTTTTGTTTCAAAAAAATTGATAAATCAAATCACCTAATAACTAATAATAAAAAAAACCTCATGTCTTCCGAAGACTTTTAGTTTATTTGCAATAACTAAAAACTGATACTGCAAACACTGCGATTACCTGGCCTAAAATTAGCTTTCAGTAGCTATCCATTAGGTGGCACATGGTTTGATGTTGTGAATGAAAATGAAAGTTTTGAATATGTGAGTTTGAAACGCTAACACTCCAAAACACTTTCAAAATAAGTGTTTAAAATTTTGCAAAGGTGAAGTATAGGAAGAATTTTTTAAGGGTCGGGGAAACGTCCATAACTTAGTGGATGAGGATTAGTATATACGAAATAATAAAAACTCAAACGTTTGAAAAAAAAAAAAAAAACTAGCAAAAATATGTAGAAACAAGAGTTCTGAGACGGGCAAAATGTGAAAAGTCAAAATATAATTCATTATTCACAGTTTGATTAAGCTACATCTTGTTTTGTTCGGAGAAGTTAGACTATGATCACAAATATGCTTGGAATTTCGTAGAAAGAGATTATGCTATTTTTATTTATCACAAATATAATACTAACAAAAATTGTGTCTTCTTCAGCTCACATCATGAGTTTTTTTATAAAGATGAAATGGGGGTAAAATACTAACCTGTGAGCTTTTCTTGAAGTTCAGCCTTTTCTACTTTACATTCTTCCCCAGGTTCAAATTTAGGAACAGTTTGACTTCCATCTATTGATTGCCAAGGCATTATCTGAAAAAAGTGCGATCAATAAAAATCAATTGTTTATATTACAAAATATAAAAGTCAATCAGAATGAGTGAGCCACTGCCGACAATATTCTTTAAAATTCCATAATAGTTACTGGACACAAAGTGGATCTAGGAGCTATGCTGTGCTAAATTGTTGTTGTTGGACTTGTGAAAAAATTTCTTTCTTCCGCAATTATTGGACCAATGTTCAACATTTTATATTACATGGCAACATTTACTGTATATCCTCGCAAATACCCTGAACCCTAAAAACGGTCCTAACAAGGGGAATTTATAAAAATTCGCATGTAAGTCGATCCTACAAATCATAACATGTCGTACGCACCTATTACAGCAGATGGTTGCAGAAGAAAATAAATGAAAACGAAAACCGCTATGCATATCTGTACGTATAATCAGACCCCTTAGTTTGGCAACTTTTTTTTTTGAATTCGGTTTTAAACTCGGCCTATATGCGGGAATATACGATAGCTACAATTCTGTTGACGTTATGAATTGGCCTCATTTGACCTTCATGTTCATATATTCGAGATATTTATATAATAGTCTAGCGCAGCGGTTCCCAAACTATGGGTCGCGACCCACTGGTGGGTCGCAAGAGGAATCTCAGTGGGTCGTGAAAAGATGTAGAAAGCTTTGATCAATTATACTGGTTAATAGGATCGGTGGCAAAGCAAATTTCAAAATAAACTGCAACTTTTCAATTTTTCACGTCTAAAACTATCTGAAATTGAAATAAATGTCAAATCTATTATGGAAAATAGCAAGAAACAATCTCATCTTTCCCACTAGCTTCACTGAAAATTCAATTTCAGAAATTAAATTTGTTTCCTCCATCAATGTTTTATTAATTTATTAAAGTTAAATGGGTCGCCATAAGCTGTGGTAAAAAATAGTGGGTCGCAACTCAAGTTTGGGAACCACTGGTCTAGTGTAATTAAAAAAAAGATTCAACTATGGTTTGAAAAGTATTCTGGCTGAATTAATATTTAAGTTATAAATTATAATATTATCAATATTTTAAGCATATTTTCTATATCAAACATTTCATTATAACACATAAAATAATTATATCTGTATTTTAAATTATACCATGAAACTATATACAAAGATATAACTGAATCAAGAATATGTTTCAAATTCGTTGGATTTTCAAAAAAAAAGATTTTTTTCACTGATAGCACACAGGTTTAATCACCCAAAGTAGTAAAAAAGGGGAGCGAAAGTGGTCGGTGACAAACAGCGTAATTACAAGAACTGTCATCACATTACTGTTAGAGATTCTGTGACAATTTGGAATCATCAATTATTCAGTGCAGTAACATTCGTTGGTTTCCCAACTGTCATCTATTTCTTTCTAAAATTGACAGAACTTTGTGATCCCCCAAGGTGAATGATATTAGTACAAAGTAATGTTCTTCTAATTCTTATTTCGAATTATTATAAATATAACAATATACGATACACTTATAGTGCGTGTACCAGGTTAGGGTTAGGCCATAACTTTATTCTGATTTTCCTTAAGTCTATCAGGAGTTCGGGGACTGTCTGTGTTAGCCAAGTGAATAATACCATAGGTTTCATTCCCTTTACCTAACTTTATGCAAAGTAGGCGAACAAAATTAGTTACCTACATAATTGGTACACACACCTCTGGAGCGCCCAATATACTACAAACTCAAACAAAAAATAGAAATAAAGTATACACTATTTCCAACCAACTTCATGAAATTGAAGATGAAAAACCCAATATATTTAATAGTATTCTTCAATAAAACCAAACTTCACCCTCAATTTGATAATGAACAAATTGTGAGTAGATAAAATTACCTCTGTATAACCAGGTTTGAGTGGGCTGTTTCCAGTGCAATAGAATGTTTCTGATCCAACAGCAAAACAGACTTCGGTTCTTAAATAAACACAATCTGGACTTAACGTTGCCATGAAATGGCGAGTAATATAGTCATATATCCTCCAACTATCATGATCTGGAATAACAAAAATAGGAAAAATTCGAGGTTTCTTAATATGAAGCTCTTTCTACGGTTCTTTGACCAACGGTGCACACACACTTCTATGGGATTCAAGAACTGTTCCCGGTTTTGGGAAAATGCAAAATTGTTAATCCAACACGAGTACAAACAGTGAAAATAACGTCAAAAAATAACTGGGCCTTCTGCTGTAACTGGGACATTGTATATTCTATTTAATACTGAAATTTAATTATTATTAGTTAGTGTAATACTGATTTAATTATAGTATAGCGTTATTTTATTGTCAAAATATGAAATTTTTGCTATGTACATATAACATTTTTTCATCTTTTTTCATTTTTTGAAAGGGGTAGCCCGAAAAGGTAGCCACAGCTCCAATGTAATAAATTAATTATGAATAGAGTTTTAGTTAAATACTATTTGCCACATAAAAATAGCAATATATCAGAAGCAGTGTTCCCTCTAAAGTGTGCGCGCGCACACAGCTTTCAGAGGCTGCGCACACGCATAGATTTACTGCGCACAGACCTATTTCGATGTGATGTAACAATGTTTTCGGTTGGCAGGTTGAGAAAGTTTGTTGTTGGCCCACCCATTACCCAGATAGAACACCCAAAATTTCTTCATTGGTTTTTGCACAAATATTAGTCATTTCCAAAATTTCTGCGCACACATACTACAAAAAATTAGAGGGAACATTGATCAGAAGTAAAGAAAATTTCAACAAAACTGAATTGTCAATGTTATATGCAATTTAGGGGCCACTCATGTTGAAATTTTTATTTTCATCATTATATCTGAGTGATATTCAAAATCTCATATGAATTTATAGATTGAAATTTGAAATGACCAAAAATTTCTAAAATATATCCTATATCTGGTGTTCATGCTATGCTGTGTGGCTCGCAAGAAGAAGTCAATACCATAATAACTACACAGTCACTGACGTAAATGCTTCCACGTCAAAAAGCTCAAATTTCACAGAAAAAAATCGATTCCAATTTCGTGGATTCTAAATAAAACTTTCACATTTCTTTTTAAATCGAATATCGTACTATAAGATCCACACCTAATTCACTTTCAGAAGCACTTCTCATGGGTGTAATAGGAGGATGGTCACCAACATCTTTTCCTTTTCTTGGTTTAGAAAATCCTCTTTCAAGCAAACTACTCACATAATTTCCCCAATGCCTATGAGATTTATGAGTTTGCAAAACTGCTTTGAAATCAAAATTTTCAGGATATTGAGTAGTTTCTGTACGAGGATAGCTGATGTATCCTTGCGTGTAGAGTCGTTCAGCAATCTGAAAAAATATTCAATCTCATTGATATATTGTTTTAAGTTGATGTACGCAGGCGGTTCCCAAAGGGTGGCCGCGAAGATTGACAGAATTTTGTTAAACATAACTAAAATATGATTGAATATTTTACATATTGTGTTTAATATAAATGTTATATCGATGACTTATTTTAAATGCTGTGTATAGAAATCAATAAACCCAATTTCCTTTCTATGTCTTTTACTTTCTGTTACATTGTGATTGCCTCTATGGTTACGTAACAAGAGAGATAGACACCCCTTGCTGAAATTTCCTGTCGAACCAGAATTATTGCAGCCCTCGCAAAAAATAGCTCTTACATATATTGTTGAGATATCCGTAGATGATTTTACAGGATCTTGTTTGGAATAAAAGATGCGAATATGTGGCGTTTAAAAAAAATCTCTAAATTCACTTTTACAGTCAAAAATTAATCGGTTATTAACAATGATATTTGGTAATTGCAATTATCATAACAGGTCCGAAATTTGTTAACCATGAATACTGTTCTGGTTATGGTAATATATTTCTCCACCTACATTCATATTACTGTAAGATGCAAAAGGAAAACAAAGACATTGATTGTCTATGAATAGAGATATTAATTTATAGCAAAATATAAATTTAGTGCTAAAAATAAACTCTTGAGTGATAAATAAGTCATTACAACAGAAAGCTGGTAGTTACAGATAATGTGGAACAATGGACCATATATGGGCTATTCCAAGTGACACTACGGGACAATTACAGAAATTTTGCATGTTGTTAGATGCAATATATTTTCACATTTTCAGCTACATGTTTTGTTTCATTGTCTAATCAGTTGCTTTATTGAATATGTAAAAAATTGCACAAAAGTTACACCCAACCTTACTTAGTAGATAGAAAAAATATAGTAAAATATAGCGTGACACTACAGTACGGCAAATCCACCATGCACTAACAGTACGTTGTGTTGTGCTGTAAATTTTTGCGATGGTACAGTAGGAGCCTATATTACTTTCTGGTGCAGTAGCTGAACTACCCCTCTATGTGTTGCTCAAGTTACTTAATGTAACACTGTAAATCCATGCCATTAATGTGCATATTGTATGTGACACTACAGGACGTGACATTACAGGACATTTTTCCACTTCGGAATAGTGGCATCTATCATCTCCTAAAATTCTGGTAATAAATCGTTAAATGGGTGAAAAAATGTTCTACAGCACTGCAAACATTTAAACTTTATTAACTTAAATCCAGTGCGTCAATTCCATATGAAATAACTGTGCCTCACAATCAAACACTTTGTGTAAGGAATCATCACAAAATATGTCAATTATACCAAATTTCTACATTTCAGGCCATTTTTTAAAAACCATCAAACCCCTGGTTGAAATTTTAAGTTGTTCGATGAAATGAATGCAGTCCAATAAAATTCCAATGTCTTTTGATATCGAAAATAAAAAAAAATTACTTTCACTACACTTTTTAAAAAATTGATGGAATTCAACTTTTGCTTGGAATGGCCCATATAGATGTTAAACATATAACAGTAGTACTATAGCCATAATAAAGCAAGCATTAAAATAAAAATGGAGCATTCTTGTACATGACCTTTTGAAGATGCTAGACTTATTGGACCATATTTCTGTATTTGCAGTGTCTTTAGAGTCAATTTTGAGTTCATAGAGACAATTTCAATTTTGTTATGAAGTCAGTTATATATCTTAACCAAGCTGGTTTTATTTTACTCAGTTTTTATTTAAGTTTTTTCATTAAATACGGTCTGTAGGGACCAACAAACTAGGCTTTTTATTAATAATATTATAAACCTATTGATCTCATCATGAAATTATCAATATCGATTCAAAATCGGGTATGGGCCATGCTCCATTTGGAATTGGTGAATAATATTATATACCAGACGTTATAACAAGCATAAGCATGTTGTTTTTGTCTATCACTCTACAAAGACATAAACTAGGTTAACTAAGGTTATTTCCTTCTATAGCTCGTGAGTAAATAACTCATTTATATCAAGCAACTTCATCTCAAAATAAAAATATCGAGATCCTGTGAGAATTTAGTTTGAACTATATTCTATTCTAGTATTTTATGACGAAACTGATATTGAAATGAAAAACGAACAACTAAAATAGGCAACTTTTTTCTGCAAAATTTGCCATTTTCCACTGTGAATTCAGATTTAAACTTAGCTTAACGAAGGACTTTGTTGATAATTTGTTTACTTGGAATTTCAAAATCAAAAAGTTGAATTCAAAATGAAACATCTTGGCAGCTTTTACTTCCCAGAATGATTTAACAAAAAGAAGTATAATAAAGTTGCTGACTAATAAAGTTGTGACTATTGGTATATAATTTTCTTGACAGGCTACCTATTTTTCACACTAGTGTTTTAACCATGAACACTTTGGAAATGCTTCTAGCTTAAAGATATTGCTGTGGTGCCAAATGTAAAAAGATATTATTGCCTCACCCTAGATGCATCAAGTCAAAAGTTGAGATTAGATATGACATTATTGTGAAATAATTAGGAATTTGTAAAATATCTTTGGATCGATTAAAAATGTAATTATCTTGGTACTACCAAAGTATGTGGGCCAGGATAGCGTTGGGCCATAATTTTATTTCGATTTTGCTTATTTTAGTCCTACTGTCTGTATTATTATCAAGCCAATATATGAATATCCCCCTGCCTATAGTCCCTTTACACAACTTGATGTAAAATAGGTGAACAAAATTGGTTACCTCCATATTGGTACACATACTTCTGGAGCACCAGAATTTCAACACAATGAAACAGCAAAATATTCGAAATAATTCTGGGTGAATGGGATTAATGATAGCAACCAATTCAGTAAATAAATAAATCATTCTGTATTGGCTATTGAGGCCTACCAGCATAATAAAATAAGAGAACAAAAAAATATCCATGCCTTTGTCCAGAATGGACAGGACAACTGTGAAATGACCATTTTATCTACTTCAGTGGCTAATTTAATATTATACACAAGGTAAATTTAACGCAGCCATGACTGTTGCTTTTGACAGAGATTAATGAGCAAATATGGGCAAGCATTTTCAGAATAATATACTCATAATGCATGAAACAATATGATAATCCGTCAACGAACATTATAACGAGGATGTGACCATCATTTGCAGGGCAGCAATGAAGTCATAGGGGAAGTGAACTCAGCTATATTGTTGCTATTGTTTAAAATAGTGAGAAAATTTTACTGGATGAGAATGAACACATGAAAGTACTTTTATTATTAAGGGCATTATTTTTTAAATCTCATTTCTTCTTATTTCATTATGCTTGTATACCTCAATGGCCAATACGAAACGATTTTATTTTGAGTGACCAATTGGTAGCTATCATGAATTACCGTACATTCACCCAGAATTATTTTGATTATTTTATTATGTTGAAATAGTTATATTTTCAATATGTTGAGCCATGTAAGGGTAATACTTACACTTTACAAATATTTTTTTTCTAATTAATTTTCACATTGAATAGGATAAAATATGAAGGCTAAAGCATGTGGTAAACCAAGTCCATAAAAGAGGGTTTTAGTAAACCAGATTGTTCTGAAGCAAAAATTCCCAAACAAGGGTACATTTCGACTTTTCAAGGGGTATATGAGATTGGGTATAAAAATCATCTTTGGGCTCCAGAAGTGTGTGTACCAATATGGAGGTAACTAACTTTGTTTGCCTACTTTACATCAAGTTGTGTAAAGGGACTGAAACCTATGGGCAGGGGGTATATTCACTTAGCTAACACAGACAATCCAGAAGTACCCATCTTTCTATAACTTCCAATCTGCCCTAGTTAGAATATTGTATCACATTTTCCATCCCAGTAATAGAATTATTAATAACTACAGTAATGAATGAGTCTACATTTGCAGCTCACATGACTTATTTTGTCTAATCACAGCTAGCGTGGCAATTTTGGGGCATACAAGCGATCTATAAATTGTCAAAAGGAAATCTATTAATAAGATCGAGTTTGGGAAACCCTGTTATAAAGCATGAATGGCATTGGTGGGTTCTAATTTGACAAATTGCTCATTGATTAAACTACAGAAAGATGCTCCAAAGCCTAATTCATAGATTCACCACAAAATTCCTAACACCCAAGTTCATGGTAATTGAGAAAAAAAATGTAAAAAACAGTAACTCCCGTTAAATTAAGATTTTCGTAATATCACTGATATCAAAATATGCTTAACTACTTTTTTGGGCAACCATATTTATAAGTCTATTCAGAACTCATGAAGATAAAGTTATTTCACCATTGCCTCATATTTTATTAAGCTAGGATGTACAAGCGGCATTGATGAATAATTTCTATTCCTGTTATACACTAAGGCAGGAAATAACTTGAGTATCAAAACTGTTTCAACCCTACAGCAATCCTTGATGAATTACAATGTACCATTAGTAAGGCATGGAATCCATTTTTCACAGGGATAAAACTAATGTTCAACTTTACTCACACATTAATGGAATAGCATTGCTTGTACATAATCATACTAACATAAGAAAAGCCCTGTTATAATTTAAGTTATGAAGTCAGTTCTCAATATATATTAACCAGGTTTGTTTCATATAAATCAGTGTTCATTCAAGTTGTTTTAATTCATTCAATACATCTGTAGAACTGTAGGTACCAACAACTATATTTCGTATCAATAATTTCCCTCTGCAATTTGAAAATGACTTTATGAAAACCTTATATCCTTCAAATTGAAATTACCATCACCCCAAATTAGCAGTGTTTTTCCTAACTTTGAAATCAAAATGGTTGGAAAAAAATTTGCAATATAATGCTAAATATAATTTAGAATGAAATGCTCCAAACATAAACATGTATAAAGAATACCACAAGTGGCTTAAACAGGACTAATAGCCACTCCACATTATTCTCCATATCAATCCATAATAATAATTTTATAATTAGCCCACTTGAACAGATAGAAATAGTCAAACCCATTTTTAAAATGCTGTATATAAGCTCACACATTAGCATATGATTCTAATACATTATCTAGTACAAATTTTAATATAACATGATTACTGCAATAATGTTTTTTAAAAAAATTCAAAATATTTGATGGATAGCCTACTTAATTATTTCAATAAATGATTTGCATCAGCCTATTAGGTGCCAAAGGGCGCTCCAGAAGTATGTGTACCAACATGGAGGTAACTAATTTTGTTTGCCTATTTTACATCAAGTTGTGTAAAGGGACTGAAACCTATGGGCAGGGAGTATATTCACTCGACTAACACAAAAAGTCCCAAACTCGTAATAGAACTAAAATAAGGAAATTTGGAATAAAATTATGGCCTAACCCTAACCTGGTACACATACTAGGGGAGTACCTGTTGAAGTAGGTAAATACACAAATGAGTTAAAGCAAACAAAAAACAACCTGTATACCTGCATGGTTTGCTGAGGTCCAATATTTAGCGATGAACTTGCGACTCTAAGCATCTCTACTGTGTTTAATGCTTGAGGCTTTGATTTGGATTTTTCTTTTGTTTTCACACTTTGAACAATCGCAATATCATTTGATTTGATGATTCCCAAAAACATTTGAGCAACATCCTGATCAAATAATCGAACCCTGAAAAATTTGTAATATAGAATATGAAGAACTTCAAAAGTGAGGAAAATATCTATCGAATTTCAGGGATGACGAATCTTTTTACTGAACAGGTACATATTATATTTCTATCATAAATAAAAAGTGGATTGTGGATTTATAATGTTAGACTAAGTTGAATTAAATCAGAACTTGCCTTCTTACAAATTTTCCATTAATAATTTTATCACTAAAATGTTAGCTTTTTTGGATCATATGGAGATCTTTTCACCAAACCTTGTGGAAAAAAGGATTTTCATATGATCTAGCCTAGTCTTTGTGAGTGAAAATTTGGAGGTTCCGCGAGCTATTCTTTTACTTAATAAAATACTGAATATTTTATTTACCGTAAATACAAAGTAAATACATCCGAGTCTTTATTAAATAAAGAACCGTAATTTTAGTTTACTCAGGGATATCAATCGGTAAATAACAACGTGTTGTTTTGTTTTTATAAATTTGCTGAGGGGGTATGTCAATCTCTTCACAGGCTCCGTAACATCAAAAGTTCGAGAATCCCTGCTCTAGGTAATTGGATGCTTATCGCTTTACGATTTAGGTATAATGAAGGCGGTCAAGCATCATAAGTGGCTAGATTATACTGCTATTAATATTTGAATCATAAGAAATCTGTTATTTGATTTGTGCTTTTAATATAAATAACTTTTTTCTGAAGTGTTGAAGTAGACTAAACATAGTCAAACTATTTTGATTATTCATAAACTGCTTATACTTGCAACTATTATACAGAGATTTGTGTATAATAAAAGTTTCATATTTTTCAGCTTTTGTATTTTTCAGATCGAATACTGAGCAGATTTTCAGACTCTTGGTAGTGATTATCGTGATCTAACAGTCCCTTCAGGCATTTTCTAATCAAATATATAGAAAACTGAAATTCGGAATTTTTTTAGTACACTATAACTTTTTGGAGTTAATGAAGTTCAATAATAATATAATACAGGGTGTCCATAAAGTCTTAAAATTTTTCAAAAATGCAGAAGGAATTTATCTATACCATTTACTTTGTTGTGAGTAAAAATACTTGAACAATTACTGATTGAAAAACAACAAACCTGGTTAATGTATATTGAGAAATGACCTCATAAAAAAATTGAAATTTTAAAGAGACTCTATGGACACCCTGTATAATATAATTCCATTTTACAATGATAAACAAAAAACAGCCATTCAATTTATAAGTTAAACAATGTGGTTTCGTCAGTTTATTTTCAACACCATTAAGATCACATAATAAATTCTGCCGTCATTGCCATAGGCAGACGTCAATAATACAACACAGTACCAAGAATAGCAATATATAGAATAAAACAATCCGCAATGAATTGGACGGAATATTGGAAATCAATATTTTTTATTCCACAATATCATTTTGTCTTTAAAATAACCTTTATAATTAGAGCAAGGTTACTGGCAAGGGAAATGTCTAATTGGAAGTGACAGTTGCCAAATGAATGAAAAATCAAAAGTCTATATTGTATAATTGAACATGGATTTCCAATGTCCATATAATTTAGCATTGATAAAGATGTTTACTGAAAATACAAGTAATGAAAAATGACAGTATAATAGCCGACTTTCCGAATTCTATTTAGCAATACGTCAGTTGGAACATGGTTTTGATTCAAAGTTATTTTTGACTTTTGAATTTTTGAATATACATTAAAATTACAATTAACTTCCAGTACAATAAATTCTAGAAACATTGCTTTGGAAACTTTTGTTTTGCAGGGTAAAGCGATTACCGCACCGCAGTTTTATACTGTTTTATATCCCTTCCACAAGGCTCCTTAATAAGAACAACTTCTCGGTAAAGAAATATTATAGTTAGAAAAAACTAAAATCTTTTCCGAATCGTCATTGCCTACAAAATTTAAAACACTCTGAGTGAGGTGGTGTGAATGGGATTTGAACCTGAGATACAAGCATGGGATGCCATCATAGTAACAAAAAAAGGTACTCCAATAATATGTGAACCAAGAGGGCGAACACCGGAACATGGTACGTGTACCAAGTTAGGTTAGGCCATAAATTCAGGTACAAATACTACGAGAGTCACTTGGCTAATCCCCGAACTCGTAATAGGATTATTATGGTGAAATAAGAAAATTGGAATAAAATTATGGCCTAACCCTAACCTGGTAAACATACTATGTTCAGGTGTCTGCAATCTTGGTTCACATACTACGGGAGCACCCAAAAAATACAGAAACTTGGTCAACATAATACAAAAAGCTAGCTTAATAAGGAATTGGGAAAAGATTAATAGTCTGTTCTCGCTAATTGCTACTAAATGAGAACCAGACAATCTTAAAAATGATCATAGATTCATAGCTCTTAGTTCTGACATATCTTACCTTGCCCAATCTAATTTTACTGTGATTCCACTTGTTGGACATTTAACTTCGACATTCATCACCCAATATTTTTCTGGTTTGAACGATTGGATTTTATCGTGACGATCAACACAGAAACCAAGAGTAGGTGTTTGACATGGTCCATATGATATCAGAGAACTATCCAGGTTTCCATATTTACCCTGGAATCAAAAATGAGTTGATGAATAAGGAGTCGTTTGTGCGATACTGGAGAAATCTATGTTGTTATTGCGGGTTTAAAATCTCAGGTGCAAATGCAATGTTCATCACCTCACATAGGGTGCAATAAACTGGCTCAGACTGGGAACATTCCGGTCCTTCCTAACTATAGTATATGCTTGTCTACTGACGGCTGCTTGTATAAGTTGGAGTGACAAGCCTATGGAAACGTCATATAAGGATATTTTGATAAATTTTTGGGAAAAATCAGAAAGTCGATTGCTTAGTCAGTATGAATAAGGAGTTTCCCAAAATATTTGTCAAATTCAGTAGCCTATCTTAACTAAAAAAGATAAGATCAAAATCACATTAAAGTTAGACATGTGGCACATTCACAAGTCAATTGCAAAACAAGAAATTTTAACAGAAATCAACCAAGTCACAAACATGTTAATAATTACTATCAAAAACCCGGAAAAGAAAGTGAGCAAAAAAGTGTATTATCTTAATTACAAATTCACCTTCATAATTATATGCATTAAATGTACAATTTGAGAAAAGTAGGGTCAAGTTATTGACAAACTAACCTGAAAATATCTGGTTTGAAAACGAGTGAAAGCACATCCAAGTCTCAAATCTAATTCCTGTCTCGAATCAACACAGAGTGACTCGTTATAATTAGGTTCCGCTAAATTTCTCATTGCCTCGTGAATGTCTTTATCAGTAATAGCGCTAAACCGGGCTCTGTAAACTCTTTTGCGTCCACTCTGAAAACGAAAATAATATTTATAAAAAGAGTGAAGTAGTAGAGAATTCTTTATTAATAATTGGACATAATAAATCGACTGGTATACTAACAGAATTGTCCAGTACGAATTGAATACATTCAAAGTTACTACATTTTAGGAAAACCAAATAAGAATACCAGAATACCTTCATTCAGTTTTTTAAAAATAATTTCTGTATTTCAAACCTATTGATTATACACACTATGTGTTTTTTATAGAATTGAAATTCCATATTCATAAATATTATATTGGAAAGGTATTAAGAATAGCATAACGGTAATTACGGTAGGTTTTGGCTTCCATGTACATGATAATCCATTGATGATATACTTCGAGACAGACAAAGTCAACATTTTTTCAATTTTTATTTAAAATCTTGAATTGTATTTTCGATAAATTAATTCAAAATGTAAATTATAATTTACCTTGTATTTAAGCCAATTACCTTCAGACATTTTGGCAATGATTCAGATGTTTTCAATCAAATACAATGAAAACTTTATTTTTGTATTTGGCCTAAAACCATGACTAACTTCGAAATCGAAGATGTAATCATTGATATCATACTTCAATAAGTTTTGTATAGAAATTACTTGATGCAAATTTGAATCAGATTGTTATAAGAAATATGTTGAATAATTTTTATTAATCTGGTGTTTTTGAATATTTATATACATTCTGGGAAATTTATTCATTTTTTCAACTTTTTTTTCATTATTTTCAAGAATCAAAGACATGAACTCTTCAAAATGATAATTTTTGGAATAAAAATCTCAATCTATTTATCCGAACAAAAATTTAAAATATTTAGTATCAATTCGCAATCGATTTAATAACATGAGACTCGTTTTGGATATCCAAGTACCAGCAAATTTATTTGGTCTCCCTGCTATACTTCAATTCCATTTAAATAAATTTATTTTTTTATTCATACTCATCCTTATTTCATGGGTCAGACACATTAATGTTTCACAACCAATAATAATCAATAATAGCAATAAATCAATACAATTGCAATCTCCAGGAAACTTAGTAACTTAAAAATTGATTTCAAAAACTGCCATCTGTGAAGATAGCACTTGATATCACTGATGCTATTTATTGATTGGTAAAGTAACTTCAGTACAAGGCACACTTGGGTCCAATAGACAATTTTTTATTTCTTTCGACTTGATTGATAAATACAGGCTCCTTCATCATTAGAAGCAAATCAATGTAAGTTCCCTAGGGCTGCCTATCTGTCGCAAAGTAGTTGCATTTCCGTTATTTGTTTTTAGAACCTCACCCAACCCCCGAGTTTGTCAGCCTCTCGCAAGAATATTTTCAGGTACATGTTACCAAACCATTGTTTTCTCAAGAGAATTTGCCTAAAATTAGCCCCAGTATAATTACTTTTTTCCCTATTTTTCTCTTTTCCATTAAAAAGATTCAACAAAAAATATATTCAAAGGTTTATTTCAAGGCATTATTTTTTGTATTTTCCCACCTAACTATAATTATTCAGCTTTACATTCTACTTATTCTAACATAAAGGGGTTCCATAAAGTCTATTAACCAAGTTTGATTTTGTTATGACGTCAATTCTCAATATAACTTAACTAGGTTTGATGTTTTTAATCAGTAATTGTTCAAGTATTTTTACTCCATTAATACATCTGTGAGGGCCAAAACAATATGTGGAATGTGGTATCTATAAACTCCCTTTGCAATTTAAAAAAAATTAAGGCGGCATGGACACTATTTACATAAATCTTACCAAATAATATGAAGCATAAATGAATAAAAAAAATATATAAGCCTCACACTTTTATTCATGATTGGTTCCACAATGTCCAAAACTTCAAAGCAGATATTTTCTCCTTCCTTATCACAATCTAACCATAGCACAATCGCATCTACGCCTCGTGCTTCTTTTTCCAGAAATCTAAAGTAGTTACGATATTTAAAATTAAAGATTTAATGGGACACTTCAGAAAGAATGAACTTGTGATTTTAGACATAAGATTTTTATTACCTATTAATAACTATAATATCCCTTAGATGATTCATATATACCAGGGGATAATTTAGAGGGTTGAGTCAAAGTTCCATTACATTGTTAAACACCAGTTCAATAGCATGGAGGAAGGATTGGCAGTTCTCTGGCGTAACCACAACTGATAGCATAATTTTATGTGACAATTTTTTTCTTAAGTTGTTAAAATGTTCCCCCCCCCCCCCCCCCGATTCTGCATTTTTCAAAGCAAAATAGACCTATTTTATGTAATGCTCGACAGCAAAGACCACTGCAGAACAGAATTATATAATTCTAAATTATTCAAATAAGGACATACCATACTTAACAAAATCATATTTTAAAAGTACGATCAATAATTTAATCACTATCAGTAACAATAAGCATCACAGGTTATAAATAGATCAGACGTGTGCAACATTTTTTGTTGGTGAGCCATAAGACCAAGACATCTAGTTTGGACACACAAAAAAATAGTTTTTCCATGTACACAACATATTGAAAAATTATCCCAATGCAAAATTTAACACGGTGACGAGAGTAAAAAAAATTATGTATTTTTACCTATTTCTAATAAGCATAAACTGTCGAATTGGGATTTTATGTTTTATGGAATGAAATTGGAGTGACAAGGGGCGCACTAAATGGCTTGGTGGGTTCGGTTGTGGCTCGCGGCCCGCCTGTTGCACACCCTGTTATAGATCATACAACTGGTTGGTCAATCAAATGACGTAGAATAACAGAGATTGGTTAAAAATTGAATAATATCATCATTCTTGTATGAAGCCTTATCTAGTGCAAAAGGTGCTCCCGAAGTATGCGAACCAAGATGGCGGACATCGGAACGTAACATGGGTAACAGGTTAGGGTTAGGCGATAATTTCTTTCCAATTTTCCTTATTTTAGTCCTATTATCAGTTCGAAGACTAGCCAAGAGCCTCCCGTAGTATTTATACCTAAAATTATGGCCTAACCCTAACCTAGTACACATATTACATTCCGATGTCTGCCATCTTGGTTCGCATACTTCGGGAGCTTCGTGCAAAATCTGTCGTGACTCGTCAAACATGAGACATTTCCATTATTAACCAGAATAGAATTTTCAAAGCAAACTATGGCGTGTCCGTTGCGATAAAATTTTCCCATTTATTATTTATAAACTATTTTAGTATATTAAAATTCCATTTTTGGCTAAAATGATTCATAAAATTATTCATACTTGATAATATTTAATTTGGGATTTGCTTCTTTTTTCATAGTTGGAGCAGAAAATAATTCCCCAGGATCAACTTTCTCCCAGTTATTATATTTTCCTTCAAAATCCAATGACATGACATGACCACACACAGACGTGACTTTGAAGCTGACTCTTTCGCCATAAAATTTATCTGAAAAAATTTAATGCAGTCAATGCCTTTACATTAATCCATAAACTACTTAGTTGAAATAACTGGCAGTTAGATATCCAAGATGATATTATAGTAGGATTGATTCAAATTTTATTATATTTGATATTTTAAATAACAGGTATGAGTTTTGTTCAGAGTAAAATTTTGATTATAAAAAACACTGTAACAGTTGTTTATTTCGAAATCAAGTATTTTTATTTAAATGATAATTTGACAAGGGGCCTTCCGGTACGCCCGTGTCTGTAAATAACCTTTATTAATGAACTATTCAAAGCTGAAAAGCTAAAAAGTTTTTCAACTATATGTGCAGTGAGAATTTTTTGCAAAAAAGACTTAAAATAGGGCCTTCCGGAAGGCCCTTTTTTAGTCGAATTATCATTGAAACTCATTGAATATACATAAGACTCATACAGAAAATCTAATCTAATCTACAAAACGTCGATAAAAAAAATATTATTTTAGATCGTATTCAGAAGATAGAATTAAAAGATTTTAGCCATCACTCGTTGTGGGCATAGTAGATAATATGTACGAAACTCAACTAAGTCAATTAAAAAAAAAACGGTAGGATTCATCAGACCAACTCAATTACTCATTGTGTCTAAAAGGCTAAAGGGCAAAGCATTGTTCAGAGCGATGAAGATATGGTTTATAAAAAGAAAACAATTGCCATAGTGTCAGTACATTCATTGGAAGAAAACTACATCTTATTTAAAGGATATATTATTTAATAAGAATACAAAATTAAATGCTACAGTACCTATTTTGACTCATTTACAGTTCATAAAGATTAAAACCATGTCACAATTTCAATTTGTTAGAAACTAGATGAGTAAGTAATAGAGCAAAATCACGTCATACCCTCATATTCACGTACAGGGCATCAATGTTTATTTCAAAATTCCAGCATTTTAAAATTCAAACTCATATAGGCCTATAAACTTCTAAAGAATATGGTCTCATTTGGAGTTGATTCAATATTCCCCATTTGAAATTAGTACTTTATAATGTTTTCAGAATTCTTTTTAAAAAATAGTAAAAGTCACCTAATTACTAACTGTGTCTAAAAGACTGTTGAGCAGAGAATTGGGCGGCGATGAGGAAAAAAAAAAAAAAAAAGGAAAATACATGAACCCAATTTAGAGAATATATTATTTAACAAGAAAATAAAAATAAGTACTATAGTAATTATGTCGACTCGTTACCAGTTCATACAAGATTAAAACCATGTCATAATTTCAATTTGTTAGAAACTAAATGAGTAATAGATCAAAAAATATGTCATACCATCATATTCATGCACAGGGCAAGATCCACTGATGCTTTTCCTTGTATTACATGAACCATGAGATAAAATCTTCGCTATGGATTGAGCCAGAGATGGCTTTTCCGCAACCATTAACACTGTCCTCATACTTAATTCATGGGAAACTATGGATTAGAGATATGTAATCCTGGAGGTGGAAGTGACTGACTGTCTATACTTTTCTAGTCTTAAATATAAATTTATTCATTAGTACAGTAAATATTTCAAATGAATATAATACATACATATCAGATGAAAACGATTAAAACCATAGCAGTAAATTGAACAGAAGAATGAAAATAACGCAATCGCTATATGGGGAAAACAATCTTAATAATAATAATAACATTGAAAACATAAACTTTGGTGTTTAAAAACAACAGATGGGGCGTGACATTGCAGAAGCAGACGAGTAACATATTATACTACAAGAAACAAACATTGGGCGGGCGTAAAGATCGAATAATAAATATTTATGAGTAGACAGCTGTTACAAGTTCCTATAGAAGTATGAACTTCAAGAGTATTGTAGTTATTAATGCTTTAACAAACAGATAACAAGACAAGACTGTGCTTGCAAAGGGTGTAACTTTATAGTAATAAATCAATACAATTGAGAAATCTTCACTGTAAAGTTTGGCAGATTTCAATAATCGACAAGATGGCCAAGTAGATATTTCATCGATTAATTCTCACTGCGGTATATTATCAGGTTTACTATATTTAGGATTCATTGTCATGACAATTGCTGAAATAATCATTTTATTACATAGGTAGAATATTACAAAATAAAATCATTGGATAAATTGAAAATAAAAAAAGACCTAAAAAAAAGTGTTCCAAAATTTGCTGTTTTGGTATAAAACATATTAACCAATTTTCTTTTTATTCAAAACATGCCACACATTCTTGCGAAAAAGACTTCTTGTTTAAGGTGTTTATATCAAGGAACGTGGACATAATGACATACCAGAAAAAAATTCAGGATTATTATAAAGTTTTCAACAATTCACATTCAATATCCATCTCAGAAAATATATAAGTTAAACAACACATTAGATACCTGGATCAAAAAATAATCGATACATACTGTACATATCATAAAAGAACACAAATATTAATAATAGGTCTTACAAAGTAAACAGCCTACACAAAATGATAAGAAATCGATGAACCTAATTGAATGGTGGTGTTGGATGAAGAGAGTGTCCTTGAGTTTACTAGGAACATACCTTGGTGTAATAAATGATTACGGAGAGCTTATAACCTTAGAGCGGTATGAAAAATTTATTGGACATTGGGTGGCCACCAATGTGAAGATAATTCTACTCTTTGCAATAAGACAAATTTGCAAAATAAGATAACTGATGATTTCTATTCCAGCCAAATCATGGTATATCTAGATTTTATTTAATTTAATCTTTTTTCATGAATTCGCTGCATGGCATGTCACTAAAAAGCTTTCACTGAATTATCGAAAAATTGTTAACTACTACTTTATAAAATTCAATATAGTTTATACTCTTAATATAATTCACAAATTTACAAGTTTAAGATAGTCATTTGCAATGTTTTAAAAATCCAAAATGTACAAAAAGATCTCCGTGCTTATTCAACTATGATTTTAATTCAAATCATTACAACTAATTTTATTCCAAATATCGGCATGAAAAAGTTGAGTAATCAAAATGTCGAAAATGAACAACCAATCACCAGTGTAAACGTGAAAGTCACCTTATTCTCAAAATGAAAGATGGTCTGAAGATGAAAAATGTCACAGAATGTCATTATCATTCCAATAGTTGCAGACTTACTTAACATAGCAACAAAAGTTTCAACATGAAAAATCAATTTTCAATCTTTGATAAAAATACTTTGACTGTTTTGACGATGAACCCGAATCGATTGGAAAAGTCAAAAAATGTCATTTCGTAAATAAATCATTTTACAAACAAATGAATAGTCTGTAGAGTGTCGAGTATAATGCATTGACCTTAATAAAATATTCATGAAGGAATTCCAATCAGAATCAAACATATGAATTAAAATGTTATAATGCAACATTTGATTGAACTGAATATCAAGATGCAGTTGGGTTGTCAAGGCTTCAAAGAAAAATTCAATCAAACTCATATTGTATATAACAAATTAACGATGGGAATTTTCATATTCAAAAATACTATAATTTTGAATATTAATGACGCCAAATGATATCTGACTTATAATATCAAAATATGTTTTATTGATTGGCAATATAGAAAACTATTTGAGATTATTTCTTGTCTTTTATCGTGAGAATTTTGTCTCTATGGAATAATAAGGGTTGGATTCATACTCAAGCATAATGTTGCGCTCTACTAATTTTAGATTTCAAACTACCACCCATAACATTTGTCATTCTCAAGAACATATAAGAAGAGGCTGAACCCATAAATGTACTATAGGTTATGATTTGGGATATTATAAAATTTTAATCAACAACAATAACCAGGTCATCGTCAATGTAAGCATGCAATATTGCACAACCCCTAAGACTCACATTAATGCACTGTTAAACGTGCATAATGGAAATCGTTTTTCACTTTTACTGATTTCATGAAAAAAATCGCTACAGAACAACTATAATTAAAAAGAAATGAATGAAGATTATCATTTACTGTTCAAAGAGTAACATTTTCTTAACTTTAGTCGGAATTTGACATTTGACAGACAAAAGCTAAAATAAATAAGCTGATTTTGCTATGAATTACCGCAACAGATAATTTTTTTTTTAATAATCTTTGTTTAAACTCTTTCAAGTCAAACGTAGAATCCTTGCCTAATAATATTAGTATGAAAAATATTAGAAGCACACAAGTGCTGCTTGGAAATACAATGCTGCATTGATTAATTTATAATTATTCGCAAGTAGATGTAGCTAGCTACTCCTTTTATATTTATTCTTTCGAGGAGCTGACTGGATAGTTCCGGATCATATGATACTATTTAAACAATCTGAATTATCAATAATAGTGAAGAATATATACTCAGTTGTTGAGTATTTTTGCAGCCCGTTGGTTAGCGGAATCAATTCTGCCCTTGTTTGCATCAGCTTTTGCGTTGATTCTATCAATTTGGTTGTTTTGTGATGAGATTTCATTGCCCATATCTAAAGCCATGTGTTTCAGATTACCGATAACTCCAGCAACTTGTGTCAAATTCTCTTCCATCTCATCTTCTCGTGCATCGTTTGTTACCCTCTTGACGTATCCACCACCAACTTGTGCCATCGTTCTCTCATCCTGAATTCTGGCACCGGGTTGGTCACTGACAACTTTATCTTGATTTTTACTGAATGCTTTTTTATATTCGTCACCTTTTTCAAAATTTTTAGCTCTATTCCATGGGCAAACACATAATCCACAACACTTTTCCAATCCTTCTAAATTTTTTTCTGCTTGTTTCATGTCTTGATTAATTTGATCCATTCCTTCATCGATCCTATCGAGTTGTTCTCCTTGTTCATCAAGCATAACTAAGGTTCTGATTCCAGCATCTTGTGTTTCTTCCATCAGTCCAACCATACGACGAGTACTTTCCAGAGACTCATCAGTAATTTGGTTCGCCCTCATCTGCATGTTGGCGAGCTCGCCTCTCATGTCATCATCTGCGGCCATAGTTTATTTTGTTGATGACTACACAATTAAATATGTAAATTAGAATACAATCTGCTATTTGGTATGAAAGTTGAAGTTTTAATACATTGAAAAATATTTTATAGGATAACAATGCAACAATGACACGCCATATTATATCCTAAATTAGATACACATGTTGTCTCACTCATCCCATATACAACTGTCGCGCTCTGATTGTGCATGAATTGCGCAAAATCAAATAACAAACGACTGAAACACCTGAATATATTCTGCTATTATTAGTGTATACCTGCTGATACAGAACCAGGAGAGAAACAAAATAATTCTAAGTAGAAATGTTTGAAACGTATAGAATTTAAAAATAAATGGGGTGGCTAAAAGAAGCATGTGGTACGTGCTCACTAACCTTCGCAAGTTTTTAAGGAGTTCAATAAGTAACGTCTGACTAGGTAGGTATAGCATTAAATACATCTGTACATGAATGAATATCAGAGTTAATCATTCTTATTACTGGTATATGCAGTACAGCAGTGTGACACAATTCTCTGATCCCAATTCTCATCCTTTACTAGACAGTATGGGCCTCCGACACTGCGCTAAAAATGTGAACATTCGATTTCTCTGAAGAAAATAGTCCGATTTCAGGAAAAAAAACGCAATTTCGGTCATGTGACGGGCTGTCAGCAGACACAATGCGCGAATGCAGGAATTACTTCAATTATGACTGAAAAATGAATGGCGCGTTGTGACGCTTATGCCGCTGTGCCAGACTATCTTGTTTCATAGACAAACAAAGAGATTGTTTTATGGAAGCAAATTTCGGGCATCTCGGAATCGGAGATTATGCCCAAATGGGCTCTAGTGAAATAAATGCTGTAGGGTGGTGTAGCCAGTCTGCGGACGATTTTATTCAAACCGCTATAAAACAAAAACAAAATTTCTAACCCGCTAATTTTTTCACCGTAGGTGCATTGGCATTTATTCTACACACTGAACTTCGAATTAACTTTCTACGACCAGGGGTTAAAGCTATACAAACCCCCAAAGTACGACACTCTGAAGACGTATTTGCGACCAAACGACCAGTGTGCGATCACGGATTTCAAAAATGTGAACATTCGATTTCTCTGAAGAAAATAGTCCGATTTCAGGAAAAAAAAACGCAATTTCGGTCATGTGACGGGCTGTCAGCAGACACAATGCGCGAATGCAGGAATTACTTCAATTATGACTGAAAAATGGATGGCGCGTTGTGACGCTTATGCCGCTGTGCCAGACTATCTTGTTTCATAGACAAACAAAGAGATTGTTTTATGGAAGCAAATTTCGGGCATCTCGGAATCGGAGATTATGCCCAAATGGGCTCTAGTGAAATAAATGCTGTAGGGTGGTGTAGCCAGTCTGCGGACGATTTTATTCAAACCGCTATAAAACAAAAACAAAATTTCTAACCCGCTAATTTTTTCACCGTAGGTGCATTGGCATTTATTCTACACACTGAACTTCGAATTAACTTTCTACGACCAGGGGTTAAAGCTATACAAACCCCCAAAGTACGACACTCTGAAGACGTATTTGCGACCAAACGACCAGTGTGCGATCACGGATTTCAAGCCTTGAACATCATTTCTGCTGCGTCGAGACTAGGGCATACGCAGCCATGCGTTAAAAAATGGGCTTCTAATTGCATTTATGACCGTCATATATTTTAAGAACACGGTTATTTCGAACAAAATTCTTCAAATTATAAACAAGCTACGAGGGATAAGTGGACGATAACGCGTGAGAAATAACGTCGCGGTTCGTTAATTTTTTCGGCATTAATTTAATCGATGAAGTTGATGGTCGCAGATAGGTCATGGCCACAAAGTGGGTAAGCCACCCTAACTGTTTAAATAACGTTGAAAAGTAAAGTCTGAAAGTAGTGTGAAAATAAAATACTTCAACTGCTTAAATATACGAAAAGTGTCTCAAATCTTATTTTTTTAATGAAAAACTTGTATTGCGTGAAACACTAGGCTATACAGCTAGACTATATGACACCCTATTTCTGTATTTGGCATGAGACATACCGTACTCCCTGTACGGTATGTACCTTTTTAGTTGGAAATTGAGGTTAGATTTTAACTACCGCCAACTTACTGTACCGTACATAACAAGAATTTCAATCCGAGTAGACTATTACTGTATGTATTACGGTACAGTATTACCGGTACCAGGGTACCGTACTGTATTATATAATAAAACAACTACCGTGAACACAAAGGCAACTGAAATTCAAACTCATACTGCAGTCAGTATTGTTCTAACTTTAGGATAAGGTACCGTACTCTGGTACCTGAACGAGTATGGTACCGGTACCGTCTGAACCAAAGTTACCCTAGCAGACATCTCTCTCATTTTCGGAACGGTAAAATAGCGTTGCCAGAAAACGATTTAACATGGCACTTAAATGCCGCGACGGAAAAAAGGAAAGCTAGTCGCAAAGTACTTGCCAGATTTACGGCGAGATTTTGCTACACTCGGAATTACAAAAAACTTATCTGTAATTTCCGATGGCCGGGCAGATTTTTGAAGTTGATACAAAAAAAGAACTTATATTGAAGTCATCCTAATTCAAGTTTTATAAAATTTATATGTTGGGAACATATATTATTACATTGTCAAACATGGCCAAAAAGAAATTTCACATTAAAATTAATGAATGTCGGCATTTTAACCCCAAATTATGTACTTTTCAATTAGGTGCCCCACTTTTAGATAAGTCATCTCAAAAAAACATAGTCTGAAGTCATTCGGAACCAAGTTTCAGAAAAATTGTATGTCGAGAACATACAATAATATCTTGTTAAACATGGCCCAAACAGGAATTTTACATCAAAATTTTTAAATATCAGTATTTCAACCTCAAATTTTGGACTTTTCGATTACGTGCCCCACTTTTGAATAAATTATCCTAGAAGAACATATTGTGAAGTAATCTCGAACCAAGTTTGAGAAAAATTGTATGTCGGGAACATATAATAAAATCTTGTTAAACATGGCCCAAACAGGAATTTTACATCGAAAGTAATAAATATCAGTATTTCAACCCCACATTTTGTACTTTTCGATTACGTGCCCCACTTTTGAAAAAGATATAACAAAAGAACATATTGTGAAGTAACCTCGAACCAAGTTTGAGAAAAATTGTATGTCGGGAACATATAATAATATCTTGTCAAACATGGCCCAAACAGGAATTTCACATCGAAATTAATAAATATCAGTATTTCAACCCCAAATTTTGTACTTTTCGATTACGTGCCCCACTTTTGAATAAAATATCATAGAAGAACATATTGTGAAGTAATCTCGAACCAAGTTTGAGAAAAATTGTATGTCGGAAACATATAATAAAATCTTGTTAAACATGGCCCAAACAGGAATTTTATATCAAAAGTAATAAATATCAGTATTTCAACCCCACATTTTGTACTTTTCGATTACGTGCCCCACTTTTAAAAAAGATATCACAAAAGAACATATTGTGAAGTAACCTCGAACCAGGTTTGAGAATAATTGTATGTCGGGAACATATAATAATATCTTGTTGTATAAACATGGCCCAAACAGGAATTTTACATCAAAATTAATAAATATCAGTATTTCAACCCCAAATTTTGTACTTTTCGATTACGTGCCCCATTTTTGAATAAATTATCCTAGAAGAACATATTGTGAAGTAATCTCGAACCAAGTTTGAGAAAAATTGTATGTCGGGAACATATAATAATATCTTGTTAAACATGGCCCAAACAGGAATTTTACATCAAAAGTAATAAATATCAGTATTTCAATTTTCAACCCCACATTTTGTACTTTTCGATTACGTGCCCCACTTTTGAAAAAGATATAACAAAAGAACATATTGTGAAGTAACCTCGAACCAAGTTTGAGAAAAATTGTATGTCGGGAACATATAAAAATATCTTGTCAAACATGGCCCAAACAGGAATTTTACATCGAAATTAATAAATATCAGTATTTCAACCCCAAATTTTGTACTTTTCGATTCTTTCCCCCCGTTTTTGAATAAAATATCCTAGAAGAACATATTGTGAAGTAATCTCGAACCAAGTTTGAGAAAAATTGTATGTCGGGAACATATAATAAAATCTTGTTAAACATGGCCCAAACAGGAATTTTATATCAAAAGTAATAAATATCAGTATTTCAACCCCACATTTTGTACTTTTCGATTACGTGCCCCACTTTTGAATAAAATATCCCAAAAGAACATATTGTGAAGTAACCTCGAACCAAGTTTGAGAAAAATTGTATGTCGGGAACATATAATATTATCTTGTCAAACATGGCCCAAACAGGAATTTTACATCAAAATTAATAAATATCAGTATTTCAACCCCAAATTTTGGACTTTTCGATTACGTGCCCCACTTTTGAATAAATTATCCTAGAAGAACATATTGTGAAGTAACCTCGAACCAAGTTTAAGTAAAATTGTATGTCGGGAACATATATTAATATCTTGTTAAACATGGCCCAAAAGGAATTTTACATCAAAATTAGTGAATATCGGCATTTTAACCCAAAATTTTGGACTTTTCGATTACGTGCCCCACTTTTGAATAAAATATCCGAAAAGAATATATTGTGAAGTAACCTCGAACCAAGTTTGAGAAAAATTGTATGTCGGGAACATATATTATTATCTTGTCTAACATGGCCCAAACAGGAATTTTACATCAAAATTAATAAATATCAGTATTTCAACCCCAAATTTTGGACTTTTCGATTACGTGCCCCACTTTTGAATAAATTATCCTAGAAGAACATATTGTGAAGTAACCTCGAACCAAGTTTGAGAAAAATTGTATGTCGGGAACATATAATAATATCTTGTTAAATAAACATGGCCCAAACAAGAATTTTACATCAAAATTAATAAATATCAGTATTTTAACCCCAAATTTTGTACTTTTCGATTACGTGCCCCACTTTTGAATAAATTATCCTAGAAGAACATATTGTGAAGTAACCTCGAACCAAGTTTAAGAAAAATTGTATGTCGGGAACATATAT